GGTCATCTAGTCAACCTGGGCAACAGTGTCCACTCATTTTGTTGTGGCCTCTGACCTAATCTATTAAATCAGAGGACTTTGTCGCAGCTCCATTTCAGGTGTTTCTGGGTAATTGCTCTAAAGAACATCTCTTTAAAATAACTGAAGAGTATGATATTGATCTAAGTGGCGTTGGTGATAAACGGCTTAAGGGAAACGTAAAGGCTATGGCTAAACTGCAGCCTATTAAGGTCGGGGTGCTACTTGCTGTGGTGGAAATGAATGAGAGAAATAAACATTATGAGAAACCTCTTATATGTCTTTGAGCATTTTATTTTACAGACAACTCAGCTGAATGGTCAGAGCACTTTCCACACAGATGCTTTTACATGCTACACAACCCTCAAACTATCCAGTATAGGTGTGTATGCAATGCTGTATAACATTGCATAACATTGCATATATCGTTTCTACCCTGTACAACATTTCCTACACACTTTCCACTCATGCAATAACCTGCACTGCTGAATTTACCATCTCCACATCCCTCTATTAATCCAAGATTGCCTCTAACGTTGCCTTAAGTCGTTAAATAATTGTTTTTATTTTTGGATATTCGCTTTCTGTCACGTCTGTGCCTTCTGGGAAAAACTCCATGTTGATGTTCGGTCCGAGGTCAATATTTTGTGCATTTGTATCTCTTTTCATGGTCATTTTATATTTTATATTTTGAAGAATGGACGCTATTATTCTACACACCAAACTATTGTTTTTAATATTTTTCGCCCAGTTGACATCTTTAATCTGCAGTAGTTAAGGCTTTACCTTTAGTTAAGTGTCAGAAAGGGGCCCCATACATAAAATGGAAGAAGCTATCCACACATATCTTAGCCAATTAGGTCCATCTGTGGTGCCAAAGAGATCTTGTGACGGCATTCAAATGATGATGGATGGCGGTTCTTTGCATCCATAACCCCCAAGCAGCCAGTCGAATATAAAAGACTCAGCAAACACATACTGTCCATCTCATGTGCATGTAGCCAGTACCAGTGCGTGACAGCGAGTTTGTAGTTTTGCACTGATCATGGTAACATGTGGTCCTTTAAGACGTAGGCTGTAGTGGGAAGTTTCCTTTCTGCAGTCTCTCAAGAGCTCTGTTACTTATTTTGCAATAACTGCGCCATGTACTTTCAAACCGTGAAACAAGCCTCCCTTCCACTGTTAACTCTTCTAGGTAATGCACAGTGTTGGTTATAAAGAACGGACTCGTTGTGTGAATATCTGGAGTCCATAAAGAGCCATTGAAATACAAATGCTCTCATTAACAAGACAGAGCTCTCTGGTGCACTGGGATAGTTTAACTCTTTCTCTCGTGTTTCACAAACTTGCTGTTTTGCATTTAGGAGCTTCTTAGAATTGGTTTAGCCAATAAGACCGTGTTTTATTTTGACTAAAAGACAACAGGTGTTTGATTGACAACTGTTTACATGCAGAGTTTTCTCTATTGTTGTTTAATAATCAACGGACTTCGAAAACTGGGAAACCTAAAGTACGTAAATGACATTATTAAGAAATGCTAATTAATATTGAATGTCATTAAGAAGATCCAGCACAAGTGACATTATTGATCAGTCATCTGACACACCAGAGATGTACTTAGCTAGAAATACATATGTGTATTTTTGTGTGACAGATAGGAGATATCTTCATTTTCCTCGAGACCTTTGAACGCCGACATTCATTTCTCTCTGCTCCCTTTGAAATGATGTTATTACGGTTTGGGAGATGACAGTTGTATCAATTATGTATAAGGTGAGAGTGTGTGGAAGGCTTCTATGCAAATCAAGTTCACCCCGATGGATGGCAGTGAAATAAATGAAAATGCTCATTTTCAAAGTGGTGAGTCCAGGTTTCACGGGGCTCTTGAAAACTCTGTGAACAACCACAGAGACTCAACTATTTTTGAGTCTGCAGACACTCAAAATTGCCATTTTGAAAGACATTCAATTCATGAAACCAGACCAAAATATGTGTGCTCTCCTACTCGGCTAATAAAACGAATGTCCCACCTCGTTGAATACAATAGAGTAAGAAGAAAAATGATGTTTAACCTACAGGCTGCCATCTATAGCTTAATGTTCATCCTACAGATATGAAAGTGGTATACTGGTGCACCCTTACATTCTCAACCGTGTGTCGTGTGTACACATAAGAGAGCAGTGTGAGTAGAAGCTGTGCGTGTAAGCAGAGGGACGGGGTCGTAGAGGATGGATGATCTAGTGGGATGTTCTCTCGCTTGTATCCTTCCCTGTTCCTCCATATCCCTTCCTCCTACTAATCTTCTCACTCTTTGTCTCAAAATCTCTATAAATCTCTCTCCTGTCTCTCGCAGCCTGTGCTGCACATTCTCATGCCAACAGCTCCACCAGCAGGTGGAAAGCTGCACGTCTCGGGCTTACGGCTCCATCGGTCCGAGGCGCTTTCCACATTTCCCCTTGAAGGGGAAAAGCCACATCATGTATTTTCAAGGTCCATACTTTAAGTTGCCATGAGACGTTTCCTTGTGTGACCGCAGTTGGGGGAAATTATTTATCGTCATTCAACACGCAGCACTGCTGAATCAACAGCATAAAGAGTGAGGACATCGCACATTGGCACAAAGCTGCTGTCGTCAACCAAACTATAATATCCAGGAAATGCTCTGTGAGTTGTGTGTTCATCCTGCATTTCATTTTCTTCTGTATAGAAACTGTGAGATGCACTAAAACATACTCTGACAAAATTGACCTTACGAATACATTCATGGGAAGAAGAGAGGAGGCAATCTGCCCTTGTGTTGTGGCCCAAATGATTTTGAAATCTCTTTTTAAGCCTTTCGACTCAAAAGGAGCCAACTCCTTTCAGCCGAGAAGTGTTCTGGGTTCAGTAACTGTGAGCTGTGTATCTGTGAGCACTATTCTCAGCGGCAGAGGTGGAGTTTTAAGTTAGATATGGGTGGAGTTGTGCTTTGTTCTACAATCTACTCTATAGAAGATAAGCAAATGTGCCTTTCAAAGATCTCTGAAGTATTTACATAACTGACATTTTCCCAATGGGTTCACCACAGGGGGTCAGTTTGAAGGCACTAACACGCTCCCATAAAACGCAAATAACTTGATTGAATTTGCGTGGAGTAAGCCAGGTGTACGGCAGGACCACTGCAGGGACCACCACTATCCACAGAAACACAAGCATCAAATCTCCGGGGAAGAAGCTGAATGTGGGACTTATGAGTTATTATAGAAAGAGAGAGCGGGACGAGGAGAGCAAGGTGCTCGGTGTGTCCTAAGAAAATCCCCCGGCAGTCCAGGCCTATAGCAGCTTATCTGAGGGCTGGTCCAGGCTAAACTGATCCAGCTCTACAAGCGTGATCAAAGAAGAAAAAGGTTTAAGCTTCATCTTAAATGAGTTGACTGTGTCTGCTCCCCCGGACTGAAAGTGGAAGCTGGTTCCATAAAAGAGGAGCTTGATAACTGAAGGACTCTGGCTTCCATCCTACTTGAGACTCAACAAGAACAAAAAGTATCCCAGCATTTATGCAGCGCGGCTCTCTAGTAATATGGGCAATATGGTATTATAAGCTTCTTAAGATGCTTAAGGTGCCTCGCCAGCAAGTTCCTTGTAGGTGAGGAGAAGAACCTTAAATTCTATTCTTGATTTAACAGGGAGCCAGTGAAGAGAAGATAATACAAGAGTAATATGATCCCTTTTCTTAGTTCTAGTTAATACACGTGCTGCTGTATATTGAATCAACTGGAGAGGCTTAAGAGACTTATAAGAGCAGCCTGATGATAAAGAATTGCAGTAATATATATAGAGAGAAATAACTAAGGCATGAAACAATTTTCCTGGATCACTTTGACACAGGAAGTTCCTGATTTTTTATATATTACGTAGATAAAAAAAAGGCGGTCCTTGAAGTTTGCTTTATCAGAGAGTTAAAGGACACATCCCGGTCAAAGAGAACTCCAAGATGCTTTACAGTGCTGACGGATAGCAGAGCAATTCCCTCCAGAGAAACTATATCACAAGACAGCTGACTTTGAAGGTGCTCTGGCTCTATCAAGATAACCAAGATAACCTCTGTCTTGTCTGAGTTCATCCAAAAATTGCTATTCATCCAAGTTTTGATGTCTCCAAGGCAGTCTATTAGCCGTCACTTAATGCAAACAGATAGTGAAGTGCTTGCTTGAGAGCTTAATCAACCTGTCAAAGGATGTGGCCTTTATTAATCACTGCATGGGTTTACTGCTTGCCTTAAAAATGTCTTTAAAACAATCAAAATACAGTATAAGCATGTAGTGCCATAAAAGTCATTTATAATATGCCATAACAATGTAGTAATCTATGCCATTACGTTCTATTCTATTATGATATAATGTTTCATTAAAGATTACTGTAATAAAAATGTTAAAACAATGTCTTAATATATTAGCATGCCATAAACAAATCCTTGAAGAATGTAAAAATATCATGATATATATATATATATATATATATATATATATATATATATATATATATATATATATATATATATATATATATCTTTCAAAATATCAACATATTATAGTATGCCATGATATGTCATAAGAAAACTATATTACATTGCACTGTTCAAATAGCCTTACAAAATGCATATTATTTCATGTAATGAAAGATCATTTTTTAAATATGCCACAACAACCTATATTTGGTATAATACAACTCATTAAGCTGGAATAGTGTCAGTAAATAATCCTAGTTTATGACATAAAACGGGCAGAACGGGTCATGAATAATGAAAACATATATCTCCCAATGCAGTTTACATCTCCTGTGCATCTTATTCACTGCTGAAAAGCTTTGGTGTTTAGTTTTTCCAGAGGTTTTGTGGCTTTGTGTTGGGTGTAAAACCCACGCTGGCCGCCAGAGGGCGCTGCTGCAGTTGGAGCTCGGCGTCCAGGCGGAACACGACGTGGCAACTAAGCGGTTGACTTCCGGTTTCTTCCGGTTGCTGCCTTATTGACATCCGTCTCACTCCGCCCTGGTTCGCCGCTGCCCGAAGCAGACTTTCCCCGGGCTTCGTAGCAGCGTGTATCCGTCACTCGGTGGGGGGAAGGGGGCGCTTTTCGGTGCCACATGAGGAGCGGGCTGTAGGAGCTCAGCGGCCGGACAGGAGGGAGAATGCTCGGGCTGCTGATGCTGCTTCTCGGCGGGTGGCTGGAGGTCTGCTGCGGAGCCTCGGCGAACAGAGGCGGGTATCCCACGTTCACGGACGAAATCCCCTTCAGGATCAGCTGGCCGGGTGCTGAATTTACGCTGGTACGTCTCCTCCTTTAGTAACACCATTATATAGGGAGGGGGGCATTTGCTCGCGCAGAGTTTGGGCAGACGTTTCTGTGGTAAATGTGAGTGAGTAAATATCAGCTGTTCGTCTTGTTGATTTCAGCCAGCTACTGGGGGACTTTACAAGGAAGATGACTTTGTCATCATGACAACAACAGAGAAGGAGAAGTACAAATGCCTCCTTCCCTCCCTGACATCTGGAGATGAGGTAAGCAACAGGTTTAATAAGGTGGACTTAGAATCACTGCACTAATGTGCATTATATTTATCTTTGTCTTCGGTGATTTAGCTGCAGGTTGTGTCACATTTCATCTTTGGCAAGCAACCGTATCTTTGATTTCTTTGCCGAGAGGCAACGCAGAAGCGGTTAATGTGTGAAAAATGGAATTGAAAATAAAAAGCAAAAAGAAGCATACGAGCAAGCAATAATAACTCCAGAAGAACGGACTGGTATTTAACACTTTAACACACTTTGTCACTTATCCAGCTATTGAGTGTGAGGGTGACAACAGACAGGACGAGGTGAAACTGATATATTATTAATAATAATGACAATGGATCGTTGGTAATGAGACTCCCCATTGAACAGATGTCTTGGCTGCCTTCCATAACTCCGAATGTTCGTTGTCTTTTGTTGACTCAGGATGACGATAAGGAGTACGGCGGACCGAGTCCGGGTGAGCTGCTGGAGCCGCTATTCAAACGTAGCAGCTGCTCTTACAGGGTGAGACCTTTTTTTGATCTGCTTCCTGAGGGCGTTTGGGGAATTGAATGACTCTAAACGTGCTCTCGGTTCGGCAACATTTACAGATTGAGTCATACTGGACATATGAAGTGTGCCATGGAAAGCATATAAGACAGTACCACGAAGAGAAGGAGACTGGCCAGGTCAGTGTTTGTAGAGAAAATCATTTCTAGATTACTGGAATGAGAAGCCAGCAGGTGGGACACTGTGTACTGAAGTCAATCATGTGTGTCCTCAGAAGATTAGTGTTCAAGAGTACTTCCTGGGGAACGTGGCAGAGAAGAGCCAGTCGCCAGAAACCGGTGAGTTCATTTGTGAAGGTGGTTGAATGATATTTTCATTGTTGAATGTTAGTTACTGTGATAGTCTTTGCCTCATTGGGCTAAAGCTAAAAACTTTTTTTCAGATAAACGTAAAGAGGAAGAAAATGTCAAATCAGCAGCTGATATTGAAGTAGGTATTTTAATAAAAGTGCGATAATCAACCCAAATGTGTTTTGTTTACCTTTCCCTGGCTCTCAATACCTCGTTCATCCGTTTTCTTCACTGTTACCAACGGTGTTCAGGTGCCCACTAAGAACATAGAAGGGCAGCTGACTCCCTTCTTTGCGTTGGAGATGGGGAACGGGACCCCCTGTGTGCTGAAACAGAACGAGGCTCGCTCAACGTCTGTGCTGTACGTCTGTCATCCAGAGGCCAAGCATGAAATCTTGTCCATCGCCGAGGTCACGACCTGTGAATATGAGGTGGTGGTGTTGACACCGCTGCTTTGCGCACACCCAAAATACAGGTAGGTTTTTTTCAAAAGAAGTTTGTCCCGCGTGTCCTAATCAGCCAGCGGCTGAACTTGGGCGTTAATTCCTTGCAGGTTCAAGTCGTCCCCGGTGAACGCCATCTTCTGCCAGTCTCTGGCAGGCTCCCCTTTGCAGCCTCGACGGCTCGCCCAGCTGGATAAGGAGCAAGAGGAACATCTCAAGCCGCCTTTCAGCGCCCCCTCTGGGACCAGAGAGGTGAGCCGTGAGAGGGCAGGAGGGGGAGAGATGGGGGGCGGGGCAAAGACGCCACCCGGCTCACGTACGTCTTTGACCTGTTGCAGGACGAGACGCCGCCGTTGAGGGAAGAGGCCTTCAGCTCCACCCACAAGCCCATGACTGTCGGAGGGCAGCCTCAGGTCACCGTCGGCACCACCCACATCTCCCGCTTGACGGATGATCAGCTGATCAAGGAGTTCCTCAGTGGCTCGTACTGTCTCCACGGGGTGAGGCACGTTCCATCTGTGACACCTGAGCAGCGTTTTAACGGACAATACAGTGACAAATGGCCATCTTCATGTGTGTGTTCCAGGGGGTGGGGTGGTGGAAGTATGAATTCTGTTATGGCCGGCACGTCCATCAGTACCATGAGGTAACGTTTTTGTACTTGTCTGCGCAGAAGCAAATGTACTTTTAGTATCAATTTAAGCTGTTATACATTACCGCAATGCTGCGTCTGAAAGCATTCATTCATTATCAGTTTGCAGATTGGTCATTTTGTCTACAGAACGTGCAACTCGCTTGTTTTGTTGGACCGCAAACCGAAGCTTACATACGACTAATAAAAATAGCAAATCATTTCAATTAAAAAGAAGGAATTAGTTTGCATCCCTGCTTGGAAACTGACTGTTCAGTCATAGATTGCAATTGCTTTCCTGCTAATTTATTTTTTCAAGTAATGTTTTAACTTTGCGTCCACAATGTGAAACTCTGTTAATAGACAATTTGTTATCGTACTTTAATCTGGTGAGTGAGATTGTCTGGTACATTAGATTGCCTTGGCACAGTGGTGAACATGATCCTTGGTGCCACAGGATAGAGAGCAAGGAAGGAACACCGTGGTGGTGGGGAACTGGGATGCCGCGGAGCACAATGAGTGGGCCAAGAAGAACGTCGCCAGATCCTACCAGCTCAAAGACGACGGAGCGCCGAAAGTCAAGTAGGCCCTTTAGATTTCGTTTATAAGGAAACCAACATCATTGTTGTTTCATATCATAGGAATTTCTTTGCTTTGTGGCAGGTTGGTTTCCCACTTTTATGGCCACGGGGATGTTTGCGATATGACAGGGAAGCCCAGGCAGGTCATCGTCAAGCTCAAGTGAGTATTCATGGGCGGGTGGAGAAGGGGGGGGGGGGGGGGGAGACCAAAGCACTGTTGAGTGTCGCTCTGCCATGGGTGATCACATGTTGACTCACTCGTCTCATGCCTCTTCTCTCTGTCAGATGTAAGGAGTCTGAGTCTCCCCATGCTGTCACTGTCTATATGCTGGAACCTCAGACTTGTCAGTACATCCTTGGGGTAAGTTCTCTAGTCAGCAGTCACACTCACTGCAAAGGAAACGCATGCTTGGTGATAGTTTAACGCTGAATCCCACTTTAATAAACAAAAGGAAAGCCAAGCAAAAATCTCTCATATAAGCTATTTATAGGTGTCTGCTTATTCCACCCTTAGACAAGTTATTATTATTAGTCATTATTACATCAGCAATTTGAACTCTACTAGATGATTGACATGTTTTTTTCTCTCTAGGTTGAGTCTCCGGTCATATGCAGAATTCTGGATACTGCTGATGAATACGGACTTCTTTCAATCTCCAGCTAAATAAGCAAAGATAATTTGATGGCATCAGCACATGAAGGATGAGGAGAGGCTGGACAGAGAGAGATGCACTTGGAGAGAGAGAGAGGACATTTATCATAAAGCAGAAGCCTGTTTGGCGGAGGAAGAGAGAGATGCCCGTAAAACTGCGCTAAAAACCACAATCAGCGTTACACTGTGGTTAAACTTGATGCTGAACCTCACGGCCCAAACTCAGCGCATCTCCTGATGTGTGCTACGGGCGATGTTCCATCTAGCAGGCCAGCTCAGACTGTAATAACACAGTGAATGGGTGCAGACGCCTCACTCCACAAGGCAGTGTGTTTGTTGCCTGTACTCCATAGCTAGGCTTCACTTTGTGTTGATTAATTTTAAGGAAAGGAGTTCTGAATCAGGGGAATTACATTATTCATGGTTTTATTTTCTTAAAGATTTACTTGTGTGTGTGTGTGAAATGATTTGCTGTTTGACTGTGGATCTTTGCACTTGTGGAAAGGAGGGAAAGCAAGTGTGAGGGGTTCATTTACAGGATGAGTGAGGGTAACTTACGCATTAGCGGTTGCTGTGGAATAGAAAAAAAATTGAATGGTCGATTAAAGTTTCCTTTTGAAGTTGTTGAGATGTACATGAAGTCTGGTTTTATGTAGATGCACACTGGAATCCTGATCGTTGCTGTTTCACAAGGATACAAGCCAATGCATTTGCAGCAAAGGATAAAAATAAAACATGAAATCTAAACTGTAGTGTTGCATCACCGAACGGGGGGGAAAGCTTTTTACTTGACTGAGAGATAAGGACGCCGGGGCAATAACTGTCTTCTTAAAAAGTATTTATGGAGGAATAGTTAAGTCTTCATTGCCTTTACAAACATTTACATTTCTCTTTCTTGTTATTGAGGGAGCCGTTTTATTTTAAGCATGGCATCTGAATGAACCATGAGTAAAATAATAACTGTCATTTCCCTCCTGGAAAGAACAAGCTATTCGAATAATTCTACGTCGAAGTGACAGCAAAATGTATTTGAGTTAGTGGCCGTGCTACAGTGCAGACCACCAGAGGATGCTGATGCTGAGCATATATACATTTTTCCATTATGCGTGTAAAGTAATTCAAAAAATGACTTTATTTTAAAATAAAGCAATTACTCTAACTTAACACCGTTATGGTTGTAAGATAACCAAAGTATGTTGCTTTCACATTCATAACATGAGGCTCAATCTACCAACCTGCTTTACAAACATTTCCCTCGGCCACTGTCATGGCTGCCAATAATAAAATTAGGGTAACGATGGTACGTAATGATTCATTTCTTCATTGAACAATAGGCATTGTTTTCTCTCAATTAGAAAAATCCCAATATATTTTACAGGAGCATTCTAAATGTCTTTGTATCATTGACATGAAAATAAAATATAACTATAATTCTACGTGACAGAGAAAACCATCAAATCCTCACATTTCAAAAGCCAGAACCAGCAAAAGCTCGACAGTTTTTTAATCTATCAGAATTTTCAAATTAAACTTCTCTCACTCGACTGATTGTTTAGGCTGTGGTTTAAAAGAAAAGAAAATGCTGAGATTCACTGTTCTTGCCAATCGTTTTATTGTGTTTAAAAGTGGATGAGGTTCACAAATACATTTCTTTTAAGAAGTAAGAGTTCATCAAAGTCGCCATCGCATGCCATCGATAGGGGCCTGTGCAGGGATTCACAGCAGCTCATATCAGTGCTCAGCGACTTCAGAGGACACAGCAGTGATCTAGCAACTGGAATCTTTGGCTGCAGTGAAAACCTACAAAGAATCGGGTTATAATGGCACATGCGTGCACAACACAGGGTCAGATTAACGTGATAATGCAGCATCAGTAATGGAAAAATAAGTCAATTCAATAACTGTCAGACTCTTTGATAACACTTTTATAACAAATCTATTGCTTGTTTTTTACTTTCATGGCAAGGCTTATAATACTGGTGCTTCTGTTTTTTTTTCATTCAAAAAAGTAGAAGAGAACAAACGGTTAATACAGATTCCAAATACGTAAAAATGGGCTGTTTGCGGGTTCCTCTTTTGATTGACATTTGATTCAAAGCCATGGAGAGGTTATCCACACTTTTACTAATTAGCAGCACCTTCTCTGATCTTCCCTCAGACTGAGGGGACGGGTATCTGCTGCACGGAGGTGCTTTCAAAGTCTTGCAGTGCGTCTTGGTGAGTGTGGTAGTGCATGGCTACATACGACTTGGCGAAGGCAAACGTCTGAGAGCTGACTGGTTGCAGGCTGGTAGGGGAGCTGGGTCCTGCAGAGGGACTGCTGTTGTATATGCTATAGTAGGGCTCAATGCGGGTGTTGATAGGGGTGGAGGTACTCGGGGGACGGGGTTTGACTCGCGCACCCGTGGCCCTCGGACTACCGGCGCAGTCCCTGGAGTGGCTGGGCCCGCAGGCCTGGTCGACCAGCCTCCGGGGTGGCTTGGGGGACAGCACGTAGGCCGAGTTGGTCTCGTGATGGGAGGATTTATTGCGATTGACCTCCAGGCTGCCCTTTCCCATGGCGTGCAACCGAGTCTTCTGCTTGCAACAGAGAAAGCCCAGTGCCGCCCACTGAACGCACCACAGCACGCGGCGGCGGAGGCCCGCGCTGTTGCGCGAGTACACGAAGGGATTGATGCCCGACTTGAGAAAAATGAGCACAAAGCCGCACAGTTCAAACTGGTAGTGCGCGAAGCTGCTCTCCGGCGACAAAACGTCCTGTGCCAGCGAAACTCCCATCGGCAAGCAGCAGAGCAGCACGGAGAACACTATGACTATGCAGGTGACAACCGCCTTCGAGTCTTTGGCTGTGGCCAAGTTGACCGGAGACACCAGCTGACAGCAGGTGGCTCCTTGGGCCGCGCCCGGGACCAGAGGCTGGCTGGCCTTGTTGACACACGAGTGCGTGGGGACTTTCTGCAGTTTGTTGTAAGTCTGGTTGTGGTACAGAGACGGGTCCTGAACCGCACACTGCATGCTCTCGAAGCCCGCTGCGATGAGGGGCGGCGGGGGCGGAGGGCACGTGGCGTCCACAGTGATGACCGGGCACTTTCTGACCTGCGCGTTCTTCCTCAGCGTCCGCGCGATCATCACATAGGACACGGACACCACGGCCACGCAAAAGGCAAAGTCTGCCAGGTAGACATACAGCACTACCCTGGCCTGTCCACCTCCGAGGCCAAAGTGAGGCAAGCAGGGTCCATCCCTGCGCGGGTACGCTCGCATGGTAAGGAGGGCGGCCATGGTGAAGCTGGATGTCCACAGCAGGGCGGTGAGGGCCAGCGTGCAGGCGAAGGAGGCGGCACGGTTGGGCTGCTGCCCCAAAACCATGCGCAGTCGATGCAACGCAATGACAGCGACCGTCTCCAGGGACATGATGATGAAGCCCGAGCTGGTCAGGTGGAAGGCGAAGCAGAAACTCTTGGACACGCCGTCCCCTCCGCCCGCATCCAGGAAAAGCACCAGTGCAAACATCGGAGCCGTCACGCAGCAAATGAACAAGTCGCAGAAGGACAAGTTGAGGATCATGAAGTCAAAGTTGGTGCGGAACTTGCGGAACACCGGGTCGAAAAAGGACAGGAACACCACGAGATTGCCATAAGAGCCCAGGCAGAAGATGAAGACGAGGAGGAGAGAGCAAAAGGCCAAGGTGCCGGTGTGGATGACGGCCCAACTCGACGGTGTCTGTGTGCCATTGAAGTTCGGCAGTCTTGGCACATCCACCAGGTCTGATGGTGTAACAGAGGTGTTCATCGTATTATTAAGAATTTATAAGGATCCCACAGTCATCAGTGTCGGCATTATTCCTCTTTATGGAAGGAGGACAGTGTGATCAGTGGCTACTGCCTGAACCATTGCTGCCTCTTTAGGGGGAGAGCTACGAGAAGGATACAAAGTCATAGATTAGCTACGTAGAAAGTAGATTCATTTAGGATTAATCAAAAATAGATCCTTTGTGATCCACTCGAAATATGTTTACGTCTTAGTAAGATGCTGTGACACGTTAGACAAGCTACAGTGGGCTATTATCGAAGAACCTCTGCATTCTGCCAATTATACATTACAACCCCCCCCAACACACACACACACACACACACACACACACACACACACACACACTGCTGTAATCCAGATGTAAAATGTGCACATCACTGTATTCTGCACCTATCTTGTTTTCAAACCGTTAAATAGTTCGGATAATCAATAGGAGAAAATATAACCTACCATCAGTGATCGTGGGTCCATTGGATGCTGCACATCTTGATTTTAAAGTGATCCGATAGAAAGTGAACGAACCTCGGCTTTGACGCAAAAAGAAAAAGAAAAAACGTATTTCAACGGCAGATCACCGGAAAGCGGTGAATTGAACAGTGACATACAAAACGCTTCCTCACATGTATGCTTTCTTTTTTTTTTTCAACGCGTTTACAGCACAAACAGTTGGTCGCATTGTCGTTTTTTCTCGGTGATGGACGCGCTGTCGCGCCGGCGCGCTGCAGGAGGAGTGTGGAGTCACCGCCGACGGATGTGCCAACAAGCAGCTCAGCACGCGACCCCGCCGCATCCACGAGAAGCCACACAAATATGTCGATTTTTAGCTTCACTACAAGGTCAGAGATTTGAAAGAGGCCGTTACGCCATATTGAGACTTTAGATAAACCCATACCCCCCCCCCTCCCTACGTGCACAAACCCCAAATGGCAACACGCAGTACTGTAGCTTATACGGATAAAAATGGTCGTCCAACAGTATTTAATGGTCAAATTACGGTTTTCTTTTGCACGGTTTTGTATATTTTGTTGAGATTCTCGGCTGTATGGATTCTCCAATATTAATGTAATGTGTTTCTCTTTTTCACTGCCGTCCTTGGGAACAGCACATTATTAAGAATGTCGTTGCTAGGCGACGCGCAGTGGTGATTGTGTGTGCAGGGGCAGTAATCATGGGTCATGGAGGGCAATGTTTGTCTCAAAACATGTTTCTACTGATGGGGTCTGACGAACTGTTGGAATTGAAAGTTGAAATTGTGAAAAATATCAGAAAGAATATTTCATTGAGGGATTGGAGTTAAGACCTATCTTGAAAACAGAGAATTTCAATTAAAAGAAAAACGTATTTTATTTCTTTTTTTACAAACAATTTATTGACTTCTCATTCAATAAGCAAACCGCACGTCAAAAAAAAAGAAAAGAATATGCTGCAGTTTTGGCACTGCACTACACCTTACATAAAGTACTAAATGTGTCAATGCTTGGACTGATTTCAAGTCATCAGGGGGAAACAAAAACTCAGTGGGTTTTAGAAAAAAGGTAAATGATACCAGGGATAAGAGGCAAGAGGTCACGTTGATGGCGTAATTTTCGACACACATGAAATGGTAATCATACGGTTTGCAGGTCTTCACAGCAAACGCATCACACAGCAGCGGGGAGCTTGCCCTCTCCCTTTGTTTGCAAGTTTATATGACAAAAGGCTCCATTGCTAAAAGCGCAGATATCTACTTTATTCCTTCTACAAAAAAAAAAAAAATTAAAAGTCAGCACTTCAAAAAAGGTCAAATAAATAAATAAATATGTTTGTGCATATTTGCTATACCATGATATATACACATGCATGATGCATATAATCAGATATAGTTCAAACAGCCAAAACAGTCATGTTGTTGTTGGTAGTGTAATCTGAAGAGATCATTATTAAATAGTCAGTTCTCTGTGATTGTGACATAGACGTCACTACTGGGAGATAACAGAGTGTCGCCACACTGGACATCGTGTTGGCTCAAACTTCAGATGGAACGGACAGAAACCTGAGAAATGTCTGGGAATCTGGCAGATGTCTTCAAGCACCCCATAAACGCACCCACATACCCCCATGCACATGCACACCAAAAAAAATCAAAGACAAAAATAAAATCTGTACAGTTATGTTACAAACTGCAGGTCATTCATCCCTGCTATGATTGATCCTTAAATATTAAGTATAGTAGAGATGTAAATGAGCTAAATACATAAATACACAACTCTTGCATTCCTTCTTTGAGCCACAACTCGGTGGCTTGGTGTGTTCCTCTTCCAGGGTGGTGCTGTGTCTTTCTTCGAGAACAGCAGCCTCCTCCCAAATGCAGGCTGGTATCTGTACAGTCCGGGGCCGTCCCAAACTGATCTGAGAGAAAAACAAAAGGACTTTAAAGAGGTGGCTCAAGGAGTCGTCTTTTATCCCTATACAATGATTCAGCAGCTTTGTTTGATCGGAAGCAGTTAGGAACAATAATCAATTGAGTAAGATTCACAGTGTGCAGTTAAAAGGCTTGACCTGGCTTTAGGCGTAGTAACAGGGGGAGACCAACAGGTCAGTCAGGACCAGCAGCTGGTCGTCTGTAAAATGTTGCTTATGTTGCTGCCAGTTGTCATGGTGAGTCCTTCGGAAGTTTGACAGAGTTTTCTTCACAGTCATCTAGAGGAGAAAAAAAGAGGTTTCCTTCTTCTAGCAAAAGAAAATTCCAGTAAATACTTGACATTGCACGGGTTTTGTTGACAACAGGCTGAAAAACAATCCCACGGCACCATTATCTTTTGGAAAGTAGGCGACTACACATACTTCAATGGGTTGTGTGTCATTCAGGTGAGCACTCAGGTCCATCAACAGCTGGGGCATCCAGATGGGAACGTCATAAGGGCTGGAGAGAATACAAGCACTGAGGCCGAGAACACCCGCATGACGCCGCACCAGGTCTACAAAAACATAACAGGAGCATTTCCATTAACCTCATATTGACTGTACCAACATATAGTCTGGAGAATGACCTACCAGCAGACGGTATCGTGTCCACTGTAGCGCCAAGCTCCCTCTTCCTCTTCTTAGGCAAGCGAGTCTTGCAGAGAGCCTCAAAGTGGGTCTGCATGGGGACGTCCATGGACAGGAAATTGCACTGAAGAAAGCCACTGAGCGTAGTGGCCGCCATTTCTCTTACCTGGAAACGGAAAAGGGCACAAAGAGGGGATGGGAAGTTCAAAAATGATTGTGTCGCTACAGTGCAGTATTAAATATAACACACATTATCTGGTATATTCTACTGGCCAAGCTGACACACTTACTGACAGGCAGCCTCTTCTTGCACTGTATAAGGCGTACCATAGCAACAACATCATTAGGGATTGTGGTCTACTAGTGTATGCACTGGCCAGCTGGACGGAAATAGCAGCCAGCTGGGGACTGGGTGTGTGTATGCTTCTCAATTACGTACATTTAAACAGTATTTTGCACATGTTATGTCCCTATTCTCACGGAGATTCTCGGCAGAAAAGCTAAACCTTTAAATCGGTATCATGCTGATTGTTTTTGAAGAGCCTGGTCCACAGGAACAGCCTTTTAGAAGATGTACGACCGTAAGGGAAAACAGATCAGAGCCTTCTTCTTAAGTACCCTTTCAAGTAGGATTTCTGTTTTGTAGAAACAATAAAAAAAAAAAAAGAAGTATTTTCTCGTTAAAAAGGAAGCCTGAACCTGGTGTTTTGTTGCTTAACAAAGAGGTAATTTCATGCATAAAATGTGGTCAAGAGTGAGCTTCAAATTTTGTAAACATAGTTTGTGAGGCCAAATAAAAATGGCTACTTCCATCCATCCCCCACTTCTTTGTCTCCACACCATCCCTCTCCCTCAATCTGAACGTTATCTCCATAGCAACAGATTACTGCAGCCTCTGGTTTCCATAGCAACAGCTAGAGAACTAGACAGGGGGGATGGGGTTTGGGGGAGAGTGCAAAATCACAACAGTGAAGCTGAAGACATGCTAGCATACACAAGCATGTACTGGTCAGTTTGGTCAAGGCTGGTCAGTTCGTCCTCCTTCCAATGATCTTGCAGTGACTTATGCATGTTTGAGCTGTACATTTCTGATGATTTTAGTATTGAGCGGTTGTGAAAGTGAAAGGGTTGTCGTTTACCTCCAGCTGTTCATCCTCAAGCAGTCGTATCACCAGAGCACGGACGTCATTCACAGCTTTCTGGGCACTCATGAAGGTGAACAGGTTGTAAAAAACCATAATCTGGAGGTAAGTGAGCACCGTGTAGCGAGCATGCCATGAGCTGCTGCCAGCAATCTGCAATACACAATAGACCCATTTCACATCAATAACCCTGACCCTTTAAAAAACATAAAAAAGAGGAACGGACCATGTCCTGCATATGTCCTCCATTTAGTTTCCTGCTATAATGGAGCTCCTTTTTTTCTGGGAAAGCTACTCCTTTTAAAGTATCAAATTTGTTATACAATTCAATCAGCAATTTGTTGAAGTTGATATATGCATGTGTATCATACCAGTTTACAGCTTCAAACGGTTTAGCTTCTAATCATTAGTTTCCTTTGCATACTACTATGTAGCTGTTGCCAAATCAGAAATTGCAAGAAAAATCCAGTAGAATACAGTCAGTTAGCCTTTGTCAAGTTCTCATTTATTCTCCAGTATGTAGCTGTACACTACTGTACTGACAATATATTCAGTGACGTATTTATTTAAGAATGAAAATATAACAGCACTGAATCAAAAATCTCATCAATTCCCTTTGAGCCTTTCATCTTTTTGCTTATTAACAATAGGTAGCTCAGGAAAAGGGAGGGGGGGGGTCTGTAAAAAGCCCAGTCATGTGTGATGCAGGTGGAAAAACAGCCACAGCTGCCTGATGACTCACCTCCTGCAGAGCAATGAGTACCAAGGGGATCTGCTCTGTGTAAAGGAGTCCCTGAGACATCAGAGACAGACAGGTCTTTGCATCCCTCTTCAGTTCATCGTAACTGTCATCATTCTCAACCGGAGCAATCTGGAACAGAGGACAGAGACAGGCAGGTCTCATTTTAAATACAGGTACTGTGTACACAAGGAGTGTCACAATCCAAAGTTAACAGTGACTGGTGTTTCACCTTGAAAAGTAGTGGAAGCAACCGTAGATGTTCTGGGACAGCGGTGGAGAAGGAGCGACCAGCACTTGCAATAAGCCACTTCAGCACTGCAGACATTTGAAGACAGCCATTTGAATACCTGATCATCTTCTCCTTTCATTTGCCGGCATTTGTCAAAAACATATTTATTTTCTGCTTAAAGGGCATCTCCTGATTCGGTTAAAATATTCCCAAAATAACCAGAATGCATTAGGACATCATTCATAGTAACAATGCCTGTGACCCACCTGTTTTGAGAAGCTTGATGGCTTGTGTTCTCTCATCTTGCTCGCCCACCTCATTCTCCTCAAGCACGTGGTTCTGGATCTCCTCATCGACCTCCGTAAGAGGCTTCAGCTGCAACAGGATCCGCTCTGTGAACTCCGAGATGCGGGGCGATGTAGTTGGCTGGGTGTACGGCAGGTTGACATCGATCATGAAGATGTATGTGAGCACACTGGTAGGATACCAAATCAGAGAGGAAAAGGTGAGGGGGAAAAAAGAAAAGAAAGCAACCATTTACCGTTGTAAAAAAGGACCTCACCTGCCAATGCGTTCCCGTACATTCTTGTAGACCTGTGTCAGTTTGGGCTCCAGGTATTGCAGCAACCTGTGAAGGAGCTCTGGAACACGCCACTCCTGCTGAGCTAGACCTCCCTGCAGCACATACAGACGACTGGGACGGAAAAAAATGATCGTCACCGTTTGTTAATCATATAAACATCGGCTTCAGGCGGCAACCTTTCTACTCACCAGGCATCGACAAAGGAGCCCCCCTCGCCGTTGACCGGAGACTCCATTAGCAACTCAAAGAGCCAGTAGAGCTTGCGTGGATCTCTACTCTCCTATACGAGACAGAAACAATACGAGTCAAGGATGAGCGACACGTGTCGTCGTGGTGCAGGGGGTAGAGCGGGCGCACTGGGAACCGCAAGGTTGGTGGTTCGAGTCCCAGCTGCCCCATGTCTCAAGTCGAAGACATCTAACCCCTAATTGCTCCCCGGGCAAAATGTAAAGCCATTTAAAGCGTAATGTAAGTCGCTTTGGATAAAAGCGTCAGCTAAATGACCGGTAATATAATGTTTAATGAGAGAAAGGATAAAGACATGATGGAAGTAAACAACCAAAAAGCTTACGCAGGCTGTTGCAATGCAGGTGCCCCAGTCTGCATACGTTTCTATCGTGATGTTGGACAGGGCAGTACGGAGCAGCGGACACAGCAACTCCCAGAGGCTCTCAACCTGAAAAAAACCCAGCACAAGTGTTGTTATCTTAAGATCTGTGGTCTGTACAAACACAAATGTGAAGACAGGGCATGATCCCATTAGTACTCTCATGGAAGTTTGTACAAGCCCTGATGCCCTTTCCAAAGTGGACTATTTAGTCTAGAGCTTCAATGCCGTACCTTCGAGTAGCTCCAGTGCTTGCAGCCTCTGATCAGTCCAGAGATGATCTCTGCGACACAGCGCTGCTTGCTCTCATGGGTGTCAGCCACCAGGCGCTCCATGTGTGGCCGCAGCACGGGAAGAAAGGCATCGCCGAAATTGCGGAACAATCCCTGGAGAGAGCAGGAAAAGGGAAGCAATTAATTTCTTCACGAGCTGACTTTAGATGGTTCCCTCACTGTTCTCAGGGAGTCTCACCTTGAACAAACAGAAGCGGCGAGGGCTAAACTTGTCTTTGCCCTTACGGTCCTCAAGAGAGAGGAACTCGATGAACTGGTTGATGAATACGGGGTCTGAGAAGTGGTCAAAGATGATCTGTTCCCGCTGTTAAGAAGCAGAATAAAAAAATAAATGTTAACGAATGCGGTTCAAATTCTTCCACATCATTTTACTTAAAGGGAGGGGGGGTCTGGGTGGGCGTGATCGTGCACAAACCTCCGTCATTTCCTCTCTGGTCAGGTTCTGTTTGGGTTGCTCCATCATCGGTGCATACATCATCAGTTTTCTTAAGAACAAAAATGAAGTGACGGCAAAGAAAAACAAGTTTCAAGATGATTGTTTGATAACGATACAAATATATGTATTAAAAGACAGTCTGCTCTAAAAAGAAAAGAAAAGAAAAAGCCATGAAATGTGAACCTTGGCCAACAGTAGTATCCCCAGTGGGTCTTTTCTACAAACACACAGCTGTCCCATTCCTGCTGCGTGCGTGGCAGGGTTTTGCCATTATACTGGAGCCACTGGTTGTCCAGGCGGTCCCCTGCAACAAGACCACTCAGCTCCTTCCCTCCACCTACCAAAGAGAAGTTAAAGAAACTAGATTTAGAAGCAGAAAAACTAGGATGTTTATACACAAAGACTAGACAAAAGCTTAAAGACGCTTACAAAGCTCAGAGGAGCTGACGGGGACTTTCTTATGCGGCTTCTTGATCTGTTTCATTATCCCTGCCACAGCGGATATCGCCACCTAGTGGAGGACATAAGACATTTCAAACAATATGCCATCAGGATGCAATAGAAACACAGCACTCTGACGTCCTATCATTTGTGGAGGCCACACCTTCCGGACATAGAGAGAGTCGTGGTTGAGGCTTTTGACGAAGAACGTCACAGCAGGTGGGGGGAGTTGGTGGTCGTCTCTCAGCAGCAATGACAGGAAGCCAATTGCAATGTGTTCGAACTTCCAAGGCCTGGAATTAAAAATACTACAGGCTTAGAGACTAAATTTAAAAAAAGATACAAATGGGATTTGTTTAAGTTAATATTAAATAAACCTACATGTTTCTGTTATTGAGGAAGTCCAGCAGATCACCAATGAGCTGTTTATATTTCCTACGAAAATGTAAAAAAACAGCAGTAATGATGTTTAATATTGACCCTGAGGTTTAGGAACACTTTTTCTGACACGCACGCTCTGGTGGGAATGTGCGATACAGAGAGCAGCAGAGAATAGTAAACGTGCGACAAAGTAGAGACAGATGTGATGACGTGAACTTACTCAACGGACTCAAAGTTCTTGCTCTCCTGCCTCTTCAAACCGTCCGCGGCTTCTTCCTCTGAAGGTACAGGCTCCTTTGGAACGGGATTTCCAGTAATCATGAGTTGATTGGCCACAGCACAGCACTCACCGGGGATCTAACATGATAAAAAAAGAATGTATAGAAGAAAAAAGAAAGTATTTTCATACTTTGTTCAAAGATAATTAAACTTGTAGCAAGCTCCAATAGAAGGGAGCAATCTGTTAAACTTAGAGAGCAGACACGGTTTGGTAAAAACCAATGAAATGTTCACGTAAAATAGTTGAATTACTGTGAAATAAAATCAGGAGAGCTTTGAAAGCTTTGACGTGAGAGAAATAAGGCAGTGGGATGTATCAATCTTTTGAGATATGATTCGTATGAAACTGGTTTTGACTAGATTTGTATAGAGAAAGAAAAGATAGCTGACAGGAGCCATAAAGTCCTTTTTTAGGATCTATTTCTTTGCATCTTAACTACAAGTAGGCTGGTGGGGATAGAAATAAATAATAAAACCATCTCACAGTAATTAGAAGAAATTCTGATATTTTCCGCATCGCCACCACACCGTTTTTGGCTTATTGATCTTTAACGATCATCTGGAGGCAGAAATTTACGTTACAAACAAAGTTATCTTTGTGTTTTTCTTACAGAGAAGTCGACACCGATGGTCTCGTATTGGCGATGAATTTTGTCCGCAAGGTCATCAAAGAGCCGCACAATGGAGGGCTTCTCCAGAGACATGGCGGAGCTGAGGCCGGAACGCACGATGGCGGGCCACGTGACGGCAATGCAGTCCCAGTCGTGCAGATTGGCCAGGCACACGCCACTGTGATTACCCAGGAGACAGTACAAGGCACCCTGGAAACGTGCAGAGAATGTTAACGAAAATATATAAACATTTAAATACTTTTCTCAGATGAGGACTGTCGTACTTTGAACTGCTGCTGTGTGACGCTGCCATTTTCTGGGTTGAGAAACTCCAGTACATGGGGGATCAGATCTCTGCAGCAGAAGTTGTAGGTTCCCAGTGCAGTGTACAACACACTTTGAGCTTTGCTGCGCACCTGGAAGGTAGTATGAAGTCATTGTATTATGTATAAATAACACTTATATCAATGGTATTTTGATTAATCAGTTAAAAACAAAAGAACCCTGGGCATTAATAAATGCTTGGATATGATGTAGATAATACATTGTGGAGTGTCCTGTGGAACTCACTTGACTGTAAGTGCTTGTGGAAAGCCTGAGAAGATCTTTCATGAGCTCCTGGTGGATGCTTCTGTACTGGCATCCTTCCACTGTCAGCTTTCGCAGCTAATTAATTAAGCAAGTTTTAGAGTTAAAATGCTAAAAGAATAAAAAGATGGTGTATGTTAATTTCTCAATTCGGAATTTACCTCGTGCTGGAGCATGACTCTGTCGATTAGCAGGGCTCGGATGTGCTGCTTCCTGCCATGAAGCTGCAAACAAACAACCACAAAGCTATTCAGTCTAAAAAAGCGTATGAGTATTAAGCCCTTTCTAGTATAACAGCGGTACAAAAAAATTAACAAAAGCACAATAAATTGTTTTATTTCTCACTCTGTTTTCCATCGATTTCTTCACAAGGTTGAAGCTCTTCCAGCGGGAGTCAAACTCTGGTTTGTGAGAACCTTTGAAGTGCATCAGGTCGCTGATAATCTGAAAGATGTCAAGACAAAAATATTGATTTGTGTTGGCCGATAGGATCAATACATTAGCTGCTGCCAAAAACCTGTGTAGGAATCTTGTGCGATTGAATGAGGAAAATGTGATTAAAAAAAAATACAAATCTGGAAAACTCATGCCTAAACAATGTCCGCACAAACGATGAGCTAATTTAGAAGCACCGCTCCACTATTAGATTAGGTGTACGTATCATACCATTTCATATTATGAATTTGTGATACAGGTAGATACAGCATTTTTGCAGACATGAGCCACATATATCAGGTAATGCTGGTTGTGGGTGGCCAAGTACAACGGGGCTAATTTACTCTACAAACAAATAAAACTACACAGCCTATCGTGTTACTGCTGGCCTACCTTGATGATGGAGAAAAGAGACTTGGTGTCATCTTCAGAATGCTCCAGGATGTGATCTGTGAGAAAAGGTAAAGGATGTCAGACGGCAGGAAAGAGACCTTTAGTTCATTGTAAACCTGTCTGTTGAGAGGAATGTGACAATAGCTTGGCCAGGACGGTGTCCCACGAAGACAGATAGCAAGACGGAGAGAGAATACTTACGCAGCAGCTGTCTCATCACCTTACAGACAGCGTCTCTGTAGTTCTCTCTGGACTTATCTGCAAGTAAGGAGAATATTAAGAGTTGTTTGCCAACAGTGCGAGCAAGACTTGCATCGTCCAACAGGTTTTTTTAAAAGTGACTTGCATACCATACTCTGCTCCGGTGTAGAGATTGGTCTCATCTAGATTCACCATACTGTGGACCCTGAGTGACAAAGACACAGGCATCAAGACACAGGTTCACAGAGATCAAATGATGTGGAATTGAAATCTCAAAACATCATTTATAAGTCCATCATACAGTCCTTTTAAAAGTAATCCATACATCGATGGGCATTTTGTTTTGGTTTTAAATATACCAAATCCAATAAGCCTTCAATTCATGTATTGGAATGTGCTGTGAGTCAACTCATAGGTGCTTCTACATGAAATCGACAAACTCTTTGGTCACTATCTCAAGAAGGACTCTGCAAAACAGCCAACGATTTTCAAGAGGACACTAAACAACAGTTTCTTTGTCTGTCCTGAGCAAGAAAACAAGGAGTTTAGTATATAAGAAGGACTCACAGTTCAGGGATGGGCTCTCCCTTCAGTGGCGGCATCAGACTGCCAGCTCCAAGGAGGCAGTGTTGAATAATGGTCAGGCTCTGTAGGACATCATCTCTGAAAAAATAAACACATCTAGTGACTTCAGCAGAAACTAGAATGTCATTTATGTCCGTAGCAGGAGCAAACATACCTGCTCATGTCCTGCGTCCCCTGCGCAAATCTCTGAAGACGCTGAAGTTCAGGCTGGAGTATCAGGTCCAGTAGATAAAAAGCAAAAGACGTCTCTTCCAGACTGGGCACATGCCATCGGATATCCAAATTCCACAAGTCGCCAGGACGCCCCCAATCCTGTACGGGATAAAAGACAATGAGTGAAGCTTTTGTTTTTACCTAGTTTGGTAAAAGCTACACCAGTACAACCTGATCAAAATCAATCAAGTATTTTATTCTGATGTCCAGGACGAATATTTAAATCAAAAAGTAAAGGGAATTTTGTGTTTTCAGATTAGGTTCATATATGGTACTTTACCAAAAGAAAGACCACAATATCTGCCAATGCAACTCTAAAAATCTCATCTCAACAAGCAAACTAGCCGGGTGGAGAAACCAACCTAATATCCCCCTCTCTGGTAAAAAGAGAAAAAGCAAAGGGGTCCCCAGCACATGAAGCTATACACATAGCTAGTTAGCTACATGGCTAATTTGGAATGAATGCAACTTTAATGTACTGAATGAAATAGTGATTATTTGTGTAGTTACTAGCTGAGTGTAAAGGACAGCTATTTTTTAATCATTGCTTGATTCGGAAAACCCAATTCTTTTTTTTTTTTTTTTTTTACATACACCTGAGCCATTAATTCAAGAACGCTGAAAGGCCGCGCCCCCCCCCCGGCATGCACTACTGCTGTTAACCACAAAGACCCGTCTTCATCTCTTGTTGCGATCAACTATTTGCGCTATTAAATGGGATCAAAGAAGGAGCCGGGCTCAGACAATTAATCAAACCAGGCTCACAATTAGTGCAACAGAGGCGTTGTATGGCAGAGACACAAATGGCTGTAACGTCAAGTGTTTTATTGTTTCTAAAACACACACTTAAAACCCCTTTAAAATATACAACCAAACAAAAGTAGTACCTTGATGGGTAAGTAGTCACTGATTGGTTGGTGGAACCCTCCTGGCACACTGCAGTACTCTGTGGGGTAGATGAGGGCCGAGGAGCGAAGGATGTGGTGGAGCAGGTTGCAAGCTAGAGTGTAGCCCTGCTTGCACTTGAGGTGCAGCGTCAGCTGCAAAATCTGGACCAGGTCAGAGCGATACGGTAGGACCTTGTCCCCATCCACCCGGGTCACCTGCGGAGCAAACAGCGAGGAAGAAAAAGTTAACTACATCAGTAAACACAGGAATATAAAGGGTTAAGTTAGTAATCGTGAGTGGTCTAAATCACCTCAGACAGCAGCTGGAGATTCCACAAGAACTCCTTGTCAAGCTCCTCCTCATTCAACACTTCCTCATCTGTTGGAACAAAAAGTGTGTTTGTCAGGCAAATGACAAAGATTCCTGTAACCAAATCTCGTGTCATGCCTTTGAAAACCTCCTCTCGTTGGTCGGCTTAAACCGGTTTGGTGAGAACTTACTGACAGCGAGTTGATTTATGATATTGCAGCAGTGGGGCACAAACACCTTGAGCGACTCTGCGGGGTGACACTGAAAAAAAAAAAAAAAAAACCCCGCACAACGAGGATTAACATTGTAAAGCAAAAATTCTAAAAGCAGTTGATGGAGACGTCTGAGTGGACTCACCTTGGAAGCAGCTCTGCACATGTCAGCCACCATTCTGCCCGATACACGGGTCTCAAAGATGTTGGTGGTTGCGAAGTTGAACACCTTTTCCAAAGCCACCTGTTGAAACAATGCGATAACCGGGTTAGAAAGTTCATGGAAATGAGAGAACATAACGATAAACTAGGAATCTGAAAAAGCTTCACCTTAAAGATGTCCAAGGAGCACTGTGTGAGGATGGTGCTGAAGGTGGATGACAGGCCAAGTTCTACCAGACTTTCCAAATGAGTCATTTTCTCCGTTTCCGTTTCCTCGCGGGTTTGTTCCAGGGTGCTGCTGTCGATCAAGGCAAAGCATCTGTGGAGAGGACAAAAAACCCACATGCAAGTTCAAATGGTCAGATAGGATCCCGTTCAAATACTCAACAGACAAAATACTATTTGTTATAATGCTCCATCAGGGGTGCTCAATACGTCGATCTCAAAAGGCAGTACCAGTCGATCGCATGGCATCGATAAAAAAAAAATGACGTCATGTCATGCATGCACGGTCTACAGGAGATGACCAAAACTAATGCTAATGCTAACGGACGCATTTAATTTAATACCAAAGCAACCAAGGCTGACTCCAGTAAGGTGCACGGTTTCCTGCTTCTGACAGATGAGGCTCGTTGTTTTCTTCATATCGACTCGTTTTGCGCGTCACCGCTACTATTTACACCCCCCCGTCAGCCGCCGATAGATGTTAATAAGTTGGCCATAACATGATTTGATAAAGAAACTGCTTGCAACTGCTGCTAAAGAACGAGGCGTCTTTTTAAAGCTCTTCATAAAAACTCCACCTAGTACCTGTCCATGAACTGAAGCACAAAGTCCTCAAACTCCGCTGAAGCTGAGCACATCTCTCTTTCCACCTGAAAGTCATACAAAATAGATCGCTAGTTAGACACCTTGCATGTATCAATCAACAAGGCCAGGTACAATAATAGTGATTCACCTCCGTCAAGTCGGTTCTTTCATGTAGGGCAGACGAGCAGTCCACCAAAGGCACAAGAGTCACAAACGTGGCAATAAATTGGAAGGTGATCTGTTGGGAAAGACATTGTTGCAACTAAATTTGACACATTTCACAAATAAAAACAAAACAGAATTACATTAAGAGTGCTGTAAAGTAAATAGAAATGAATAACACTGGAGCGCACCATGCACTTGCTGAAGTCATTTGGGTCAACGCCCGGCAATGCCCTCATGAGGAGGGGCAGCATGTGAGTGGGCCCCTCAGGAAAGCGCTGCCCACCTGACACCAGGCTCCGTGCCACACCAATCATGCAGCTCAGAGTGGCTGTCAGCTGATGGGGCTCCGTCAGAGTCTCCATGGCAGGGTAAGTTCTACAGTAGGGAAGGGAAACAATTAGAACCTCGGTGTACATTTAGAGTCTGAAGAGTAAAGCCGGCAGTACTCGAGGGTCTCCGGGAGCCAAACCTAGATCCAATGTGTATCCCTGAGATTCTCTCGGTCAGCACAGACTTACTTCTCCAGCACGGGGGGGATGACCAACTCGGGCCTCATTAGAGCCAGGTTTTGCAGGGCCTGGGCCGCATCGAGACTGCCCGTCTTGCTGAACATGGCCAGCAGCACCGGCTGCATCATGCTCTCCACAAAGGCCGTGATGTCCTCCTCTGTGAGCTTGTGACTGTCCGGTATCGGGGGCAGCCACGTGGGCTTCCTGTAGCGCTCTCGGTGCAGCCGCCGCACCACGCTGAACGGGAGACGCTGGAGCAGCTTCATGAGTTTCATCTGGACGGGAGGACGGAGAGACAGATACGGTTGAGTGAATCGGTCACGTGTTCCCAAGCAACATCCTAGAATACACCACCACCCTCCTCGCATACCTCCTAGCCAAAAATCAGGGTTTGTGTATGAGGAGACGTCGCTGCTTTTCTTGCTCCAGATCTAGTAGAGCGGGATCCTCAAACAGAGAGGCATTGGGCCCTGCTGTGACCTTTACCAGCATGGCTGCCATCTCACTCACACAGCCTCTTGTTATTTTTGATGTGGATACAGAGATTTAAGCTTCAAAGAAGAAATGACTTGTGGTGCCGCCGATTGCCACAGAAGGAATGTTGGAACAAGATGGCTGAGTGATGCATCTAAACTCGTATGTCCTGTAGGTTTAAGTCGTAATTCATAATTCTCTGTATTTTTTGTTTTCTCTTTTTGCTACTTAACAGTTGTTGAAGTGTGTGGAAAACTTGGAAAAACATTGTCTATTTATATATTGCTAAATTTCCACGCACCAATCAGCAGCAACTTTAGCGATTTAGTCATAAATATTTATCTCCTTCCCTCTACTGATGAGATATTTTGAATTTACCCAAGACCAGTAAATGCCTGATCTTAGCGTTGTCATTGGGTCACTAAAGAATGTAAAACCTTATAGTGATCCACGATACATTTATCCTTTCTTCTCCTGGTTGAAGGAAGAGACTCACCAGCCAGCGGCCATGGTTTGATGGGTGGAAGAAGGATGTTATGCTGTTGAAAAGGCCACTGAGCTGTGCTTGAGCTTGTTTGCTGGGTCCTCCCTGAAATTGACACATTAAGGGTCAATGTGACAATAACTTTTACACCGTCAGTGATTGCGAATGTTTACCAAACACGTCATTTTAATAACAAGGAACCGACCAAAAGGGACGAGACCCAAAGCACCACATGGCTTATGTCGTAGGCGTTAGTGACGTAGCGTGGCACCATCATCTGACTGGTCCCGACAGGAAGATTCAAACTCCTCAAAATCCTTGTGAAAATCTGAAATGTGTACAAAAACAAATATTCTCTCATTATTTTGATGTGTTTTTTTTTATGTTCACGGGTAACACAAGCAACAAGGCAGAAAGCAGGGATCAAAACAGTCCCTGAGATGAACAGACGCCGGCTGCAAGTCACTTCTGTCGTCTGTGACCAAGAGCAAGGGTCACAAAGAAACTCGATAGCTTGCTTATCCGACCAGCAGTAATGCCATGAAATACACAGCATTAGTCAGATTACAACGGTCGGGCCACAAATCTAAAAAACAGACGAGTACTCAACTGCGTAGTAGGCGGTGGAAATAAATAAATGAATAGCTACAAACCTTGGGGATGTAAGGGTCCCAATCAATGTAGCCAATGTTGTCATTGGCCAAGCGAGCAAACAGATTGACCAGATGCTGCAAAGATGGAAGACAACATGTCACACTGGGTCGACCGATGTGCTGACGTTTGTACATTTGTCTTTTAAAAACAACTCACCATTTCCCAGCTTGGAAGATTTTGCACAGACAACCATAAGGTGATCAACTCGTCAAACCACAACCTGTCAGAGGAACAAATGGGTACAAAAAGGCAGAAGGAGTCTCCATCAGGTATATGTGGAATTCAGCATAAAAAGAGGTTGAGACTAATGTAGCTCTCGGTTTTATCCTCCTCACTGGCTCGTTTAATAGACCAACCTGGGAAAAACTAATTGGGTAGCACTTCATTTAAGCAGGTAAAATGTTTCCAGTGCTTCCCCCTCAGTTGTGCACAAACAGGAACTTTAACAAGGGCAACAAAACATATTTTAAGCCAGAAATACCACAGAATAAATCAGTCCAGTGTTCCCAGTATAGTGCTGTGACAAATAAAAGGAAATATAAAAAAAAAAAAAAAGACTTAAATGCTACATTGCTTGTGACCAACGGGTGATACGGCAACTTAGGAGGCAATCAGTCATGCAGTTTTATGGAAGAAGAAAATACAAGTAAAAGGTGGAATTCGTACAGATGTAAATATTTGGAACGCAACTTCAAACTCTTTTTGCCATCAGGCACAGCTACATTTGTGAAGGCATGCACGATACTAAAAACAATTGTCATGAGTGTGATCCTCTGCTTTGTCCTCTGGTGTAAGTGTACATTTTAGAAGGATATGCAGTGGCCATAAAAGGGATGCATCGCAGTCTGCAACACTGTTGCTGGGTACGTTCTGCCAGCACTAAATAAAAATCACCACATCGCTAAGTCCTTACATATTGACAGACGCGCGGTTTTAATGTCGCCAGCTGGCAGTCCTCTCCGCTGAGCAAGGATCCTATTCCTTCGTCAGTGGCTGACTCAAAGTTGCTCGTCATCTGCTAATTTGTTGTTGCCTCCGAAGCCGAGCTATTCTGTACAGGATCTCAAGGGTAACTAGCTAAACCGTCTCCCGACTGGAGCAATCTTGGAACTCAACCCTACGTAGGAGGCAATGAGTTTCTTACTTGAACCCCTTGTCGTGCAGCTCAGGAGGCAGATTTGTGGTTAGAAAGAGCTCAAAGTAGCTGATTGCTCTTTGCATGGTGACATCGAAGGGGCAGAGGAGTGGTCTCCATTCATCCAGCATCTCCTGAGTAGCACTCTCTGAAAAGTACCTGTACAAACAGAGAAACAGATTTTTTGTCCCTTCTAAATCAAGCAAATGACAGGTGGTGGCAAGAATGTAATGAATAAAAGTAGGTACTAATAAGGACACTTGGAGCACCCTAACCAACAGACTGGCTTATCGAGTGCTACAAAGATGCACAAGCCTCTTAAGTCCCTTACAAACGGCACTGAGACTACATTCATGTACGGTCAAAATAATACTAATACTACTTTTGTGAACGCTTCAAAGCAACGGCATAAGGCTGTTTTTACTCATTAAAACCATTCAGATATATAAATCAAATTCGGAGTGTTAAGTGTGACACTGAGGACGTTTTTAGCTGGCGGGATTAATCCCGTGGTTCTACTGGAGACAGTAGTCCCATGTGAGGATTTCCATGGTTCATTATGCGCTTGTATAAAGCCTGCAGGTTATTTCAGGTCACCCAGCAATCCCACATTCATCAAAAATTGACACTTCCAATCGAGGCTACTTGGCCTCACACACAGCTGATCCAGTGTCTCGGCAGCTGACCACAAATCACTCTCCCTTCTCACAGAGAAGAAACACTCTCACACAAGACGGAATTAGATGAGATAATAGGATCATCTGCCAGAGTGTAAACGGAGGGACGCGACCGAGAGCTTAGAAATGTGCATGCGCACAACTAGGGTGAAAACAATCAGGCACGCTTCAATTCACTACGGCAACAAAAATAAAAAATATATTTCACCAATCTGCTCATCGCTACGTTTTCAATATAGCACTCTTAAATTATTACATTTCTTACTAAAAGCAATACTTATGGAAACAGTTCTCGGACTGATAAAAAAAGGATATTAATATCCTTCCAATCTAAATCTAAGAGAAGGGAAGTCAAAACTGTATACATGAATTGTACTTACGGTCTGCAGCTTTTCACGAGTGTTTTCAGGACACTTTCCACAGAGCTGCAAAAAGCAGAATGAAAGAGAAAGGTCATAGCATTTCAAAACCGCTCCCGCAAAACTGATGTTAAACAGTCACCAATGCAACTTGACGTTGACTGCATGCAGACAGAAAGTTCTTAAGGCGCCTGACTGGTGTAGGGTGAACAAGAAAATATTAGGATCTGTCGAGTATTCAGGAATTGGTAATTAAAAATAATTCATGGATCGTCAATAAACACTCCTTTTTGGCTCTAGTGGTTGACCTCTCGTGCTGGCCTCATGCCAATCCACCGATGAATACACACTTATTTATTACGTGTTCAGTCATAACGCGACACCCTGAATTCAATGCGTTGACACTTTGGTAACAGAGGTGCTTTAGGATTATTGACAATGAATACATTGTCTCACACATAACAAACTCCTGACATGATTATCTTCGCATTTCAGACTGCAAACTCAGGACTGTGGTCACATAACTGTTCGAAGCTCATTACCGATGTAACCACAGCTTTTGAGCTCCACTTCCACAATCCCACCGATCCGCTCGCATGCGAGCTCGGGCCTCGTTGGAAAAGCCCTGCCGATTCCCACTCAACAACTAGTCTGTTTGTTTCTGAGGTACATTTCTTGCTTAGCAACAGCCGATTTGCCGGTGAAACTGCAACTATCTAAATGCAAGTCTCGAGCCCACCGTTTGGAGCTGTAAACGCAGGCCAGGGTCAAACACTCACTGCCAATCCAACAACTTAGACCACTTGTCACGTTGAGCGTCCCATTACAAAGCGCTCAGCCACTCCGGTATAAAGAAACGTCACTTTATGACCTTTGTATCAGAGTTGAAGTGAACCCTCATGTTGTTCACTCCCCCGCAATCCAGGAGGGGTGAGAGGGAAGGGGGATGGGAAGGGACATGACAAGAGCCTGCGCTCCTCCATGACTCATCAAAAAGCTGTGTAGTCGAGCAGGTGCGACTAAGTAGGGATAAGTAACAGAGCCAACGGGGCCAAATTATAGATTATTATTATAAGTATCACAAATACCAAATCTAATGCTGTTGCTTAGCCTGATGGAGTAATTCTGGGTATTTAAAATGATTCTCCTATTTCCTAATCTGGTCATTACCTTGCTACTATATTGCTGCCACACACGGCCAACTGTAGAAAGAAACTGCACCGTCTAATACCATTCACTTGGTTTCATATGGGGAATATCACAGTGGAACAAATCAGTTAGCTGCAGTGCGACCGTCTCCAATATGAGTGAAATGTTAACATTGCCTAAAATGTCCAGGTTTTGTTTTCACATGCAATGTATAAAAAATATATATATTTAAAAAAGAAACAAGTGCCCCAAATGATGAATTGAAGTTAAAACACAAAGAGAAGTATTGTCCTTACCACCTCTGAACCAATTTTATCATTATGAGTTTAGAGGATGAACGAGCCCGTGGAGAACTGAATGTGAAAGGAGACAAAGGCATAAAGAACACATTCAGCACACGAGAAGTGCCAATCACTCAAAAAGATATCAACATAGTAGGCTTCACCTTATAAAATGAATTATGTAATCAGAACATCAACTTCTGTATGCATTAGTACAGTTTTTAAAGAGGTGAACTGTGATCGGCCAAAGTAGCTTTCGTTCATCAGCTGTAACACAGAAGTGATGTGCTTGCATGCCATTCATGTGATAAATGTACAATGTTCCCATAGCACCATAATAGAGCACCTCGCACTGCTTGCCGCCTCAGAGAGAATTTCAACAGAAGCTGCACTGGGATCAGCAGTAGTTATGCTTCTCTCAAAAACTGCGCCTGGTCTAAAGGTTCCTTGTTAGAGTTCACTTATCAAAAAGGGAATGGGGGAGCACAACGTGTTCCTCTGGTTCTCCAACAACTGGTCAAATTACGCAAACACAATTAAGGAAATTCAAACTACAAAAAAATAAAAATAATGTAAGAGTAATCAAAGCTATAACAAGAGCCAAACTTTTTGCCTTGATATACACATATATTCATCTACGATGACTAAAATACTCTGCGTATGTTTCATGAAAAAGTTCCCAGAGTCATTGAGCAAAGTCATTGAACATTACTTGGACTCCTAAAATATTATAGAAGCCTTTTCATTAAATAGTTCCAGTCATTGGTAGTACATTTATTATACAAAAATATTCGGTTAACTTTGAGCAGGACCTCTGGAAAGTTAGCTAATCAAAGTTAAATTGAATAAGCATTTGTGCCTTACCCTAAAAGAAATGGTCGTGAACCCAATGGTTAAATGTGTAAACAGGGTAGCAATCCCTGTCCAGCTCCGATAGTAAATACATTTTACCTACTATGACATTTTATTTTTTTATGATTTCAGTCACTAAATAATAACAGACTGTTCTAGTAAGAGAAATTCAGTCACTTGTTGTGTTCCATTTTCTGTCTAGAAAAGTTCCAACATGCAAAAATGATTGTTCTATTTTCTTCAAAGATGACTGAACTATGATCCAAAACTGAGAAATGTAGTTCGCCAGGGACAAAAAAAACAACTTTGAGTTTCTACTGGGCCTGGATGGAAACAGAGGGTGCAAATGAAAAACAAATAAAAAAACTTTTTTTTAATGTAGTGATTATTTCCCTCCCAATTAGATCCATTGCACTTCCAAGTTGTATTGTGAAGCATGCGTTAAAAAGCGCAGAACAGCAACCGTAAAGAACAGAGGCCTACTTGGGAAACCAGTTGAGGCCCAGATGCTCCGTCTTGGAGAAAAGAATCCGGTCATGGAGCTCATAGAGCGGTCTCCAGCTCAGTTCAAGGTCCTCCCTTGACAGAAGTTCCTTCTTCCTGTTAGATTGATCAGATAGAGAATGAACACACAGATCCTAGCACAGCATGCAGCCTCGACCTGTGAAGAAGAAGGCTATTATTTTGTCAGGTTGTAGCATTTTTTAACACTTTAGTTTACCTTTTACAGTCTCTTTTTAAATAAGTCAGTGTTTAACATGTGTACAGATTGCTGAAAGAAGAAATTGGGGTCATTCTTACTTGAGGAGGTTGATAAGAAGCCGTGCAAGGCCCTGCATCATGCTGATCTCTAGTTTGGGGATGGTCACTAGTTCATAGAGCAATTTGATGAAAAGCACATGGTCTTCTTTGCTGAACTTCCGCCCATACAGTCTCATGTACCTAAAACAGAAGTGCAGATTTAGAGATTATTGCTCCAGTTTCACACCCCTGTGAGCAGCCTTATAGTATGACGGTGCTTATGATATTTCGGGAGACAAACTAAAATAAAATGCATAACAAACTCAAATTTTAAAAGCAAACGGTTAATTTCCAATCAACAAAACCAGGCGAAGGAAAACCAGCTTAATTCAGACCTTTGGAATGAGCTTGTTTTTGGTTTAATAGCAGTGAACAGAATCTGGGTCAACCCCACAGTAAACTTTCCATCACTCTGAGCCGGAAGTGACTTACTCAAGAGCCGAGCAAAGAGCCAGCACTGGGAACTGAACCGGATTAAGGACAGCCCAGCACCCGAGAACAACCAAATGACAACAGCACGATCAAGTTACCTACGGGTTTATCTACTATGTTTTCTGATGGTGCTTTGTGACTCATTACGAACCGTGTTGATGAATGCGGAATGAAAGGGGGTTACACATGGTTTATGGTCTTTGGTAGAGTTAGACCCAATACGTATAACTTATCAAGCCGATAACGTTAACTGATAAAGTTGATCTCTGTGCAAATCTAAAGCTGGCCGTTGAACAATATTTCCGTGAAGCAACTCCACAGGAACCTTCTCAGGAAAGTCAACAACATTTGACTGTGTGATTTCTATTTTGATCAGCTGAGGTGTCACCTGACACGCCGATTCCAGAAGTCTGGGTCAAAGCCACATGAGCACAGCAGCAACACTGTTGGGGTAAAGGGGCCAGGTTTGTGTATTTGACACACTAAAGCCCCGGTTATGAAACCCAAACCGACTCTAATCAATGTGCATTGGTTCGAGGCATGAACAGCTGATCGCTGACGTCAGATCACCCATTAAACTGTACCAACAACCAAAAAACAAACAACGCAGGCCTTTTACTTGCAACTTCCCGAGCTTGACATCGATCGGAGGACGTAACGTTACACTTGACTAAAGAACGCGGTGTTTTCTACGTCAGGTGCACGAGGAAACGTTGCACAACAAACGTTACGTCAAAGTATCCCGGGTGAAAACATCAACACCATCGTTAAGGAAGGACACCAGATGATTATCTGATGGTTAAGGTTTACCGTTACTTACGTGGAAAGTTTCCTCGTCCAGAACAGCACGCCGGGCCATATCTCTCGGAGCTGAACAGCTCGGCACAGGTTTCCTTTTATTTTACTCAAAAGATCATTGGATTCGTCATCCAGCCGGTCCGCGTACGGGAGAAGTTTGTTGTATACGATGTCTTTTTGAGGAGCGAACCCCAATGTGTCCGACTGCGCCCTTTTCATCATACAAATCCCAACTGGCTAGCTTCGGCGTGCTAGCAAATGTTACTCGGGTTACTTTGTTCCGGTTTCGCACAACACGTTTTGTTACGCTACTCGGCGGGTGTATCGTCGTCTAGCGGCTCCCCGGCGCCTTCGCGGATGACTAGTGAAAGGTAGCCGAGACACACACGGAGACTAACTTGTGACACAAGTTGATGATACGCTAGCTAGCCATCTAGCAAGTTAAGTTAGCTTCCTTTACCAGAAAACATTGAACGAATTCCATAATTAAAAAATTAAGGCTAACGGGGAAAAACCCACGACTTTGTCCAGACAACGCGTTGGGACAACAATATACTTTCTTTTTGGCGAAGTTAATCCTAAAAATCTGACAACTAGCTAGCGGTCTGGCTAAAGTTAGCTTTGTACTACAAAAGCACAGTCATATCCCAAGGAGTGTCAACGTCGACTGATTCATCCGACCACGGCAGAGCGGAGCAATAGACACCCAGCTACGCGCTACACACCGCAGCCGTCATATCCGCTGGCCGCGGGCAGAACTACACTTCCCAGCACTCCCCTCTATATTCTGCTTTTTACCATTTACCCTTTAGCCAATCAACAGGGAGGATCAAAGCTACACTAGACATCACGTGTCTTCTTTTTTTAACAGCAGTAACGTTGATACATTGTTGGGCAATTTACTGGGGATTTACAAATACACACTGTCATCCGCGTGTGTGCCGTGTCTGCTTTCATATCCTGGGTTATACTTGCCTCAATAAAACGACGGTTGCGTGATAATATCGCTGAGCACGTATGCGTGACGTCAGAACAAGTAGGACCCGAATCTAACCGGCATGCACTGTGCGTTAATCGCCTGTGATCATGTAGGGTGGCTGGTCTCGAAAATAATGTGACGTTTAGTGTGCTGAGGTCGCCATCGTGCGGTTAAACTCTGGGGCACAAGATAGTAGATTCCATGAATACAATGGGACCGAGGTCCCACTCCGACTACTGTTCAAAGTACTGATGTTGTCCACTAAATTACGGGCGAAATAAAACGAATAAATGTCCCTCTTACGCTCAGAAAACTCTCACATGTGATTCTCACATAATAGAAGCGTGGACGATCCCAATTTTATTAAAAAAACAAGAGGCAGCGTATATTTACCCTAGCAAGGTTAGTTTATTTTGTTTTTCGTGTGTGAAACGTCTTTTTCTTAAAGACAATCTTTGGTAACGGAAGTGAGTGTCGGTGTCCTAGCAACAGGCAACGTTGGGCCACCTGAACGCTGAAGTGTCGAAGAACGTTAATTTAGTTTTACATAAGTTACCTTTAATGTAACTATTCGTACAACTACACCACCTGAAGTTACGTTACTGCATATGGTTAAGGATGGATTTTCGGCCACATACACCGGGAAAGTAATTCGTGTTTATATTCTTTTTCTGGTGGGGGCAAAGACAGGGGCGAAGATGGTGATTGAAAAGCTCAGTTTAACTTGTGATGGACTTCTGTCACACCGACAACTTGCGTGTTGTCCCTCTTATTGTGGCATACCGCTGCATGGCAAGGACATGCTGGTTTACGGTAACGTGGACGCAGTGCAGAAGGTTCGTTAACACGGTTTGGGTTCTTCTCTTTCCCAAATCCACTCCTAATAATGGTTATTATGTAGTTTGAAACAACATTTCAGAATCTAAATTAGAATGACTAGATAGTCACGTCATTTTACGGTGGATTGTTGTGAGTTTTTATATTGAAAACAATCTAATTTCATCCATCATCCAGGGTCTACAGAAATAATTTGTTAAAATGTGTTGTCTATTTCCCTAACGCTAATTTAAATCTTTGTCCACAGCCGCTGTTGCTAACTGGCCACCATGGCGAGGTCAGTGCAATGACCTTTGGAAATCTAAGCAGTCCAGTTCTTCTCTGCTCTGCCTCTGCTGACTACGTCATCGTCTGGGATATTGAATTGTGCAAGAAGAGAACACAGGCGGGTGAGAAAATAAATATCTGTGTGTATCTGCAACGCATTGCGCTGTGAGGTTGCTCGTCTCATCAGAGTGTCGTCAGCTGTCTTCAACATTAGTTTAATACCGTGCTGTTTATTATGTTTTGAACTCAATACTTTCATTATAAACGTCATTGAACAATTCTTCAATGAACAGAAATAGACAGAAATAGATTACTGGGATGAGATCAACGGCAATGTGAAAGAATGCAGATTATCACCGTGAAACAAAATTAGATGACTTAAGTTTTCCATTCCAATGTCCGTAAAAATAGACCCTCCATCCACGGTCACCCATCTTCCTGTTCACACCTGAGTAACATCCCCCGACTGGTGTTGCCTCCCAGACTAGTAGTGGGCATAATGCTACCATCTAGTGGTCCAATTGCTTTAGTCCATATATATACTCAACTATATATTGAAAATATAAACATATAAGATAGATTTCTCCTACAATCTGCTTAGTTATGGAGCATTCTTGTTGTATTGTAAATATGATCATTAATTTGACAGTTTGTAGGTCACCTTAATCTATTATGTTCAAGAACTTCCTTTGCTTTGATTCTAAACAAGCTGATTGATTTACTTGCAGGCAGAGTTGCAGTTGGAACAGTTGTCGGGACTTTACTGGGTGAAGTGGTCCATCTTTCATTCTGTTTCTCTGATGAGCGAGTGGCAGCATGCTCAGGAGCAACTGTATATATTCTCACTTCAAAGGTACAAGATCATGCACATTTTCACCATTTCCCACTGTGTGGTCATGGGTTGGCAAGAGATTTGCTCATAGGTCTCTGAGTCAACTAAGAGAGGGCCGCCCTATACGTCTCTATCATAAGAAGTGTGGTGTAGTTTCTGTGAGATGGTTTGCTAGCCATCTTATGTCCTCCAGTTATCCCATCTAAGTTTTATTGTTGTTTTCCACATCAGAGACAGGAGGTGGTATCCACTTTGACTTGCCACTCCGCCCCATTGACATCGGCAGAGTTCTGTCCCTGGAATAAAGACATTCTTGTCACCACATCAGAGGACCGCACTTTTAAAGTACTGATAGAAAGAAAATATCCCGCTTTCAATCCATACCAAATATTAAACACGCTACAATTGAGTTTCGTTAACAAGAAACTACTTTTCTGTTTCTCTTTTCAGGTGTGGGATTTAAAAACGGAAACTGTTTGCTACCAGTCTTTTGTGCTTTCAGGTAAGATATTACAATGATCATGACTATTACCCATGGAATGTATTGAAAATAATTATTCGTTAGTATATGAATTTTCTGCAAGTATCTAAATTTAAATCACATGTTTTGTATAGTGGCAGCTGTAAAGGAGTCAGTGCTTGCAAAATTATTAAAATGTTCCTAAATCCAATGTTTCATTTCTTTAGCCTCTCCACTGCTCAGTGTGCTCCTATTAGAGGAGAACAAGCACATTGTCACTGGTTCAACTGATGGTCAGGTCAGTGACTGACAGCAGCTCATAATCACATATCTCATAAGAATTCAATTCATAAAGCTGAACAACACCTGTCTTTGTTTGGTTTAGCTGTGGTGCTTCTCTCTCCCGGATGACCACAAGTGTCACCTGGTGACAAAAATGGACCTCGAAATGATGGAAAAAAGGCATCAAATGCAACAAGGGACTGTGAGCGATCAAACAGGTCATATTACTGATGTATCAAAAAATCAATGACAGATTATATTTAGTGCCGACTTTGTGGATAACATTAATCAAATTGTTTTAGATAAGTCCTATGCATCTTTTCTACTCTATGACCAAAATCAAATCAACTAAAATAAATTACTTATTACACCTCAATTCTGATATATTTCTTGCAGGGGTGGCAGAACAATCGGCTCCAGATAAAGTGAAAACCTCAAAAGCTGTTCTCAGAATGGCTTTCTGTAACTCACTGACTGACACCAGTAGAGGGCATACAAAGTAAGGGCATGATGTCCACATCACAGAGAAAGCGTGTGTTTGTAGTTTGTAGTGGGCATCTCTGGGTCATGGTTACCAGGATAATCCACACATGGCCCGCTCTAAATGTTCACCGGCAGAAAGAGCAACCGTGTTTGGAGGAGAACGTCTGTGCGTAATGACCCACGGTTACAACATGGCAACCTTTGTTTACAGGAAGGTCAGATCCATAGAGAGAGGGGCAATCCCTTTGTCCAAGGTGGATTTCATAGTGTCAGCATAGAGACTGCTCTCACGCTCCAGTGCTCGCAATGATGACTGGACGTTATTATTTTACCACAAGGAAGAACTATTTTACTTTTTAACTATTTTAATTTTGTGACAAGGAATCTCAATGTTGAAGCAGCAAGGCGCCATTCTCAAGGCCTTCAATTGTTCTTATTTCCGCGAGGTAAAAGTCTATGTGATCCGGGAAAATACTACAATAGCCATGCAAATAAAGTCATACGTATATTTCTGCCAGAAACACTTCGTAGATGTCATATTGTCAGAAAAGGCCTGGAAAAAAAGTGCTGAATGGAATACCACATCTACTTGCCGCACTTGCATCTACATGCAGTGACAGAAGACGTCAAAGGAAACTTTGCAGTTTTGTGGCATAATCTGTTTCAAGCTGTTCAAACATTTGATGTTATGACAGGAAACAGGCACTTTAAAAGCACTGACACAACTCTATTTATTTTATGGACCACTGGAATGAAATGGACGTTGGTTCCTTATTGCCATTAGGAAAGCATATGGTCTCAGAGCGGTATCCACATAATCTTTACTTTTCTCGTTCGGCTACTGCATGAACTCTGAAGGTCTGAAACCCTGTTTGGCTTCTATTGCTTGACATATAACACAACAACATTGCTTGGTTGTTATATGTGGTAAATATGCAGCTGAAGGAGTAACTTACTGTTTTTACTGTTGAAATCTAGTATTACAGTGTCCATGCTGACAGCACCGGTGCTGATGTTACGTTGTTAAAGCCACAGTGAACGATATTAAGATTTCAGTCTTTGGCGCCTCGCAGTGGCAGGATCTGAAAAGACCATTATGCCGAACAGCACTGAACGCGCAAGACAAATGTTTTATTTAAATGGTGCAATTATCACATAAACATCATTATACGATGGCATTTGTTGTCTCCATCCTGTACAGAGGCACAGGCTCAGCGTGAAAATAATGGTGCACTTAAATGTACCTTTTTGCAGACATTATTATAGCCTCAGCATGTAGCTCAGGAAGTTGATGAAAATGATCCTTCAAGCTAAGTTTCCACTCTCTTTTCTGCTTGATGTGGCAGTAGTTTCCATCTTGCTGGGGTATACTTAGTTTAGACTACATGAAGTGAAAGGAAACTTGAATAAAAACCTTGAGTCCTATGGTGTGCATTCCCTGCAACTCCATCACATCAGTGTATTTTTGTTGAGCATGTGGTTTCATTGTCTTTTGCCACATGATGTGAAATAAATGCTTTTACTGGGAACCCGGTAACAGTGTTGTCCCATACTTTTCTGTGTGGGCTCATTCAGGGAGAACAGCTGGCTGTGTATTGGAAGCACCGATGGTCTGTATGTGGTTGATCTGGCTACTTCAGAACTTCTAACAGCACTATACTTCGAAGGTAGGCTGGTGGTGGTGTGACTTCTCCTATTACCACTGTAGAAACATCTATGCACAAGCAATGCACCATCTTTAGCAGAAATTATGTGATTGTATTTCTTTCTTTGTATTTCTAAACTTCACTGATGGATTTCAGAATGTTACTTTACAGACTCATGACTGATGTTTGTTCCTCCAGACTACCCCAATCTGAGCGTCACAATGGCTGGCTCCTGGTCCATCTCTCCAGGCTGGGATAACTCTGTGAGTAAAGCCAATACAACCTTAATAAACCACATTAAAACCCACTGGTGAATAGTTATTGTAACTGGACTTATATGGACTGCAAGAGGATTGTAATTAAGCATAATCAGAGCAGACCACTTGTGTGCCGGCCCGGCTGCTTCTGCCATTTCTGCTGAATGTTGATAGATCATAATAATACGAGTAAAACAAATTGTCAAATTCCACTACTGATTCCAGACTGTTAGAGTCTGTTTGAAACTGTTTCACCATCCACTCTTGGATACTGTGAAATGGACATTTTTCAAAGATTCAACCGTGATTTGCGTTCGCTTCGCGTAGAGATCATTGTCTCTATTTCCTATTCATGAAGGTATAGTTTTATTGTATCACTTAAAATGATAATGGAATTAAGTGTTTCAATATTAATTCAATCTCAAATTCCCTGTCACACAGATGCTGCTCTTAGTGAGCTCTTTGTTAACTCCACGTGTGACCCTGTTGGAGTTGTGTCTCTGTGACCTAAGGAGGACGTTGGCTTGTGGTGAAGGCTTTCTGGTTTTCCCCAGGTAAATGAGGTTTTGTTTTACTCTATTGAACATACATTTCCTTTTTTTGCTTGCTCCATTCAATTAGGAGATCAAAGTAACAAATCAGCTGTTAGAAGGTACTCAGTGTTTCAAGGACTCTTGCTTCTTGTGTGGTCTAGAATACTGTGCACAGGGGCTGTAAATAAGGTTTTCTTGACAAAGAACAACCTGATAAATATAATAGTATATATTTTTCAGCTGCTTGTAATGTAATTAATTTGGTAATTTGTTGATTCAGTGGTGCTAGTTCATGAGAAGCTTATTTAGGGGAACTAGTGCTTCAGACATAAAACAACTGCTTCCTGTAGGTCATGTGATCATCTGGCTCCAGCCTCAAACCGCTGTGCTTAGTGAATGAATAGAGGTTGATATGTTTTTAATCAACATGGTTTAATAAAAATGTCTGTTAAAAAATGAATTTAAAAGATCACACTGTCATTGCTTTGAGAATTTCATTGCTTTTTAAAGGCAAAACAAATGGAAGGAATGAAATTCAGGCAGGTACTACCTCTACAAATGATTATTTTGCTAAATCAAGCAGAACCAATGAACACTGATCATTTTCATAAACATTATGTGTTGTCTGGTTCAACAAATTTGCAATCTATAAGACATCAGCCTGTTAAAATGTGCAAAAACAGAGTAGTTGTTGGCTTTTGTTGCTCTCTCTCTCAGACACTGGTCACCTGACTAGTGCAATGATATATACAACATTGCAAAAATGTTTCCCCCCCGACTCTTCTGTCTTAACTTGCCATATTTGAGCTATTCTTGCCATCTGCTTTTTAAAGAGTCAACAATATGGCACTGGGAATTAGAAACACTTAATAATCCACAATGTTGGAAATGCATCGTTCCTTCTTTTCCAGTAACTCTTTTCGCCCAGTTCACCCCGTCACCACCTTCTTCTCCCTTTTTGTTTTCAGTTCTCCTCCACTGCCTGAATCTCCTCTGAATGCAGAGTTACAGAAGAAGGAGCCTAAACATCCTAAAAAGAAAGGTCAGCATTTGAACCCTCACCCCTCTCTCAACTATGCTCATGATCATAAAATAAAAAGGGAGCTGCTGCTGTTTGACGACTCTTGGTTTTAGACGTATGACCTATTTAATAATTTATTCCATATCTGGCTCTCTATCTGTTTTGCTTGGACACACACAGCCTTCTAAGATTGGACCTAGTGTATGTTTATAGAAAGTGTCTTTTGCTATTAAAGCAGCCACCGAAAACCTCTTCACTCTGTAAATATGGAAACATTCAGTGCTTTGCATTGTGGGAAATATAAATGTGGCATTCATAATTAGTCTGTTTTACTTCAGTTTCAATGTGCCACATGGGCAGGTGCTTTAAATTATGCAACAGTAAGAGCACAAGACATTCACTGTGACACATTGTCAACAATAAGCGGATTGTACGGCGGCTTCTTGCAGTAGGGGAGTCCTTTAATGAAGTGAGTCTATTTGTGGTTCTTTGGTGTATCATTAGGAGCTGGAAGCTCAAAGGTACCAACAGTACAATATACTGTGGTTTGCATGTTGGAAAGTTGACGCTCGGTATTTGCCAGGCTCCCTCAGCTGGAGGGAAGGGAGCAGCCAGTGGGAGACTGTGTAGGGGACCTTCAGGGGAGTCCAGAGGTGCTGCATGAATCCAGTGTCAGACCACAAACATTCACAGACTGTTACCCACCACGTTGCCACGTATGGAACTCGATACTCTAAAGCAGAGGTCTTCAACCTCGGCGGAGGTACTGCAGGCAGATTTGGTTCATTGGTCAATTTTAATTTTTTCCACAAATTGAAATGTCTTTAAATATACATTAACATGAATTCAACATATTGTAGCAAATGGATAAATACAAGCAGAATACGTTATCTTGCAGTCCCACAATCACTTTCCATATTTAGGTTTAAAATAAAAACGTTCTTTTGCACAACTTAAATTTCTGATTATCATGTAATTGACAGATAGGTTGGTATAATTTGACAAGGTATGTTTATAAATGGCAGTAGCTTGGCCCCCTTTGCTCACTCTACCTATGACGTGTGTATTATTATTATTTGTGAAATAGCTTAGTATTGAACGCACAGTAAGGCATGTTTGTGCATGGCACTAGGCCCAGTTTAATATAAAACAAAATCAGTTTAGGGGTCCTTGCCCTGAAGAACATTGTAAACCCCGGTTCTAAAGAATTTCAGGAGCATTATATACAAAATATACCGTTTCTCAATTGTCTGTTACAGCTTTTTCAAAAGAACAGTGATCACAAATAAGAAATGTTGACATGCGTCACCCCCACATTACATAAGCATGAAATAAACAAGGACTCTTGGCTTTTTGAGATGATTATAATCTGCTGCCGTTGCTTTTTGCATGATGTCACTTTTCTGAAGTGTAATGCCCGAGCCTTGCCTGTTTCAGTCGTTTTTATAGGAAGGATATCAAGGGACTACTAAAGCAGCAATTGGCATTGAATGGCCACGATTGCAAGTTCAGAACTAACTTTGAATGTATCTCAGTCCTCTGTGCAATGGGATCAAAACAGTATTAACTGTCAACATAAAAGCACAGATTACACACTACCATTTGAATATTATTTTTTGTGAGGAACAACTTTAGAGGAAAAGGAGGCCTTCATGTGCTCCGATGCCTTTAATGTGGAAAATGTCATCAAGCATTCTTTGCTAGTTTTGGGTACAGTGAGATTGAAAAAACAATCTGTGACCCACATTGGACGCAGAGGCCTTCACTTGTCCAGTACATATTAGCGGAGAGTGTTTAGTGCTTCTGACTGTTTTTCCATTATTCATTGCTCTGCAGCGACTGCTGTATAGAGAGCCTTATGGTCAGTAAATGTAGTTCACAACTTCCCATCTAGCTGTCCAATAAAGTTTGATAGTGTGATTAGTATTTTTTTCACATAGCAACATGTAGCGTTATGTTCTTTGCATTTTTCGTATTTCCCCCCAGTATGCTACACAAATGTCCCACATAGGCAGCGTATTCTTTATGTGCTTCATGACGTATCTGCCTGTCAGACCCTTAGTTTGCCTCCATATTTGGGATTCCTGTCAGTCAGCAGTTACTGTACCTCCGATACCTTTTTGCTTCTACTATGTTTCCCTCCTCTCACTATGTGACCCACTTTTTACAGGTCAGTAAGGAAATAATAAATAAATAATAAGTAATGTCTCAGGGACGTATATACCTGCTATGGTTAAAACATTTTCAGAAGCTTGAATTATTTCTTTTCCTTTTTATTGGTCCTCCGAGGGAGGTCTGCGTTTGCCCGTCTCCTGAGAACCAGAGTTCGTGTTATATTTTTCGAATTAACTCTTGGTCTGACCTTGTGACCTTTTAATGCAGACAACTGTAAAATAAACAATTGTTGCTTCTTAAAATTAAAGAAACCCAACATCTGATGTATATTTTAAGTCATGTTAGTAGTAATAACCACTAATGGTTTTTGGTCTCAGAGACAAAGCATGATTGTAACTTTAAATCATTTGTGGCTGCTTTAGTCTTTGAACCAGTAACTAAAAAGTCTCAATTTTTAAACTGGACTGATGAACTTTATTTTTATGATTTTGTTTTTGCTGACATGGTTCAGACAGTTCAGGCTAAGTCTCACATAATGAGCGCTGTAAAAACAGCACACAGCAAGCTGCTGTGATTTTATGGAAAGTTTATGACTGCACTTGGAAATTTGTCTGAAATCCGTGCTTCAAATGAGGTCTAGTGTCAGCGTAAAGTATGAAACTTTCATTGCCCAATAAAACTAAATGACCATTATATATCAACAGGGGGTTAATAGGGCTGTTGTACCATGACAAGTGACTGTGTTGCCATATTATTCAATTTCTATCCAGAATTTCCTGCATGTAATCTGTTCTGGATCCAAAGTTACTTGCAGGACTTCCCCTTACACATAACATAGTGGAGGAAGGTGCAAAATGGTAGCAACTGTAGCGCCACAAGCCCTTTTATCCACCAGAAGAAAAAGCATTTGTTACGTACTTTTTACCGATTGAAACTACTATAAAGTACACATTTGACCCAGATTGAGAACACCTGGTTTACGAAAGCTTGAAGTCATTTTAAACTAAGTTAGGAATTAAGACCTCTGCTTTTACAGAGGCAGCACAGGGTGAACATTTTCGACAGCGTTATTCTTTGATGCTGGACAGGTAATAAACAACAGAAAAACTCACCTTACTTCAAGACCACAATACGATTTTTGAAAAGGAACACTAATAATAATTAGGGTTCCTTTTCAAAAATCGTATTATTTATTAAAAATAATTAAGATGCGATTAGACATTTTTGAATATGGTATTTGAACTGCGACATAACTGCATATTTGTGTAACTAAATGGCACTACAGTTCCAATCAATCAAAAGTAAATCTTTAATCAAGTTGGTGAACAACAATCTGTTTCTAAAACTGCTGCACCACTGACAGCTTTGTAAAAAATATAATTCAAAGGAAAGATATTTATGATAAAAGCTCAATTATACAGTTAACTTATCCAGATTTACTTTGTTTTGTTGCTCAACTGAATGAATGTCAATGAATAATAATATGAATTCATTGACATCAATTCATCAATCAAGGTGATGAGCTATTATTGAATCCAAATCAATCCTTTGAACCTAATTGTATATATATATATTTTTTTTTATACCAATTCAAGTCTTAAATTGCCAAACAGAGATTTTGCAATGTTTCCTTGCTTTGCTTATTTGCCAGGAGAACAGTTTTTGGAAAGCGTCACACGTTTTAATGGTCGTGGAAAAAGTGAGCTCATTGTAGTAAAGGCACTGACAGTGAACAGGGAGCAGAATGAACCATCCCGCAGATTGCTGCAGATGGACATAATGCTCACAGCATAAAATTCTATCTTCTTTTCCTAGTGTATTCCATGAAAAGCCATCACAGTATAATGAGCAATTCTGTCTTATGGAAACTAATGAACTATATTTCCCTTTAACTTTTGACTCACATTGTTACATCCACTCATTTGTAAATGGGGCTCTAATCTAATATTGTATTTTTGATCACTATATGTGCTAAAGATATATCTGCATACTTGTCTATGTGCAATGCACTACCTTATTGTTTTTACAAAGGAGGAATAAAGGAGCAGCCTCTGGTTTTCCACTCAAACGTGAAGTCATCTGGATACACCAGTGCCCCGAGGTAGGTAGACCGTGACTTTTTTCCTAATAGAAAAATCAAATTACAGTTTATCCAAATCCATAATTTGGATTAGGGTTAAGGGCCACTTTATTGTAAAGTCAACTGTGAGAAGGATTGTAATTAAAAATGAAGTTGAATGCACTATTTTCGAAATAGGGTTTGTTGAATTAAATCATGTGACATATGTTTTTTCTTTTCAGAAATATTATGTTTTCACCTAAAACAAATAACCAGAAGAATTCTTCCTCTCAAAAGGCTAAGAAAAATAAGTAAGCAGTCGCATCATTTAAAATGCATTGAAAATGTTGTTATTAAAACTAAACGTTTATCATTTTTTAGAGGTTTGCTCCTCAGAGATTATCCAGCAGACATTGCAGCACCTTCTATTCCCTGCGTTCATCTAAGCATTACCAATAAGCCAGTCCACTGCCTTCAGTATTCAGGTGAGACCATTTAGCTGCTGCAATACTGACCACAATATCTTAGACTTAACATAATGATGTATTTTAATGTGTCATAGAACTTGTTTATGTCTGTGCAAAGCTTAAACTACTGAAATTTCTTTCGAGCCCTCAATTTCACAATAAGAACTGTCCCATGATCACGTGTCAGGACTGCAGGATACTACAACATCAATGCATTGAGTGGTGTCATATAACATAGATCTAGATTGTGAAGATCCTTTGAAGCCTTAATTTGTAGTACTTTGTTCAGTAATGGGATTCTAGGCATTAAAGTACAATTGTCAGTAAATTAAGACCAGTTCATTGTTTTCATTAAAGGATTATACTACACGTTTATGGATAAGTGTTTCCTGTTCCAACTAAACACATGGCTTTCCCACTAAATACAGAGTTCTTGTTTTCTGGAAAAGATAAATCGGCTATTGACTGTTCCCTTGTCTCTTCCAGGTGACGGAAAACAAATACTGTGTGGTCTTGGCGACAGCTCAGTGTTATTGTACAAGACCTCCCTGGCTGGCAACCCAACTGTCTACACAGGTGCTGTGCAGTGGTCATGAGTATCCGTACCTTATAACCATCTGGGTTTTTTATTATTTGCCATCAGTCACTCCAGTGTTAATGCAGGCGGCGCATTTGAATGATTCATCTGACCCATTATTCATAACATTTTTTATGATAGGCCTTTGTGGATTGACACAGCGATCAAAGGTTAAGATCTTACCCCCAAAGATGCGGAGAATGACAATACTAAGAACTTCATCTGCTGCTTGGATTTAGGTCTGCATTATTTGGGATATTTTTGATTAAGATACTTTGAAATGGATCCACGGCTTAAGATGAAAGACTGCTCACATTTTCCAAATATTCACTTTATCTGCCATCACTGTCAAAATAGCAGATAAACCACTCTCTTTTACCAGAAAACGCATAGTTTGGTTACATTCCCTGGGTGATGATAAAAAGTGTAAGATGAAAAAGGCATCGCTTTTGAGACAAACTAGGTTTGACCTGATATAATTCCTTACTTATCTTTTTTGATACTGTGTCAAATGCACTCAGTGACCTTAGGAAACACAGTAATCACAGTCAAAGAATGGATAGACATCATTTTCACGCACTTCTTTTGAACCTTGATGGCTTAAGTGCATTTAGAACACAGTCTCCACAAAGGGGCAGCAGATATGAGAGGGCAGGAGTTGAGGTGACCAGTAGGTCACCGTGTTCCTCTTCTCTTCACTGTGCCTGACTCTCTGAGCAGAACCATAAAAGCAAATGTTGCAGCTCCACGCTGTTTTAAAGATAATTTCCAACCTCCCTCTTTATGAGCAGGGCATGACAAGCCAGTGAGCAGCGTGAGCTGGAGCCTCAACAGACAGTTGTGGTTGAGTGCGTCAGAGGACCAGTCTCTGCGAATCTGGACCCATGGTAGCCCGAAGCCAGCAATTACCATGGTAAATGTTCCATGCATTTGTAAATACAACTTTTTGTAACAGTCATTTTGAGCTCTACATACCCTAACTTGAGGCCTAAAGTTCAACAACTCACAAAAATGTGAAATAAAGACCAGTCAAAGGGACCTCATATAGCACAAACGTTCTCATTCTAAAGGTATACAACTCAAGTTGATTGAAGTATGAAACAATTACTACAGGTGCAAGACAAATGCATTTTTGTCCAAAAAAAAGGATTTCAGGATTTCAGTGTAATGTTCAATGTATTTTTGACATAGTTGATTCTTAGCAGATCTGCGTTGCTCCACTCAGTGAGTTTGTTTTGAGCTTGGCTGGGTCTGCCCCATTTGATTGGTTGGATTCTTGTGAAGGAACTTGTCAACAAATGTTTTAGCACAGTTTTACTTGTAAAATGTAGAAAGAAATAAGTACAAAAGCACAAAATCACGTTGATTCATGTGGGTTTCTCTCTCTCTCTCTTTCCCCCACATTCAGGGTGTTTCATGTGTCATTTTGAGCAATTAAACAGCCCTGGTTGCGGACAGCATAGTGTTATAGCTTTTTATTGCTGCAAGTATTCGGCCGTGGATTTAATTTGTGTTTTTGAGGCCCTTGTCTTTTTTTAACTTCAATGACGTTCCAAATAATTAAAAAAGAAAATTAGGAACAACAGAAAACTAGATGAATAGTTTGATTTTTTTCTCCTGTCTCATTCAGGGCGACAGTATGTTCTTCAAACCCATTAGAGGTGCTCAGTTTTATTACCTCGACAAATTTCTGCTTCTGGCATCTGGACACTCCCTGTACTTGTACCTGTACAATGTGGACACCACACGAGACAACATAAAAAGGTAATTACAAGGGATCATAATGCAGAAACTGTTCAGCACTTAGAATAAATGGTATAGTATGCATGCTATGGAATGGTTTTGAATTTGATTTAGTTATACAATAAAAAAAACACTGATAGAAAGTGGCTGGTCTCTTTTGGGGAGCTATTTAACATTGTGCAACACAATTAGATACATTGGCATTTAATCAAATCTATCTAACAATTATTGCAAGGTTGTGAGGGCATTTTTTCAGTGCCACTTTTCTCCTCAAGTCACCCATTTATTGTAGTTATGACAACTGGCGTACGTATATTGATTGCCACACCACTGCAATGCAGGAAGAAGGTAAAATTTGGATCAAAGGACTGATCTTTACTGAGACTTATGTCCACCGTGTGAGGCTTTGTTGCCTAAGATAGCTTTCTTAGTGGTGATTGGACACAGGTGGAAACAATTCGACAATCACAGGGGATGACAGGACCAGGCAGGAAGTGAAGTTACCCGGGGACACGAGTGGCAGAAAACTACAAAATAAGACAGGAAGTGAACGACACCGTGACAGTTACTGACTTCACAGGGTCTGGCTTTATTTAGCTGCTACCACACACTTCACCCTGCTAACAGTCATTACCACTAAATTGCTTGGCTGTGTTCTTTAAGCTGTCAGGGTTCATGCCGGAGACCATGGAAATGTATGTAAATGCTATATGTTTTTGTAATGTATGTTGCTGTTTCATCTTGGTCCTCTTTAGGTAATCATACATGTGATAGGTTGTCTGAAGGGAAACAGAAACAAATAAATCAAACATTTGTGTTGAATACTCTTTAATAGTCGTATAGCTCAGACAGACATGAAGAATGATGAGTGATCATGTTTGAATTTTGGTCCTAATCCTAGTAACAATTACTGGTTTAGAAAAATAGGCATCTTCTTATTTTTCTTGTTAGTTATCAGCAACGGAGCGTCGTCAAATTGACAAGAAGCTTTACGACGACATCAGCAACAGACATCACTACCTTGTCTGCAATCAACGATTTCTTCTCTTGTATCCTTTCTGTTGTTATCACTGGTCTTGGTGCAGGAGGTGTTTTAGTTTGGACTCCTCTGATAATGTGGAGAGTAACGTGAACATGTTTTGCCTCAGGGCTTCAAATGACAACTTTAGCGGTAAATCCTTCAGGTTTTTAATATTTAAGGAATGTCTGTATTTGCACTCCGTGATAGCGTTTACGAGGCATTTTGTTTAATAAATCCACTGAAGTAAGGCGTGTCAGGATGAGTTAAGTCTTGTCTCGAGTGGCATTGCACAACTGTAGTTTGAAGTAGAAAATGGATATACAGTACATTGATAACAGGAATACACATATTCTCCGTAAATGAACGATTTCATTGCATATAATACAAAAAAATAGATATAGAAATATTTATTTTTTAGGTAATCTGAGAGTGTAGTTGGAGACCATGCCATGGACTACTGTCTCTTCTTTTAAAAATATGCTAGTATCTATGTGTTAGACAGCATTACATTAATAGGCCATTCAACTTAATTGAAGGCAAAATGAGAGAACTTCCATTTTTTTGACCGAAACGTGTTAATTATTGATCAGATATGTTTTTTTAATCTAAGTTATATGTTGAACCACAGCATCATAAATACTTCCATATCATGCATTTCCTCTCGCCTATAGCTCATAAATAACAAATCTCATAACTTTTCTAAACCGCTATCTCAGACATTGTTCTGGTGTGTGGTTCGGATCGATCTCTTCAAGTATTTGACATGAACAAAGGTATAGTCGCCGCAACGCTCCCGGATGCCCACAGCAGAGCCGTCCACTGCATTACACAGAACAAGGTAGGACCACTTCATCTTTCACTTATGTCTATATGCCTGTCTGTCTCTCGTCCGTCAAATGACACAATATGTGAGGCCGAATGGAGTACAGTAATACTATTAGATCACTATTCTTAGAATCTTCAGAGAGGAAAAACTGTGTTAAATGTTTTTTGTGTCCGATATTGTCTTCGGAAACCTATTTTCTTCTACTGGTTGTTAAAGCATACGACAACCTTTAACCTTTGTGAATGGATAGACCCAAAGACATCTCATCACTCCTAAGTCTAGGTGATACGTAAACCTGACCCACGCGTCAAGGGTTTTACTTGGCATCGTTTGTGTGAGCCCCATCGTTCATTTTAGGGAGGGTTGACTATTTGGCAGATGTCCCGGTCTTACATAAGCATATAACTTCTATGAGTGCCGGTGAGTTACGTAAGGCATACATCATCTTTGAGGGAATAAAAGTGTTGTGTAAATGAAGAAGTTGTTTGAAATAAAAGAAGTAAAAAGTACCACAAAGTTTCCATGACAGACAGGCAGGACATCATCACTATCATTCATCTTGCTGAGTGTTTAAAAGTAAAATCCCTGGAGCAGCAGGATTAGGACTGCACAGAGCTTGCTGTGGAGTTTGGATTAATGCTGTTCCATGATGCAGTTTGGGTTCACGTGGCGTTACACCCAGATCACTGTCTTGGACCAATATGGGCCCAATTTGCTAGTGTCTAATAAGTAGACAACTTGGGCTTGTATCTACATCCATTATAGTGCTCTGAAGAATTAAATACTGCATTCTCACAATGAAACTCTAATTATCAGTTATAATTAACATTTCAGCTATCAAATTGTCCTGTTTTCACTCCTATTTGCCCACTTTGTAATTACAACAACAACAACAACAACAACATGTATTTCAATGATATAATTATGGAAAAATACTAATTATTAAATAACTTATTGGAATACTGAAAAGTATTTATTTGCGAGAGAGCAAGAGAGACTTGTACCCACTGACCCGGGGGTATTGACCAGTGCATACTTGACACTCAAAGCTAGCATGGATTAGCTGGACACACTGCAGCTAGTGGCATGGATTGAATGCATCAACTCATTCAGCTGTGATGCACTGTTACTCACAGCTGACCATACCCCTTCGACCACAAGGTTACTGCTCATTATCACGCCAGCTATTGTGTGCCATACGCTGTGGAAAGTCTGTTGTTTCAGCTTGGCTATTGCGTCAATGTGGGGTCCTCTGCACGGGCGCCCCAGGGCCTTCGGGTGCAGCAGGATTAATACCTGCGGATCAGAGGGACTGCCCCTGCCCGGAGACTGCACACGCAATATCGGCCTTCCAGCCGCTCTCGCTTTCTTGTCGGGAGGTGGACCAAACATCAGGAACTGCAGCATGTGAAGCAGCTTTTCCCACTTCAAGTTTCCATCGCCTATTTTGCAAAATTCAGCTGGAACTCATCAGACCAGAGGACTTCTCGGAAAATGGAACTGGAAATGCCCTTTCAGACTCCTGTTCTCACACTCTCAATGGAAGTCAAAACAAAAACCTTCTTTTTCTCTCATTTTTTCTCTCTCCTCTTTCCCCCTCACACCACCAGTGAGTCAGTAACATACAAAGAACCTATGAATCAACATATGTCTTGAGATCAGGCATATTGCTAAAAATTAACAATAAACTATTTCAGTTTTCCTTCCAGCTTAATGGGCTTATAAGAAATAAGAAATTCAACCTGCCAAAAACAATGATGGTGCACTTCTACACCGGCATCATTGAGTCCATCCTCTGCTCCTCCATCACCGTTTGGGACTACAAGGGCAGGCTGCAGCGTGTCATCCGCTCTGCAGAGAGGATGATCGGCTGCGATTTGCCGTCCCTCCGGGACGCTAAAGTGATCAAGAAAGAATGTAGCCGACCCCTCTCACCCTGGCCAAAAACTGTTTGTGTCCCTTCCATCTAGCAGGAGGCTGAGGTCCATCAGAGCCAAGACCTCCCGCCACACAAACAGTTTCTCCCCGTAGGCAGTCGGGCTCAGAGCCCGGATCCCCAGCTGCCTGGCATTTTTGCCTGTTCACTTAATCTTTTTTAATTGTATTTTAGATTTTTTATTGTAAATTTGTATCTTTTGTTCAATGCCGTGTATGTAGCACCCATCATGAAAATGTCCTTGTATGTCCAACATACTTGCAAATGTTTCTGATTCTGATTCTGAATCTGAAATATCTACTTTCAGGGTGTAATAATGCAAACTGCATTAATAGCTTAAAATCTATTTGCCAATTTTAGATATACTGTACAGCAAAAAGATTTTCAACCTTTTTTCACTCAGGCATGTGCTGACAAGTCTTCATTTATTTATCTTTTGTGTACCACAGGGCTCCATGTTCAGTACACAGGCGCCAGATTCATACAACCTCTTCCTCACCAGTGCAGTCACGGATGGTGTGAAGATGTGGGACCTACGAACAATGAGGTTGGTTAGTCCATTCGGTTGGATTTATATTTCAATATGAGTGGCAGTATCCTGGATATTCAGGTTTATTCTGTTTCTGCAGTTTCTGCAGTTTTGTGATAATAGATGGAAAATAATAGTAATAGTTCAAAACCTGTGAAGACAACTACGGTGCCACCATAATTGTATACAGCAACTAAACCAAAACAAGAAAGTATTGATTCCTGTACAATACACATTCAACATTGTTCTGTTTCTTTATTGACATTTTGGAATTTTGTCTAATAGTGTTAGCCTCATTGAGTGGCATGGAATTGTAAAATTACTTTTACATCATGAAATAATAGAGAATGATTTTGGAGTACCTGAATGAAACCTTAATCAGATAAAAATTGTGATAATATGATATTTACTTTTTCGAGTTTCTAACAGAAACGTGAAATGATAACATTTACCGTTTACATGTTCTTAAATTATGAAGAGAACCAATGTTGTCTTTTGTTCTTTGCTATTACTGGGAGGGAAACATTACTTTATATTTGAATTACATAAAACATTTTTTAAGCAAACATTCCTCAGTTGATGATTCAATCTGCAATTGTTCAGTTTCCACAAGTACATAACTGAGAATTGTTTTGCTCCATATTGGGCTGATAATTCAAGTAGTCTCTCTTGGATCTCAAAATGTTCTTTTTGGCCTGGTAGAAGGTATTTTTGAGTGTTTCATTATTTTATGTCTGAGATGGATTTTATTAGTTTAACTCAATCAAAACCAGATGTCTATTTGATAAATATTTGATTTGATTTGATTTGATTTTTACCTGGGATCCGCGTCAACCTCGGGTTCTTAGAACTGTCATCAAGCATCCCTCAGCAGATGCCAATCCTTTAGAGTGAAACATATGAATGGAGAATCAGGTTGAATTTTATCTCCATTTTTTTGTCCCCTTTAACGTCTCTCTGATTGTGTTAACGCGTCTGTATTCACCCCAAAACAGAGTAACAGGTGCGTAATTTATTCTTTGCTGCTATTGGAAGTAGTTAAGTCAGTTCTGGGTATTAATGTTCACCAGAATATCCTCATGATTTAACAGGGCAATAAAACAGGCCCTGGAATAATGAGTTGCATGAATAAAACTTGTGTGGATGCTCCTCATATTAATGCAATTATTTTATTTAAAGTAGCTTTTTCTTTCAATTGGACAAGTACAATTGACACTACACTACAGTTCTAAAAATGACTCAATAAATATTTTTCATGATATTTTTTCATGATATTTTCAAATTATAACATGATACTGTTGCTGTCATTCAAACATTCAAAATCTAGGATTTCCTCATGTCTAAACAGCTAAAAAAGAATAGCTGGACCAACGTTACAATCCCCGTTCTGACCTAGAAAACCAGTGTTTATTATTATAAGTTGTTAAACTGTTTCTTATCAGTGTGATAATGTTATCCAGAACTACTGAAGGGGATTGAGAAACAGATCAATCTTGCTTCGCATCAAAAGGAAAATAGATTTCAACTATATTCTTTATGCGTGGCTGTTAAACATGTTGAATGCGTTGCTTCGCCATTCCAAACTCTCCAGGATTATAAGCTTCAGAAAGTTAGTTTTTTTTTGCTTACTGTTTTTTAGCCTTCTCATCGTACTGGGTATATTGAATGTCTTTATAAACACCTTTAAATATGACCTACTTTTAGCCCGCCTTAATGACATTAGCATGGGGATGTCAAAGACGTGCTCTCACTGTCAAGGCCCTGCCAACATGCCAGCCCCCACAGAGACCCTCGCTGAGCGAGCTGTTAGCGGCATTGTAAAGACATTACATGCTGTTGCAAAGCCAAAGACACAGCACAGAAGTGGCATGAGGGAGCCGTTCATCATCTACTAACTTCTCTTTCCTTTATTTTGCTGTAGCCATGCTGAACTATTTTTCTTCTGCTGGCTAGGGGTTAGGGTTGTTTTTTAAAGGTTAAAAGTCTACAGGGTGGCATTTTTCTCTTTGGTAATTCTTGCGGGAGTTCCCCATATTATATAGACTTTCAATCTTTATTTGACACCCAAATACATCACAACATATCACTGTACTCGTGTGTGAAATGCTATTCCTTCCCATGTCAAAGATTACTCCCTTTAGAAGTGTTTTTTTATTTATTCTACAGTTTTTTTGTCACTTTCTGTTGCACAGCTTTTCTTGGCACACTTAATTCATGGTCAAATAATTTCCAATGGATGAAATTATATATTTTGTATACAAGATATATATATATATATATATATATATATATATTAAGTGCTTCTAATATGAACATTACGATGAAACAACACAGAAATTATGACCTTTTTAATTCCAATGGTACCACCAACGGAGCAACAAAGATTGTATTATGTCACTAGCAGTCAAATAGTCATCATGTTGCATTGACCTTGACAACTTTATAATATCTCATCCTCAGGTGTGTACGGCGTTATGAGAACCATGTAAATCGCTGCCATCCGTGCTCTTCAGCCGTATCACCGTGTGGCCGGCTCATCGCCTCAGGCTCTGAGGATAACTGTGTATGTAGACTTTTTTAGTTTTTGTTCAGTACAATTTGACAAGATAATGTTGACCATCAGTAATTATGTTTTCTTTTTCATTTTTTGATGTGGTCTAATTGAGGCTTCTGCACATCAGAGCCAAAGAGTGGTTGGTTGTGTATGAGTTCAGAGCAGTAGCTTTTACACAACACAAAAGGTTGAAGGTTAATGTGGCATTTAAAAGTATCAGTAAGATCCGATATGTATTGATTATGTGTTTCTGTGTATCAGTGTCTGGCACGTTTATCTGACCCTAACTATTGAAGTAACAAAATATGTTATAATGTTTAGACTCCCATAATGCAAAGGTGTAGCTAAGCCAGAGGTATTCTGACCCAAGTGGATGATATGGGATATACTTTAGGTTGTTTATATCTAACTCTGCCTAATAAAGCAGAGGAGAAACAGGAAAATATCTGAATTTCTTTATCAGCTTCACCTCCATTTAAGGTGAGAACTGTTTGTGCTTGACTCATGAGATTTGTTTTTGGACTCAAGCCTTTTTCCAAGAAAAATCCAACATTCATGTTGAAGCAGAACTATTTAATTGCTTTTCCAGACAGTGGCTTATACTTGCTTCAAGACGTTTTTAGAAGTCTGCCTCCCTTTTCCTTATCCATCTCTCTTTTCTCTTGGTAGTGCTTATGGAAAGCAGTGGAATAATATATGCATTCTGCTGGTTATTATTAATTATGGGGACTCAGCACAGCACAGACATTTGAGAGCATCTCTGTCGAGATCAGACATTTCCAACCTTTCTTGGAAATCGGTTGAGTATATGGTAGTTAGCTACACCATATTTATTTGTAGCTGGCCTGAGACTTCCATAAGCCAAACACATTTGTACTTGTCCAAATATATCAAAAGGCAATAATGGAAAACAAACCCTGAATACTTTAAAAAGACTACCTAGATCATGTTACACATTTTCCAAAAACACAAGGCCAAAAACAATCAAGTGGAATATTATTTCAGTGTGGTCAATATTAACCTTTTATTCGCTCAGTATTATCGCTGCTCTCAGCTTCAGTTACAGTTGATATAAGCTGAAGCATCTGGGGATCCATGTTATATTAAAGCATTCCTGAAAGAACGTCTTTCTTTCAAGTATCTAATACGCCGCGCCACACACGTCACACGCTTAGGACAGGAGACACTCTACCCATGGGCCGTTTATACAGAGCTCACTTTTGAAGGTTTTTTTTAGGGAAAGATAATACAAAACAGCTGCAGGAATCTGATGAGTCGTCATATGGTAACAAACATCTCTGCATCTGTTTTTATCTCTACGCACACAAATGGATCTTAAAACTCACTGATTGTATTTGGTTTGTACTGCGCTAACAAGCTTAGGAAACATTAGCTATCTACATTATATGTAATGTTTCAGTTTGAAGTTTATTCTAAGATTCCTATACAAGCAATTTACAAATGTCTTATTGTGTACCAAAGACGAGTGTAAATTCAATTCAATACAAGACCCACGAGTCAAAAAGATAGGAAAAAGTACCTCAAAACAAGAAAAATAACTGTTTTAACACATTCACCCACTGGAAATTTGCCTGAGCAAAGGTGGCATGCCACATTCCCTCGTCACCAAGGAGCAAAGGAACCTTTTTAGTCTATCATGTTCAACGTGGATTCCAGTGCAACACAACTGACCCCACCCCCTCGCCTCCACCAACCACACCCGTTTCACCCTTTTTCTCTGGGTTGCCCCAGCAAACATAGAAAACATAGAAAAATGTGCCTTTTACACATCCAGGAGAAAGAACCATGTGCATGGAGAGGGCGTTAACCCGCTGACGTTATGCATATGTCCTTTACTCTCGACCAAGCAAACATAGTTGCCAACTCTGTCTCGCTGTTTTTATTCATGGCCGACAGTGGGAGGGTCTTTCCGAGCCTTTTTATGGTCTTGGAAGATGCACTGACAAAGCCATCCCGCAAGGCGTTTCTTGGATAGGGCTTTAACGGCCGCACCATCCGGAAGCACACCTTCAGTACGTCTAATGGGGGCCAGGACTTCACAATAACAAGGTCAACACGCAAACTGGGCAATTTCCCCACACGGGGTGGAATACAAAAAGCATCCAGATGATTGACCTTGAACCTAAAAGAGGTCTTTGAGTTCTTAATGGTTACGGAGGGATTTGGTCATCTACACATGGATGAACGTGGGGCAATGACGGGGCCGTTATGCACACATTCTCTTGGCTGAGATTGATACAACTAGCAAAGCCATCTTGATCCTTCACTAAAGCCTAGAGTAGATGGCCAGTTGCATTGCAGGAAGGAGGCACGCTTCACTGGAAAGTAAAACTGGATTTTCAAGTAGTTACGGGGAAAAAAATCTATTGACTTGAAGATCTGCCTGTTAATCACTGCATGTGTACGAAGGGGGCTTTGTATGTATGTGCTGTGGTTAAAACTCAGGTAACTTAAACAGAAACCCTAAAGCTTTACCCAAAGTGGAAATGATGCAAGGTAAATCCACATCTGTTCATGTCTGCTTGTGTCTTTGTGTTGACTTTTTCTGTGGTTTATCACGTTTAATTTGTGCACCTTGTTCAGTCTGAACACACTTGCATGTTGCAATGATTGTGAGCATACATTGAGCTGCACTAGGAGGCACGATTAAATGACTTCTTTATATATTTCTATGGTGGGTGAACATTGCATGTTTACAGTTGATACCTGTTTTTTTCTCATTTGTGTCAGGCATACATTTATGACATACGCAGCAGCAGCTACCTCCACAGACTTCAAAAACACTCAGACACAGTGCTTAGTGTGACTTTCAATCCTGCCATGCCAGAGGTAAGAGCTTGTCTTTACTTACGTTTACTTCTATTATTTCCTTTCTCTTGTTGCCCCATCTTCCCAGAACAACTATATCATCTAACACAAGGCATGTTCTCTACATTCCAGTAAACTGTTGACCATAGTAAATATTCAGATATCAGACAGCTGACGTAAAACCAGAAATTGTGTTTAGTTTTCAGATGTTGAACTGATTACCTTAATCTGTTATAAACACCCCATGGGACACGCAGACGGGCAAAAGTATTGATTCCACCCCTGATGTTTGCACAACTGTTTAGTAATTATCTCAATTATCTCACTGGTATGAAAGATACATACTTTTTGGCTTGAGGCACATGTTTTATATCTTTATGTCAATCTGTTTGATTGACATGATGCTCAAAGGTACATTCAATTTTTCAAGTAGAAAGTTTAAACAGTAATCTGCAGAGTTTGAAGACACACTTCATAACTCACAGCATGCTTGCTCCCCGTCAGCATATCTGCTTATTCTTTTTAGTTTGACAGGACATAAGGGCAAGGCAGACATTTAAAAAAACAAAAACAAGAATGGTTGAAAGATATATGATCAATTAGAACACAATTGTGAACTCTTACTACAGTTGCTGTAAGACTTTGTAATGGAGGGATGTAACACTGCAATGTTCAAACGTGTACAAATAATCAAAAAAAACGTCTTTTGTTCAGTGTAATGTCTTTTATTTCCCGGAAAATACAATCAGATCTTCTTCATGTGTCACTAACCATCCCCAAAGAATCTGCCAAGAATTCACCAGTCGGGAAATTCCAAAATATGTTTATAAATAGGAAGGCTTCGGTTCTGCAGCAAATTAAAGAGCTGTGATAAGTTTCACTACTTTAAGAATACGAGCATGATAGCCATAATATTCTATCTTAACATACATTTATGTTATGTATGACACATAAACACTAATTGTACAATGCAGTACTTCAATATACTTTTACTATTTATTTAGTCTTTGTGTTTTCTTTGGTAGTTTTCTACCATAAATAGCTGCGCATGACAAAGGAGTGCCTTCTCATACTAACCAATATTCGATACTGCTGTTAACTGTCTGCTCCAATGTTTCCAAAGCAATTTTCTGAATGCAATTAGCACACAGCTGCATGGGCATTCACCACTGCACAGCGGCTCTTTTGTCTGTTCACCCGAAAGGGAAAGGGCTGTTCTTGATCAGTGACTGAGAACAACATTCACTGCGGCCCACCTTTCTCAGGAACTCTTAGAAGAAGGAAGGCCGTGGCCATTTTAGATGAAACTGCATGAAATTGAAAGATTCACATCTTTTGACTTGATTTTGTCATATTTCATTGGTTTGACAAAACAATCCCCACCTGCGGTCGACTTACTGGTTTTTAACCGTATCACACAAAGTTCATTGGTGTAGGGAGTTTGCTTAGTTGTCATGGAGATGGTTTGCGCAGTAAATGTCACGATTGCATGCATAGCTCTTTAATGACTAGTTCATTCTTCACATATCACCACAGTTTTCACCTTGGGAAAAGTATTCCGACAAATCAATACCAACTCAAAGTCAACTTGTTAGCGTTGATAATTCTTTCATTTTGGTTGGTTCATGTGTCATGTTATGCAGATGGATTAGTTCACATCATTCACATCACACAAATATATGTATTACATATGCATAATTATATTATTTGTTTTTCCATGCATGGCACAAATTAATAAATATAATTGATCAAGATGCATTATTATGATTATATAGTAATTCCATTTTGTTCATACTTTTGTCATCCTGCAAAGCAAAAAAAAGGCAGAATACATGTTGTAGTTTTCACTATTCCCCTCTTGATTTAATAAAATAGGAATATTACAGTAATGAAAAATAATATTGTGGTTGTCGTGGCGCAGGGGCTAGAGCGGGTGTGCTGGGAACCGCAAGGTTGGAGGTTTGAGTCCCGGCTGCCCCATGTCTTAAGTCGAAGTGTCCCTGAGCAAGACACCTAACCCCTGATTGCTCTCCTGGCAAAATGTGAAAAGCCATGGGTTTAAATTGTAATGTAAGTTGTTTTGGATGAAAAGCGTCTGCTAAATGACCTGTTATGAAATATATAATAATTGGTGTTGATGTTGCTGCAGATTAATTTTTCTATTTCTCAGACATACGCTTTGTGAGGATGCTTATGTACAATGTAATGCAGTCAGTCTGATGCTAGAACACACCATTTTCCATTGTTGGAAAAAAAAAAGTGTCAATATAAAAAGTGGTCAGAGTCAAAGTTACCAATGAATGAAAAAAATACTAGCAAAAGGTCCTCAACTGTCCCACATTTCGGATCCAGATTTTTTAAATATTTACTGCTGTGAGAACCCTCCGATGCCAGGAACAGACAGATAATGCAGAGCTCATTTTCCACTTATGTTTTCCATCCTAATACTTAATAGACCATCAAGCAGGCAGATCTACCTTCAGGATTTGTTCCCTCAGGTTTATTCCTGTACTTTAGGCTGTAATGAAAGACCCCAACTTTTACTGTCTCACTTTGTTGTCTCGTAAATTCTTGTGGGATTCCACATGGCATACCTCTGTAGAGTTCTGTAGGCTCTCCTGTGTTAGACACACGTATCCTGCCATTGCAATTTATTTCATCACTTGCTACAGGGGTAATTTTGTCTCGGCTGGTTTAACACATACGGTTGTTCTCTTTTTCCTTTATTCTTAGATTAGTTGGGGAAAACATAAAAAGCTGTGTCTAATTTGTGTCGTGCTAGACACAAAGCAGTAGTATTATTGAATCTGTAGCTTCATCAAATCATTTTAGGATTTTAAAGCTTCTGGATCACAAGTACAGGCAAAGAAAAATGCTGTAGCCAGAGGGAAATCAACGGTGACTTCTAAAAAAACGGTTACTGGGTCACAGTAGAAAAAGGAATTTCAAGGAACTGTGCTCCATTTGGGATACGCAGACTCCTGTATTGTCTCATCTCCAGCTGTCAATATCTCAAATTACATTGTTCCACATAAGCAGTGGGCATTTCTTGGTAGCATTTGCCTACGGTCAGCGTATTAGAGGTATATTTTCTTTTTATTGGACTGCCATGAATGTTAACAAAACTATTTAATTTGATTTAATATAAATAATAGGAAATGTTGTTTGAACCACAACTAGTTACCTGTGGTTGTATTTAAGCATCACAAATGTTTCAGTAATCTGACATGAAAAATGTCAAACTATATATTGTTATAATAATATATATTGCTATATATATTGTAAGTAATAATATATTAAATAATTATGGTGAACAAGGTTTCCTGTGGTTCAGGAAACTGCACTCTCCTCTCTCCCAGAGACACCAGTGCACAATTTCTAAATGCACACAAGTTTATGTTTGTTGATATTACTATAAACTAAATCCAGTACTCTGTTAGTATTTTATTCCCAAATTAGCATCAGAATGAAACAAGAACAATTATATAATTGTTTTTTGATTAAGTCAAAAGTTGCATAACTTTATCCCTCATTTTCCCTGGTGGAGTAAATGCAGGACTTTGGCCGCTTATTGACACAAGCAGCTGTCTTCTAAAAGTTAACATGTTCCATATCCCAAACTAAAAAGATGAACTAAGAGTGAATCATCTCACTGGCTTTCATGCTCAGTGCTTCTCGTGCGTCCATGTCAGCATGTGTCATCTTTGCTCTTTGCAGGCATAGCATGCAGCTGGCATTTCCACTAGACATGTTTAATCTATCTTCTCATTTGTGGCCATTTGTCATCAAAAAATGCTATCCATATCCTTTAGACCTTTTTGCCGGACCCAAGAGAACTAATCACTCTCCTTATACTGTTGCTGCCAGACAGCAAATACAGAGGTGAACTCTGCTGTCTGCTTGAGAATGTCACATTAGAGTGGGACACAGACTGAGCTGAGACAGTCTCTCACCGAAATCAACACAGCTGGAAGGCAATGAACAGGAAGTGAGGAAATGAAGAGTTTGGGTCCAGTTGCAAAATCATTTTTAAGTGCCAAGTCTATCGCATCTAGTCGACTTTCTCTGTTAACCGTGGTTAGTTGGTGTTTGTTAATAGTGTCTTACTTTCTTTGTATGAGACTCTGTGAAATAAATGAACAGCGTTTGGTCTGTGCAGCCTAAATGCATTGAGGTACATTTATCTCACATTTATAGTTGGCATTGACACAAAACGTTTAGCTAACACATGTTGGGTGTATTACGGAACAGGGCACAACCTGGGGGTCTATCTATGACCGGATATTCTCTGCACTCTGTGCATAAGTCGCCACCAAAACGATCACCTCTATCAACAGACTCCATTCCTTCCACTGACAGTGCATGTTGTAAGCGTATCAGACTGTTGACTTCTTTTTTCCATCACTCATGTGTGTTCTTCGTCCGCTCTCATCATATACAGTACAGAACATCCTGGTTTGCTGGCATTTGTCAAATCTGTGGTGGTGAATGATGGCCTTCGGGATGGAAAAACACATTACTCTCATATCTTCAAAGCCTCAGCTTTTGTCATCAATTTCTGCAGACGGTCAATTTATTTTGTCCAGAATACCAACATTTGACATCGAGTTGGGAATCTAACACAGATTTCTCCATAATCGCAATTTTCATTCTTGCTTTGAACAATTGATTTATGGTATTTTTTACAATGTGGTATTGAGCCTCCACAACTGACAATAATTTAGGATTATGTAACATTTGTGACACACCGTGCAAACTGCCAATCTGATTTACGATCACAGTGGCTGATCTGTTTTGAATAAGATGTTAATGTACTGTTTCAAATGCACGATCTATGATTAAATGATCAAAAGTCAAATGATGCATTAGGACAGCCTGCATTGTGAATAAATCTAAGAGAAAAACATAAACTGTTTCGTAGAAGAGGATGGTGAGGAAAGACGCACTCACTTGTGACCTCTTTCTGAACGTCAACAGTGAGTCACCTCGCAAGAGGTACTGACTTCTGAGCTTTAAGGTCCCCCAAAGTCATCAGCCCTCATCAGCTTAGCTTGCTTAGACCTCACTGAACAAAGGTTGAAGGTTGCAGAGATGGAATGTGTCAGTTTACAGATGTTCACCGCATTTAAAAAAAAATCTGTTTATGTTGTTTTCACCTTTTTTAGAACATGTGTAATTTAGCTTCACCACTTCATTGCATGTTTAAATGGAGAGGATAGTTGATGAATGAAGCTGTAGTTGCTGGCGGATCTGATCTCTGACCCTCTTATGTTTTAAGTAGCTATTTTAGAAGCCCGGGGGCAGGACCCAGACAGCTTGGATATTGTTAGTGAAGGTCATTAAGCAGGTGGTCATGGAGAAAGAAGACTTCTTGACAATATAAAAGCTAGTTAAAAAGTTAAAAGCTCTCGAAGTGTTTGTTCCATGGGAGTGTCTCAAACACTTGTATATGCTTAAAAACCCTGGTGAGAAGGGGTATGGTGTAATGTGTTTGTACACTACCTTTTTGCTGAAATCTTCATGTTGTTTAGGCTCCATACATAAATCCCATTTGTGTCTATGGGAGTGTGACTGCAACATTCAGGTAAAAAGAAGATTAAACCACCCCAGTTTAATCTCTTGTGTGTTTTATTTCAGGCATTTGCACCTGCACGCTTTCTCCTGCATAAAAGAGCTTTAGTTGGTCAGAAAAAACGAGCCAAATGCTATTTTTAACACTGTTTGGAAAATTGCTGTTTTCCAAGATTGGCGCTGTTAGCATACTTTAAAAATAACATCCATCTTTAAAAGACCAGACATGACATTGATGCACATTCAGCAGAAGTCAGGTTGAAAATACATTGAAAAAAGAACTTTGTGAACAACTGCCTAGAAGCATGAGTTTTCAATCATATCATATTCTCTCTCACTTTGGGCAGCTCAAAATAAAGAATGTGAATATGAAGAATACGAGAATATCACAAGCCTCATTCTGAGCCCCAAATGGAGGGTTTCCTATTTTTTCTTCATTTTCTTTACTGGCTGATAGAAACAGATGAGATAATGTTCCCTTCTAGAAATAAATATAGTGAAGAAATGATTCTTGATGCTTGTTAGCACGTGTGTATGTTTGCACACGTGCTGCTTAAATGGCTGTTCAGGTTGAGGGTAAATGGTAGTTTATTGATATGTCAGTGTCTTATTCATTTTTAAGCAGTTGACTCACCATAACAATCACTGGCAGGAACCCCAAGATTAAGCAGTTATTTTACAGTCCAGGCCTCATGGCTTCATATTTATGTGTGATTCATGGCAGGTATTGAAGACCAGGAATTTCTACGAGAAACACAGTATGTGTCTTGACCTTGGTAATGCTACTCCTTTTTTAAGGAAACAAGTGCTATTATGCAACGTGGTCCTCTAAATAGAGTCGTAAAAGTGACGTTTGCCACTGCGGTTCCAGGAAAATATTAAAGGTTACGATATTGTAACTCTATATACACATGCACGAGCTGAACCCCGTGACCGCAGCAGAGCCAGCCAATCAGGTTGTGACTAGCCGAGCATGTGCAGACCCCCACAGTACATAAGGCTGCACACCGCTGTCTGCTCCTCTACACCTAATTCGGCGTCGTAGCGACAGGGCTATGGTGCCCCTTAGTTAAAAGGCCTCTGACAATTATTTCATATATATTAGAGGACAAAGTGGCTGTGATTAACATTATAGGCCTTCAGCCTGGGCTGTTACAAAGCTTCTCCTTGCTGACGAAGCCGTGCCGTCCACGTGTGCTTCGAGTGCATTACAGTCGTTCGTGTCGTCGCGCCCCACTGATCTGCTCATGGATGCCGCTCACACGGTTATAGATGCTTTTTGTTGTGGTATTAGTTGTCAAAGCATTCATCACGCTGACATCAAACACGTCACCATCTCCTGCTGAAGAGGTCAGAGATCTGACAAAGACGTTACACACGTGTGACTCAGGCTTAGCGCTGGCAAGGTCATTTAGATGCAGCGTACACGTGAATTGAAATGGCACGTACTCTACTTGTAAAGCATGTCAGCAAAAATACATTTTTAAAAAAATCAAATGCTCCTTTGGTGGAGGTACGCGTTCGTGTGTGACCTCATTGTCTGAACGTGTAGCACCGCCCTACACTCCCCCGCGATGTAAACACTGTCAGCTCTGTCTTTGGTCGTAGTTTGCGCTGTAGGTGCTGTTAGTATCATTCGCTTTAAGTAATATCTTTGCCCGAGCTCTCCCGGGGTGTCATGCTGCTCCTTGACGTAGTGAATAAAAAGTGGACATAGTCATCGCGACGTCACCCTTAGGTTTGTCAACTGCCATTTTGAAGCCGCTAGTTTGGCGATTTAACCGTCGCCATCTTGGATTATGACTGTCAACATTTTGGTGTTTGGGAATTTACCATATTTGGAGTAAGGAAGAGTGGTTTAGAGACGTGTATAGTTCTCTGGTTTGGGCATGGAATCACAAGCCTTTATCTGCACTATGGTCTTTTTACTCAATGGGACCATCATTTATTACATGAACACCCTGCTGTATTGTATACTTGAAAATGGCAATTAAGACCATAATCCCATGTTCCCAAGGATAATTAAGGTAGTAAATCAAGTGAAAAGAAGAGTCTTTTTTTATACTCATACAGTCATTTTGCAACTGGAGGAGTCGCCCCCTGCTGGACACTAGAGAGATTGGACACTTATAGACACAACCGCCTTGGCTTTGCTGGGCGGAGGCAGACGTCGCTGCCTGGTCCTTCCACATATTGAGCACCCAGCAGACACCGACCGAAGCAACTCAAAAGTGGATTTGGAGCTCCGGTTCACTCTTACTCACAGCAAAGCATCAAATAGAAGGCTGTGAAGCCATAAAATCTTTCCGGACCTGGCAAGCCTGTGTCTACTGAACAGAGTCCAGTGGGGGCGGGGCCTGTGAGAGCTTGAACCACATGTGTAAAAGCTAAACGTATGTCTTGGCTTTTTTTCTTCTTTTTCTTTCCTAGCTGCTGACTGGGACCCTGGATGGGAAGCTGAGACTGTTTCAGTCAAGCAGTGGGGCCCTTCTGTCTCATGACACCAGCGCTGCTGTGCACAGTGTCCCCAACATGACTGTGTAATTACAGCCGGCTGCTGCAAAGACCATGCAGTTTCATTAAGGCAGATCCCCCCCCCATTTTTTTTTGTTATATGTTGTGTAACTTCTCTGCTTAATTGCGGTTTATCTTTGTAAAACATCCGTCATGTGCATCATTAGATCTCTTTTGGCCGGGATTTAAAGGGCCATCAGTAGTGTCTTTCATTAGATTAATCTAACTACATTATTGTCATGAGATGATGATGGAGATATGTTCTCAATTACAGATAATTACAGCTACCTTTGCCAAAAAAAAATGGAATCAGTAGTTATTCCCATCTGTTTGTCCACATTCTGGATGGTGGAGCATCAGATTTTCTTTCCTCAGTATGTGGAACAGATGTAGACTTATATCATATGGCTGCGACGACTACTTCACAGATCAGCACACAGTATGACATCAACTGGGTGCAACACATTTGGCTGCAGACACACACAACTACTGTTCATACCGACACACCCGTCCGCAATGTTTAGGTTGTGCATATACTCTTCACGCCCACAGTCACAACAAAATGTTACTACGACTGACATCAACTGTGCAGCTGTAATAGAACAGAATAAGAAAGTAGGACTCTGACACTGTAAAATGCACAATTACAAGGGCAGCATAAGTAACTTTGTACATCAAATTACACGTTTGTCTTAGGTTCTGCTTAACAACCATTTCCGTTTTATGTTTCTATTTATGATCTCCATGTGATTTATTCTTGTTGTTACTAGTTACATGATACTATTATATATGCTACTATGTATCGTAGTGATGTGATACTGTGCTATCATTGCTTCTCTAACATTCTGCAAACAGGGTTGTCAGCTAACAAACAATAAAACGTCTCGATATGAGGGAGAACCTCAACTCCAACGCTGAGTTGCTGGTTTTAGTTTCAAAACAATATTTTTCCACACAATGTCTTCTTCAATAGTTTCTATACTATTTAGTATTATTTTATACTTGTGCAATGCCTGGTCCAAACATGCCTGCTCAGAACGGGCCCAACGCTGTGCATGTGATGACACAATCAACTTCACACTCAACACTGCACTTCCTTTGGTCCTGACAGCAAACCTGCCATAGTAGCATCAGAAACCAGAGCCAACATTCTGGCTCATGAGGAAAAGATTGCTGGAATTCAAGGTAAGCAACATAGGCCCGGGACCCCAGATGGAAAGGGCTCTGAACAGCTGTAGATTTATTATAATGATAGCACAGGAACATTATTGCATTGTGACTATTTTAACCAATCGTACCCAAAAATCCCCCCAAAGTACTTAGAATGCTGCCTGCTGCGTACTTCTATAATGTGTTATTGTTCGTTAAACTAGCCATTGTTATATAAGAATTGCAAAAGCTCCACTTTGTAAGTGCAGTGGGCAAAAAAAGTGAGAAAACGGCCCTTGATCGCATTGATCTAATAGCACGGTGAACATTGTAAATGTGTGTTGATGGTATCAATCGCTAGCTTTAGGTGTTCTTTAGCACAGCAAGTTGGGTTGTTGTTCATTTGTAAATCATGGTCCCATTTAAGTAAAATGGGTTACATGTTCGTAAGATAGACAGTATGACTCATTCGGGTCAGCTTAAAAGGTCTTATTAGGCGTTTGGTTGTAGCTTAGATCTCGTCTCTTGTCTCTTCTGCTTGCCAAAAAAACGTTTTGGGATTAGGGCACGTTTTTTTTACAAACAAAAAATAACTTTTTCCCACTACGCTGCCATTATTGCATTTCTAACCCACAGCTGTCTCATATGAGGGTAATGGAAAACTTAACATATCTGCAAAGGAATGAAATTTTAAGCTCATTCATACCACGTCCATTACGGAAAGATGTTGTATTTGACGCATTATCTGACGCTGATGTTCACGATAGAATGAAATATCCACTAATAGGCTGCGTTTCCTCCCTCAGACATTTTCAGAAGACCACTTTTTTGTTCCCTGTCCAATATGTCCGTGTTTGACTGTCCCTTTGGACGGTGTACTTTGATTAAATCCAAGGCAAACTCTGTGAACTGTGAAGACTGTTCTCTGTGCACCTCTAGTCTCAGCTAGAACTGTATATATCTATGAAGTTGCAGAATATTGCAGAAAAACATATACATATATAAACATATATATATGTATATATATATATATATATATATATATATATATATATATATATATATATATATATATATATATATATATATATATATATATATATACATAGGTATGCTTTGGCACGGTTTATGGCCTGTCATGATGAGCTTTAGTGTTCCTGCAAGCAAAAGAGACTGCTGGAACAAAACATATTAAATTGTCTTTGGAGTGAATTTATGTAGCCACATTCCTCCTCTATTTTAGTCAGAGTGTGTGTGTGTGTGTGTGTGTGTGTGTGTGTGTAAGCACGTAGTTCTGGTCTGTGTGAGGTTGTCTTTTGGAGGCACTCCCTGCATATATCACCAGTGAAGAATTATGTATGTATGCTTGGAAATAAAGGGAATTCAGGGTTAGACACACCCACACATCAGAACGCAGAGAAGTCTACGGCCAACTTTTCAGAGTACTAGGACTTTGTGTGTCAGCACTGAACAAATCAGAGTGCCATGATGGGGAAAGAAACAGGGCGGATCACACAATCTAGTTCTTCATTTTGCATCTTTGCATCAAATGCAGCTGAAAAAATGTGTGTGTGGCCCTGAAAGGTGTCTTGGTAGACCCCTGGCTACGGTCTGGGGCCTGAGGTCTGAATGCTTTACTTTCCCTCTCTAAATAAAGAAAGCAAAGATATACATCATGAAGCACGAGCATTTTAATGATCCCAAAAGACCTCTCAGGATCTCTGCTCCTTTGTTTTCATGAACCCAGTGCAAGTGGGGAGCTGAATATTTGTGCACATGTCAAGGACTGCTGTTATATAGCTTTGAGTCTTGCAAAGAACAGTACCAGTCAAAAGTTTGGACACACATTCTCAATAATTAAGGTTTAATATTTGACACGACTAATATTCATTTTGCTAAGTTTTGTTCCTGACGGGTATGTTATTTACTTTAAAGTCATCTGTTCACTAAATCGTTCACACATCGCCTTATAAGGCATTATAAATGAATCTGATGCGGGACCAGACCACATGACATCTGCCCTATAACGACCTGTCATGTATGAAGCAAATCGGTGCCACGATTGCTCACTCCTTCCTACTCAGTCCTTCGTAGCGGCAGAGGCAGCGCCTGGGACACCTCCCATTGTCCCAACAGCCCCAAAGGCCGGTCGTCCGGTGATGAGCGCCTCCTCCCCTGAATGTGAAACTGCCATTCGGTTTTTCGCGGCCTTGGTGAAGGATCCCTGTGAGCCTGTGGAGCGGCTGCTCTCTGAAGGCGTTGTCATAGAAGACTGCCCGCACTGACCTCAGCTAAGAACGAGTGTGATGTAACCTCCCTGTTGATGCACACCAGTTGCTTGATGCTTCGTGCTGACCGCAGCAAGGCTACTCTCCAAACAAATGGCCTCCTTTGTTCCTGAGAATGTAAGAAGTTGTTTCAGGTCTCTGGTTATGCAGCTGGATGCTTTTTGTCTCCTACCCCCTGAGGACAAAGATTGATTGGCCTTGCCCAGTTCCAGGTGGCACGTTATGTCGCGCGCTTACCCCCGATCAGATGCACTAAACGGCTGTTTGTGTTCTTCGAGGGAATGATTGTGCTATTTTATAGGGGGGCAAATGAATGCCTGGGTTTAGGGGACAGTATTACTCGTAAATCCCAGAAGACGGTTCCCCCTGTACTCATAGAACTAGCATCAAGGCACAAATACTCTGAAAGTGTCTGACACTTTTGTTTTACGTGGCTGGAAACGGATCAAAAGCATTATGAGGCCCGTCAAACCGCTTTCCTAAAAAGCAAATTATTTTTCCCCTCAGTGCGATATGTTGTAAAAGAAAGGAATTATTAGTTTAGAATAATAATTATACTGTTTTTTTCAACTAATTAAAATGACAAAAAAATGCAATTTATATAACTTACATTTGTAACTTGATGGCGGACCAAAATACAACATAATGACAGTTGTTTTGCTCTCTAAGGGTGTCTGTCAAACATTGTTAATTATGTTTACAATTATATTTCATAATTAAAATGATACAATTATAAATTTTGTATTGTTTTGTAGTCCCAACAAACGTCATTAGATATCTCCATATTTCTTCCGTCTAGCACATCATGTGATTTGAATTTTATCTTATCGTAAATGATACAGCAGATGGAAATATCCACACGGAAACACAGGAGAGGAGCCAGAAAGGGAAATCAGTGTCTGTGTGCGTGACTGTGCTGCGCTGTTCTAGGCTGCTGAGTGCTGATAGCAACGGAAACACAGACTAGCAGCAGATGGCGTTATCCAGGGTCCAACGCATAAACATTTCAATGCTTAAAACCAGATAAAACAACATTATACCGTCATGGAGTTAGCGGAGAAAGTGTAAAGGGAAAAGAAGCAACTAATATCAAGTGTTGTTGTCATTATCCGGTTAAGCCTTTAAAATCCTTTCAAATAGTAACTCTTTGAATGGCAATCTTTGTATTTTGAGATTTTTAAAACAGAATATAATAATAATCTCACTCTCATTTAGTCATCTTTGGAAAATTCCCATCTAAGCCATATTTTATTCCAAATAAATGCAGCATGATGGCATTTTTACTGAGGTAAAGGAAATTATGAGTTTTCATTTGAGGCAGAGAACCAAGTCTTTAAGTGCACAGACTTTCTTCAAGGTTCATAAGGTTTTGACAATACAGCTCCATTAAACCAAGGTGCAGGGGTGACATGAGATTATAGTGTGTCATTTAAATATAAACCATCAAGTCATGCACATTACTTAAGTTCCTCAACTCGCCCCATCCACCTTAAAGCCGTCCTCTCTCTGACACAAAGATAACATTTCAACCTCGACTTCTACCATTAGCAAATTCCTCTGTTTTTACGACTGAATTTATTTCCTCAAAGTGGTAATTTTATGTTTTCCCTTATCATGTTCAACCCAGCTAGAGAATTAATAGCACATCTGTTTGGGTTGAGCTTCACTACCGTGTACAATGCGCATTTCTCTTGAAATCCTGTTAATCTTTTTGTAATAAAAGAAAAGCACTATTGAAGATATGTAGTGACCTGAGCTCATCCTCCAGTTTACTGCTGGGAGCGTTTGAAAATGAATTAAAGTAAGCTTTATTTTAGCCCAAATATTTCAACGGCCATTCTGTACTTGAACTTAGTTCTCAGGTTGCGTGGTTGCCACCCAACCATGGAAGCACCTGTCTCACTAACTTAAATTTGAAGAATAACTTACGGTTGTGGGATATTACTCTATTTCATATTGTGCCAGGTTTTCATATTCTTAAATAAACTCCAACTCAGCAGCGAGGAAAATGTCTCCAAATCAAAAAATGCTTCAGCACTGAAGTGCTGGTTATTGCAGGAATAAAGACTAACATTATTCCTTTTCCATGGCTGCATCACCATCATTTACCCTCGGTGCTTAAAACCCAGGGTGTACAGAGGGGGGCAGGAGGGCAGCCTCCAGACCTGGAGTTGATAACGAGCAGGAAATTCTTCCCTCGAACATTGTGTATTCTTTAACACATCATTTCTGATAACTGCCCCTATGCTCTGTGTGCTTTCGATGAATGTGTACTTGTATCAAAGTACAATGTGCAGTACATTCTTCTCTCAACCTGACATCATTTACAAGCAGATGCTTAATTTAGTCCATTATTACTGGATATCTTTGGTCAAAAACTAGCAAAACTAGGATTAGAATTTTTCTTTGGTAATGTGTTCAAATCACGCTTTTGTGTACACAGTATTGAAACGACCAGTGCAAATTGACTTTGGAGAAATGCTTTCAACCTTCAACTTTCAATTTTTTTTCAACCTTTATTTATTCGGAAATCTCACAAACTAAGTAACAAGGGTGGTTGGGCATATTTCTAAAACAGTGTGCGACAGATGGCATCCCATAATGCAAAGCTTATCGGAGAACTTCTTCCACATTCCTCCTTCTACACGTCCGCGGGGGCGATGCCTTTGTTTCTGCACTGAAGCTTCTATCATATCTCGCTAACATTGCTATGGGATATGTGGCGTTGATTTTCCCGTCGAGCCAGTACACTGTATTTGTATTGTAATGTGAAAACCTCTAAGTGAGGACGGAATTAGCTGCAACTGTCTGATTGGCCTTTTCTTTTAGACCTGTAAAGACAGCAATCCATTCAATCAGCTTTTTCTAAATCTCGCTAAGATTCTCCTGATAAATTCCTGGTCTGATTTTGAAATGACCTCAAGCTATTCAAAATGTATTATATGCTTCAAGAAATATGTATTAGAAGATTATGCAATCTAGGGGTTTAAAAAAGAGAAGATTTATATTGTTTAAGATGAAGGTGTGTGGAATGATATAACATGTAACATTTGTTGGGACAACAAGCTGTAATATTTACACCTCACACAATTTATGTTTTAACAGTTTATTACTGCTCAATTACATATAGTTGACACAGAGCAACATTAAAATGACGTATTAGGTTAAATAGTACTAATATGAGAATTTTACCTATTTGCTGTATTAAAGAATACGTTGATTTAAAAATCTTACTACAACTGTCCAATAAGTGTTGAGGAGTAAAAAGTGTGATGTCAGCCTCTGACATGTAAATAAAAGTAGAAAGCGAGTAAATGTGCCATATTATTTTCACTGGTGTCGGGAGCTTTTATGTGAAAAAGATGTTGTACGTGAATATACTTATTAGCTGCAGCATACATTTTGAAGTTTTTCAGCAGTGGAGCTTCAACTATGTTGCAGCACCTTCTGTGCCCAGGGACCCAAGGCCAGAGCTCCTCCTCCTCCTCCTCCTTCTCCTCCTCCTCCTCCTCCTCTTCGCTGCGCTGAAGAGATCTCACTCTCACTTAGTACTCTCTCACAACACCGTTCATGTTGCTGTCTCTCACTACGCATACATAAAATCTATCCCCGGGTGCAACCTTTTGGTTCCTTCAAGACTTCCTAGTCATGCTGGCACACGTTTTCTGTAAAATGGGCCCAGCACTGACCCAGTTGTTGAGCTCTTATAAATTTGCTACATATAGCTTACTGCTCCCTCATAACTCTACACATCTCATCAGCCCAAGCGGAAAAAGAGGGAAAAAGGGAATCTGGAAGTCATTACCAAATGATTACATCTTTAGAAATGAAAATGCAATTGTGAGAAAAGAGGGTGGGAGCGAAATGGCCTTAACGTTACCATTCAATGAGGGGAAGTACGAGTCAAAGTAAATTTAGATAAACACTGCGATTTGTAGTACTTTCTTCCATTTCATATAGCATCTCATAATCATTTCATGTTCAGAAATCAACCCCTTTTCCAAGTTTCCAACTTTTTTCCAAGTTTTGCAGACTTTCAGTTTGGGGACGTTTACCTCCAACGGTCCTGCAGGCACAAAAGGAAGTAAAAAAGATCCCCTCCATTCATCCGTCTACGTAGGATATTGGCAAAGCACATAAAAAAAAAAAAACTTCATCCTGGAAAAACTCTGTCGTGTTGAATTTTTTTTGAATCACGTATAAACAAAATCCCACTGACACAGGTCACATGTGTAAACCTTTGAGAGGAGAGCCAGTCAAGCACCGGTTATGTCACTTGGATGTCATGCCCCGTCTTAGCCAAGGTGTGTGAGCCATTTGTATAAACTGGAATTGGATTATTTGAGAGCAAACAGGCCATGTCTCCTTTTTACAAGTTGATGTACTGTTATAGTGCACACTTTAGTGAGGTTCTCTACATCACTGTTAAACCCTTGGTGACAGTAAAAGTTACCTTCTCATATTAGTGACAGTTTTTTCAGAAAGAATCAAATGACACGTGCACATCATTGGGAGTAAATGCCCAGTTAGAATTTCCCTAAAAGCCAGGACGTAATGCTTGAAGTTCAGGAGTGATGCAATTTGAATGATTAACAGTGTGTATGGATCAGCTTGAACGTTTTCTGCACTTTTCTTGCTCCCATGTCTACTTCTAAACTGCCTCACAAAACCTGTGAGATCCATTCACGGGGCTCTGCTCCGTTAAATGTAGCCTGTCAAGTGACTCAAATGTTGTAAAATACTAAGTGTAACAATCCGTCTCAGCATGAGATTATGTGCACGTACTTTTATTTGAAATAATAACTGGAATTTCTGACAGGATTTTAGGCAGAACATTCTGGTGAGCTGTGTGATATATATACGGTGGCCCTGAAGTGCACAACAAATTTGGTTGTTTCTGCACAAGAATGGCCTCGGTTTTCCATTTGTTTCTGGAGCCCACAGGCTTTGATTGATGGTTGTTCCGATTTTGTTCCATACATCAGCTATACAAATTGCAATGTTTCATCAGGTCGAATGAACATGCATGGTGGAAAGTCTAACGTTTGTAGGAAGAAAGTAAGCTAGAGCACACAGGTGTTTAAATTTAGGAATGAGACAAAAACAATGGAAGTTACTGACTGAAATTATAGTGTTCTATGTTTGGCGAAGGAAACTCTGTAATACTTTGACTGTGAATATTGTCCTTCAACTCAGAAAGCATCTAAAACTCCAGTGTTTCTTTTGTAGGACGCATCGCAGAGAATTTGCTTACATCAATGCAAGCATTGCTCTCTGCCCGGCTTTGCAGCCCTTTTAGTTAAATACAAACGTCTACATGCCCACAATGACAATACTATCAGGCTGATGTTTAGCAGGAATAAGCTTTACCATTATTCATCTTCTTAGTTTAGTTTAAAAGTGTGCTAACATTTGCTTTTCGGCAATTACACAAACTGCAGCTCAGGCTGATGGAAATGCAACTAGTTTTGCAGCTTTTTGGTCATAAATAAAAGAATTTGACAGACACATTTAATAAAGATCCCTGTGATGGTGCAGTTGCATTGGCTTGGCAGCACAAAGATGAATTTAATGCATTTGCCATAACCAAATCTCTGTAACTACGCAGGTAATGTACCAGCACAGTAGAGTAATGTGAGCAGTAACAGCCAAAGAAAATGCAGTAGCCCTCCAGACATCAAATGCATACCGTACATTGCCTTCCAGCTGTCACTCAAAAAAAGATGTCATTCCATTTGGGAGATTGTGATATTGTGTGATGCCAGCCATTGTGGCCAAATATGTGTCATTGCTATTACTCAACTAGCAGTTTATTTAAAGTAAATCCTAAAAATGGCCAACTTGTGTATTTTTGTCATTCCCAGAACCACTGTATTTAACAGAGGACTCGTGTGTCACTCTTTACAGTTCTCAGTACTTCAAGCATTTCAATTTTCTAATTTTTTTTGGGATTGTGCTCCTAAGTCACACTGGATACATTTTTTTCGGGGGTTAAAAACACATAAATCTCCACAGTGAAGTCACAACTTGGAGATGAGAGCTGGAAACTAGTTGTTTATCAGCCCAACAGACGTCGGTCATCTTAATTTCATGACTCACGGATCTGAATGTTTGTAGCTTTAAAAGAGTCCAAGTGTGGATCTCTGCTGCGTACTAGGCATTGGATTGTTGTGTGGTTCAAATCACCCAGTGTGACCCAGAAATATCAGCGATGGAAACCTGGACTGTGTAAATCCTGTGTTTTGAGCAGTTGTCAGAGCAGTGTGTTCTTCACATTTTATGGCATAGTTTGGTGTAAACAAGTCTGACGTTGATTTTTTGTGAGCTTTTATGTCTCTCCTCCCATTTTTAGATATTACTTCAATTTGCATGGATAAAAATACATGACTACTCCACTTTCAATGGTGGCTCTGTACATTCGAATAAGTAAAAGTGGGTAAATGCAGATTTTACAAATGGTAATTTCATTATTTGAATAATAAATGGCTATTTTATACTAAACTTTAGATACTGAATGCCTAGTTCAGCCATTGGAAAAGTTTTCCTTCAATAGAGACAAATAGAAATTGGATTATTAATTAAAGCAACGTATTCAAACCAAAATTCATTAGAAAATATCTTGTTAAATCACTCTACTCCTTAGAGACTGCTTGTATCATTAGCCGTGAGCTAAGCGTTCACTACTGTTCCTATCGTCTGTCAGCTGAATTATGCATGTTGTTGATTGTGCAATGTCCATCTTTGGTAGGGAACTATTTGTTCTTCACCACCCTTTTTCCCCCCGAAACGGAATTCACATATTCAACTGAAGCAAACTATCCCTGAGATGATTGACCCTATTGGTACACAGAAGTCTTCCCACTGCCAAACCCACGATCCCTCTTCAGGGCTCCAACAATAAGGGGTCAGCTCGTCTTTCCCTAACACCACAAAGGGAACAGCTCGCCAGCAAAGGGAAAGCATCCAAAGTATCTATTGTAGAAGTCCTTTCATTTTCTTTTTGTTGTGTCACATTGCAGAAATAAGTGGGATTCCCACTTTGATCTGGTTATGCATGTTTTTAATAATAACAGTTTCAGTAAAAATGCCACTATCCCACTTTATGACATTATTCATGTGTGCAATTATCAAGGGTGGGGGGGGCGAAAGCTCTTGATTTCTACTACTTTTTCTACTGTTTTGTATCTTCCAAGTGCATTTATGCAAGAAGTTTTGCTTCGTTCATGTCTAACTACCCACTCCCCTCCATCTCTCTTCCCCCAAGTGAATAACCGCAGCCCTCGCCCCCCAGTAAAAAAACGAAGATAATTATATAACTCTCTCTCCTGAACCGGCTGAAATGGCTCGTTCCCAAGCGGGTTTGATTGACAGGCTCTCTATATAAGAGGAGGGAGGCTGGTGCCTCAGTCTCTGTCGTGCCTAAAGTCCGGCGGACTGGACGCATTAAAGCCAAGAGGACTTTACGTTTTATTTTTGTGTTTTACGCACGAGGTGTGCAGGAGATTCCGCTCCTCTCTCACCTAATCATTGGCTTTTTGGTCCCGATCTGTTTTGTATGTTCGTGTGGTCGGATATTTAAACTGTTTTGTAATTAAAGACTGCCTTCGTCGGGTAAGTTGCACGGCTTTGTATGGATTGAATGAACTTTTGCGCGCAGGTACGAGGTTGAGCTCAGCGCGTTAAGGAACACATGATGACTGAAAACAAGTTTTAAACAATGAATTAACCGGCATTGACGCGAATGTGCATGTGAGGGTGTAAACAACGCGCTGTAACTGAAAAGCTGGACCTTTTTTTTGCTCTTCTATTGTTTCATTATTTAAACTATTCACCGAGAAAATCAAGATAAAAAGAAATAACAATCGATTTGACATGGATCGATTATGTCGGAAAAAGACGAATTAAAAACCTTCCTGTTTTGTTTTTTAAGGAGATATGATACTCAGGAGAAGTCTCTTCCTTCTGCTCTTATCTTCCACTTTCCTCCACGCATTACCTCAAGGTAAGTGGAAAACGTGTAAATTAGTCTAATGCTGACTAATTATAAAACAGATTTATTATAAAACAGATTAATACAAAAGATTGAGTCAATTTTTATCATTATTATTAACCAAAAAAGTTTAAAAATCGTAATTGTTTCCTTTTTTCTTTTTCTTCTTAATATCTATTTTTATTTAATGAAGAATGGAGCCGATGGACTTTTTTTTCCTGAATTAACTGTCCTTCTTCCCTTCGTCTGGTTTGATTTTTAGATGACGAGCAGGAGGACGAGACGTCGTTCGACCTGTTTGAAATCAGCCACATCACTCGCAAGACTCTGGGGGCCAAACAGTTTCGTGGGCAAAACTCAGATGCCCCAGCTTACCGCTTCATCCGCTTTGACCACCTGCCCCCAGTGAGCCCCCCCATATTAAAACAAATACTACGTCAGATCCAAAACAATGAGGGCTTTGTGTTTGTGGCCAGCATGCGCCAGGACCGAACCTCGCGGGGAACCCTGATTGGTTTGGAGGCCCCCGATGGCCGGCGGCAGTTTGAGATTGTGTCCAATGGACGGGCAAACACTCTGGACTTGGTATATTGGGTGGACGGCTCCCAAAATGTGGTTTCTTTTGAGGAAGTGGACCTGTCTGACTCCCAGTGGAAGAATATCACACTTCATGTACATGGGGAAAATGCAAACCTGTTTGTGGGCTGCAGCCTGATAGACAGCTTCATTCTGGACGAGCCTTTCTATGAGCACCTGAAGGCCGAAGGGAACCGCATGTATGTTGCCAAGGGATCCACTCGGGAGAACCACTTCAGGGTAAGACAGAGACTACGGATTGTGTGTAGGACAAAGAATTTTCCAGGATCTGGAAACTTCATTCTTTCTCCTTTGCTCCCTTTGTGACACATTTATTTTTTAAAGAAACTGTGGCTTTTACTAAGCTTACAATAACAGCTTAGTTAGTAGAATTATAAATAAGCTTACTCCCTCTACAAAAGTGCGGCACAGTGTCTCCCCATTCCTTCTGTGTGGAGAGGACACATTTGGACTCCAAATGTCCCCTTGTGTGTAACATTGAATGTGACAAAGTCGCTTGTTGTCCTTTTCCCAATGCATGCTTGAATAGGAAGTGGGTATAGGCAAAGTATGAATGTCACTTCTTAAATATGTCAAATCAACAAAAGAATGTAACGGACATATGTTTTCTTTTTTACCAATCAGGGCCTTCTGCAGAATGTGCGTTTTGTCTTCGACACGCCGGTGGAAGACGTCCTGCTGAGCAGAGACTGCGAGGTTCCTAAACAAGGTAGGGAGCCGATTCTTTTGTTGTTATCTTTGAGGTGTTCACACCATTATTCTCCAGAAGGTTCCCACCATACACAGGCAGTATAACCCATTTATATTTGTGTGATTATCATAAGCCAAACAATGTGTCAAAATAATGATGTTTGCTCCCTGTTCAAGCCTGATCCTTTACAGATGTCACTGGGAACCGGTTTCACATGCAATCCTGCAAAGCATGGTATCTGTGTATGAATCAACGCAACTTTCCAACTTTTTGGAATTTGGGGGGGGGGGGGTGTTAAGTGGATGAAGAAACTTGTTAAATTGACATGTGGCCGGATGTCTTCTCATAAGTTGACATCTACGGAAAGAGCAGTGTCAATGCAGGTTGCAGAGAGTGTCTGCGTGGTGAACGAAAGGGGCTACAGATGGCTACATTTGTTTCTATTGGCAGTGGGCTCGGGATAATGCCCTGGGAAAGAAATAGAAAAAGTGAATGCTATTCTGCAGAGTTGGGAACTTCCGCTTCAAGCTGCGCACACACGCACACACACATAATGAAGTCATGAATTGGCTGATCGGGATGCTTTTCCCCGCAGGGCTCACACGAAAACGAGTGCAACCAAGAATATACAGATGTGAAAAATATGGTAGTAACTACCCTTTATAACAAAGTAAAATGTTCACCAGATCTGGAAACGCTGGAAATGTTGGTCTTTGGTTCACTGTGACAAAGCAAATCCATTTGAGGTGCGAGTGCTTGTTCGTGACAGAGAGGTTTCTGAGCATTTCCGTTGCCACAAGCAGTGTTCCAGATGAATGAGTATTTGTTTAACAGATGTAACCGAGGCCTGGACTCTTTCTGCATGCTGGATGGTACTAGTTAAAGTTCTGCCCTGGTAGCAATTCTAATGCCACTCATACACCCACACAACCCACCCTCATAAAAAATGTCATGTTGGACATTAATGGGCAATGTTAAAACTACCCAAGCCTTTTGCTCTTTTTATTATGTTTTCTATCTGCTTTGCAAAAATAAGAAGGTCTGTCAGGCAGAAGAATGCGTGAATGCTTTTACAGGCGAGCGTGCGGGTTCACACGCACACACACAGCGTGAAACCGTCCTGAGATTTGAATGAATCCAGCAGACTGAAAGAGAAAGAAAACATAGCAGCAGCTGCATTGGGACACCATCATACTGGATTGAGAGTCCCTCAGTCTGTTATTAATCTTCACCAATTTACATAGCAAGCTGTAAACCATTTGCCGATATGTGACGGGTATTAATAATGTAACTATTATATGGAATATATGGATAGATATTCTTGTAGCGTTTGTTTTTCAAACATTCATAAGTGCATCATTATTTCAAGGAAGGTTGTTGGTTTTAGATAAAAACTGGGGAAATTAGCTGAAGAAGAATAAAAGGACAGATACTTGCCATTTAATACTGTATAATTCAAATTTCCTGCTCTGTGAATCGTATTTTTGCCTCTCTATTCCGTACTGAGATTGCAGCAGGTAGACACGTTACTCTAGTCAGAGCCAGGACGTCCAGTTTCCGATTTTCCGATTTTGCAATGGAGACTCAACATCAAGTCCTCCAGACAACTCTGCGGTTTTAAGATAGCATTTCCTTTCAAATTACGCACTGAAGGAGAATATTTTCTAGTGTTAGAAATAAATCAAAAGGCTGTGACTCAAGGGATCTTCCCACATTTTGGACTCTAGTGTGCCGACATCAAGACGAGGGTATCTTTAGTGCCTGTGCTGCAGAGACGTTGTAAAGACAAGTACATGCACTTCACAGCCTGCTTGTAAAACCATCTGTGTGGTCACTCTGGTCTGTTAAGTTCATATTGCAATACAATATTACAATACAATAACACAATGACTGAATATCTGTTTTTGTACACAATAAACATTTTTACCACTGCATTGATTTTGATATTTTTCCCGGCTACAGGAAATCAAGAAATCCCTTTTTTCCTGACCAGAGTCCTTGTGTTCCAATCATCATATCTCTTCATTTGCTCGCTTGCTCATTTACCCTAATACATATCTTTTGCCCTTCCAGAATATGTCAATATTGTGAGCGAGAGTACGGAAATTATGGATGTGAGTCCCTCGATCACTACAAACATTATCGGTCAGCAGACAGACAATCCGGCCGCAGACATGTGTGAGCGCTCCTGCGAGGAACTCAGCACCATGTTCCAGGAGCTCAAAGGCCTGCGAGTTGTCGTTAGCAACCTTATTGATGGCTTGCAAAAAGTGGTAAGTAGTAAAAAAGTGACATGGTGTAAATGATTGTATTTGTTTTAGACGAGCTCCTTCCGGTTTTGCCGAGCTGCGCGAGAATATTGTCGCTGATGAATGTGAAATTGTCAAAATCCACTTCAATTCAATCCTCTGTGTGGCATCCGGAATGATAGATGTCAGCTTCTAGTTACTGTGTTACCTACATAGATTTAAAGTTAAACAGTAAGTAGCTTCGGGGCTGTTTATACAGTCACCTGTGATTGCTGAACCCGTTTGACTGCTGCTATCTGTGGCAGCGGGAGTCAGACAGATTTTATGACATGTTACATGTGGATATAGGAAGTGTTCCCCTGGCAGCGATGGGGTCCAGTCTAATGTCTGGCTGTGTTTATAAAGCTCATGTGTTTCCTCTGGGAGCCTCCCAACAATAAGAGTCTGGGCATGAACCTTGGGAAAAAAAAGTCTGGGATGAGAAGGGTCCCTGAGGCTCTTCCAGACCAAGTGGTGTCTCAGATTCTAGTGCTGCACGCCGCTGCCTCCCTTTCCAGCGGTGTGGATTCACGCACACGCCCGTACACACAAACCTACGGCAGTAGTCTGACAATCCGAAGCGTTCAGGAATCCAGCCCGAGATCCCCTGCTCTCCAATTGGGTTGAAGTTTACAATGTGTTTAACTAAGCAGCCTTTTTTTAAGGGCTCATTTTTCAGAAACATTATACATGTACAGAGATGTAGTTATCCATTTGAAGTAATGAGACTCACATTTTTCAATAGAATTGTTACCGTTAACATAATGCAGTAGCTTTTTTTCTACTTTTTTTATTTCTCTTGGTTCATTGAGGTTTTCTCTGAAACTCTTTTCTCTCATGAGGTGATCTGAAAGAAAGATATCTTATAATGGTTTCCACTGAACCTGAGAGGGACAGAAAGGATGCCGGGAGGCTATTCGGCCCTTTATCAATATAATATATATTGTGTGGTTTTGTTTCTTGGAGTATTCTTACTTCTTTGACAGTAATCGTTTAGTGAGAAACAGTACCTCTGCTTTAGTGCGTTGGTCTTGTTTCCATCAAGCTAAAATAACCTCACATGTGATCTCTTGCTAGAATCAGCTTGTCAGCAGGTGTGTAGCTTCACATGCTTCATGGAATGCAGTGCACCTTCATCATGAGTTTGACCTAATCATTTCTGACTGATCTCCTTTCTGACCGCAAAGCCGTCTGTTGTTGTGTGTTAAGACAGAGGAGAACACGCTTATGAAGGAGGCCCTTGGGAGGATGAAGAACACTAAGGAGAAAAACATGTGCTGGCAGGATGGCCGCCTGTTTGACGATAAGGAAGACTGGGTTGTGGACAGCTGCACTAAATGTACCTGCCAGGTATTACAAAATCAAATGGAGAGGTGAACATCTTTACTGTTTACTGATATAAATTACCCTGATGCATGTCTAATATTCATTGATGGCAGGAGTCCAAGATTGTTTGTCACCAAATTACATGCCCTCCAGTGGCCTGTGCCATCCCGTCGTTTATTGACGGCGAGTGCTGCCCCGTGTGTATGCGTAAGTACCATGAACCTTTGATTTGACAATGCACACAGCAAATTTAAAACACATACAGTTGTATGCATGCATGCTATTTTAAATGAATGGTCCAACAGGCAGTAAAAAAATCGGACTATTTCAGCCATTGTTTCTTTGTAAACGCCCCACACATTTATTGGCCTGAATATGGCATTCAGAGTGGTTATTGTGAGGCTTTTAGATGACATCATGTGATAAACCGGCTTACATAAAAGATCAAAACAGTGCAGTGATCCTTTTATTATTCCATTTTGACTTTAATGAGAAATAAGGTATAAAATGTTTTCAACTACAGACAGCGAGGATGGCTGGTCCCCATGGTCAGAGTGGACAGAGTGCACGGTCACCTGCGGAACAGGAACCCAACAGAGGGGTCGGTCATGTGATGCAACGAGCAATCCCTGCACCGGACCTTCAATCCAGACCCGCAAGTGCAGCCTGGGCAAATGCGACAGCCGTGGTGAGGATGTTTTTCTTCCTTTAGATGGCATTCAGTAGTAACCCCCTCAGTGCAGTGACGATGATCTTGATAAACTACGCACTATTTGTCATTGCTTCAACAACACATACTCTAAGACAAATAGCAGTATGACTTATAGGATGGCAGTATGGCATGATCCAGTTGCAAGGTGTGCAACATTTTATTCCAAATACATCACTGCTGGATTCATCCACCGTAGAAGGACAGACGACTGCCTGACGTGCAAAAATATAAAATATGAATGATTTTGATCATCATATGAGGTTGCCAAAAGTGAAGAATTGTGTTGATAAATTATGGATTAGCCTGTATTATTGCTTGCAGCTAACGTTACTCTGCATCTGTGTGAGTGACTGAATCAGTTTAACCACTGGAGGATCGTTTACCCGCAATGACATAAATACTGGCGCAGGCATCTCAGAATATCTTTGAAAGTGAGCCATCATCGCCAGCATCACATAATGTTTACTTGTAGAAAATGTGGTTGCCATTTTTCTTTGCCTTTGCTAATTATACATTTCTGCAACTATTTGATTGGGTGGAAATCTAGAGGATAATACATGACATGTGTTTTTGTGATCTCTGCCTGATGTGTTTCATGTTGGCTTCCCAGTTCGCCAGGACGGAGGTTGGAGTTTGTGGTCACCGTGGTCGTCCTGCTCAGTGACCTGTGGGGAAGGACAGATCACCAGGATACGACACTGCAACGCTCCCGTCCCACAACTGGGGGGTAAAGACTGCGAGGGAAGTGGGAGAGAAACTCAGCGCTGCACCGCCAAACCCTGTCCAGGTGAGTCATTCCAGCATTAAGTATAACACTGAAAAGCAGCATCGCTATTACAGCAGCATCCGTGTGGAATAAATAAGACTATTTTGTGCCTCCTGATTTCCCCGAGGCAACATTCCACATGTGCTCTCGACCGGCCTCTTGTCTGTCTTTCAGGAAATGTAGACTCAAATCAGCTCAGTATGTTTTCACTTCTAGTATTATGTTCCAGGCTTCTGACTGTGTGGCTTCTTTTCACATTTCAGACTTCAATAACAAAGAGGGGAAATGTTTGTGGAAGTAAATACATTTTTTTATCAAACAAGTACTGAAGATGCATCTTTTCAGTTGATGGCAGTTGGGGTCCTTGGTCTCCGTGGGCAACTTGTTCGGCAACATGCGGAGGGGGAGTCAAAAGTCGAGCGCGAGTATGCAACAGCCCTCAACCTCAGTACGGCGGCAAAAATTGTAACGGAGAGGCCAAGGACAGTGACGTCTGCAACATAAAAGACTGTCCTCTAGGTGAGTACCAGTCGCCTCTGTATCGAGTTTTTAAGTAAAGGTTGCTTGGCTGGGCAATGAAATGTGTTCCAACAATCATGTGAATCTTATTGACTTAGGAGAACCTCGGATTTACCTCGAGAGGCATTTGTGTGTTTAGTCAAAAGCTTTGACCAAAAAGTAGTGATGTTCCCGTCATCTTCAGCGGATCTTTGCGCAAAGAGCAAAATAGAGAATTTAATCTCAGTCATCATGTTGAGGTAAAAACAAACACGAGCCGTTTCATACCGACATCTCCAGCAATGTTTAAATCAATTACCTTTGTTTTTCACCCGTGTGTGTCATCTAAATCCCTTGCAGATGGCTGTCTTTCTAACCCGTGCTTTGGGGGAGTGGAGTGCAACAGCTCACCAGACGGATCCTGGGAGTGTGGACCATGCCCTACTGGTTTCCGTGGAAACGGTACCAACTGTGAAGACATCAATGAGGTGAGAGTTCCCGTTTTTTCTTGCGTGCATGAACCTGACTTGTACTTGATTATTTGCCTGCCTTTAGCTGATACCTTTCATCCCCTCCTTCAGTGTGACATGGTGTCGGATGTTTGCTACAAAGTGAGTGGAATGCAGCGCTGCATCAACACCGATCCAGGTTTCCACTGCCTGCCCTGTCCGAAGCGCTACAAGGGCACGCAGCCTTTTGCTGTGGGTGTGGAGGCTGCCAAAAAGAACAAACAGGTGTGTTAAAGCTTCTCTCTTTGAACGTAACTGACCATCAATGGAAGCCTTTTAGGTGAGAACCAAATTTCAGAATGATGGAAGCAGCAGCTTGGATGATATGTAGGTTTTACAAAGCGTTGGAGGGCAGGCCATCACAAATGAATGTGTCTTACCATGACCCAGTGTTAGTATTGTGTACCCAGTATTAAGAACAAACAAATGTTACACACCTCTGTTACATTTATTGTAAAATCAGAGGCAGACTGAAACTGTATTTTTACAATAGATGTTTAGTGGATGAGTGCTTCTATTAAAACAGCATGCTGTTTCCACTCCTCACATAACTGCTAAATTGTAGCCGTATTGCAAGAAATATGACATGTAATTTATGTTATGTTATTTAATTAGTACAGATTTTTATGCTCCCCCGAAATCACCGAATTCACTCCCGGGAAAACTTGCCATGCCACTCTGACGTACCTTCGCATAACATCCTTTGTGGGCCATTTTCTCTTTGGTCTCTAGAGCGACTTGTTTTGATATGATGCCCCGGTTTGGCTATTTGATTTGAGAAGAGTGGAATTCAGGAATCAGGAATTAGGAATCAGGAATCAGGAAACATTTATTGCCAAAATATGTCAAACATACAAGGAATTTGTCTTGGCGGTTGGTGCGTGACAGTAGACAGTGTAACAATAGACAACAAGACAGCAGTGCACAAGTAATAAAATAAAGTAAAATGAAATGCTAATGCAATGGGTTAGTAGAATAAGGCTATGGGTTAGTATAAAAATTTAAAATATTAAAAAAGTAAAAAAATATTAAGCATAAAGTGCACTAGCGAACAAGTAACAAAGTGACGAGTGACGACAAAGTGAAAAATGACAGTTAAAGTGACATGTGCAGTGTGAGGGGAGTGACCGGTGGGATGTTATAGTCAGTCAGTGGGGGACCGGGCTCTGTTGATGAGCCCGACTGCTGACGGGAAGAAACTGTTCGTGTGGCGGCAGGTCTTAGTCCTGATGGACCTCAGCCTCCTGCCAGATGGAAGGGGCACAAACAGTTTTTGTCCGGGGTGGGAGGGGTCGGCCACGATCTTTCTAGCTCGCTTCTGAGACCTGGAAGCGAACAAGTCCTGCAGGGACGGCAGATTGCAGCCGATCACCCTCTCTGCAGAGCGGATGACACGCTGCAGCCTGCCCTTGTCCTTGGCTGTGGCTGCAGCGTACCAGACGGTGATGGAGGAGCAGAGGATGGACTCCATGATGGCCGTGTAGAAGTGCACCATCATCGTCTTTGGCAGGTTGAATTTCTTCAGCTGCCTCAGGAAGAACAACATCTGCTGAGCCTTCTTGGTGATGGAGCTGATGTTCAGCTCCCACTTGAGGTCCTGGGTGATGATGGAGCCCAGGAAACGGAAGGTGTCCACAATAGTGATGGGGGAGTCACACAGGGTGATGGGGGAGGGTGGGGCTCTGTTCCCTCGGAAATCGACAACCATCTCCACTGTCTTTAGAGCGTTGAGCTCCAGGTTGTTCTGGCTGCACCAGGACACCAGATGGTCAGACTCCCACCTGTAGGTGGACTCATCCCCACCAGAGATCAGTCCAATGAGGGTGGTGTCATCCGCAAATCCGAATTGTTTCATCTCTTTCGTAGTAAGGGGGCTCCGTTTCCCAGTTTGAATCACTTAAGCCGTCTTCTGGGCTGCCTGCAACACACGGAAAGAAAGATACAGGCGACTGGTCAGGGATGTAACAGTTGGATTCTTGCTGTCACTCTCTCCTCTATGAGCTCATACAGTGGCAACCAAACGGCGTTATGTCTATCTTCTGGTAACAAGTGCCAGCTGTGAATACCTGGCGCTGCAAAAGAAGAAACAGTCATTAGTTGTGTGATGTATGATGCAATAATTGGGATTTCATCAAATCAAAAATGCCTAGATTTTCCCTGCATTTTGGATTTGTTGTATCTCCTCAACAATCAGTCCCTCAGTTTGGGGTGACATTCCAAAGAGGAAGGGAAGATTAGTGGTAAGATAACATATTTTGAATTGTCATCAGAAGTTGACACCAACTGGCACGGAAAGCCCTCTTTGTTTTCTGTCTGATGACATTAGGAAACTTTGATTTTGGGTTTAATTTTGAATTTTCACCTGCCCTGTTTTTTTCTTTAGGTGTGTGAGCCTGAGAACCCATGCAAAGACAATACCCACAATTGTCACAAATATGCCGAATGTATCTACATCAGCCACTTCAGTGATCCGATGTACAAGTGCGAGTGCAGGACCGGTTACGCCGGAGATGGCTTCTTTTGTGGGGAAGACTCTGACTTGGATGGTTGGCCCAATCAGAACCTTGTGTGTGGCGCCAACGCCACTTATCACTGCAAGAAGGTATTTTGTTCAGCTCTGTCACTCTATTTGATGAATCCAATCCGCAGTGTTGTGAAACTATCGCCTACCTGATGTCACGCTACCATTTTCAGGATAACTGCCCAAGCCTACCCAACTCTGGACAGGAAGACTTTGACAAGGACGGCCAAGGAGATGCTTGTGACAAGGACGATGACAGCGATGGAATTCTAGACGAGCGGGTACGAGTGTTTTCAACACATACTTAAGATACTTGAAGAATTCCCTAACAACCCTGTCGTTTCTGTCACAGGACAACTGCCCCCTACTTTACAATCCTCGCCAGTTTGACTTTGACAAGGATGAAGTTGGCGACCGCTGTGACAACTGCCCCTATGAACACAACCCCGCTCAAATAGACACTGACCACAACGGGGAAGGGGACGCCTGCGCGGTGGACATCGACGGAGATGGTAAGATAGCTGAGTCTAAACGGATCAATGTAATCGCTCCATCCAGGACAGCACTTTGTATTAAACATTACATTCTTAATGTAATCAATTGTCTTTTTTCCCTCAGACATTATGAACGAGAGCGACAACTGCCCCTACGTGTACAACACCGATCAGAAGGACACCGACATGGATGGAGTTGGTGACCATTGTGACAACTGTCCGTTGTTGCACAACCCTGACCAGGTGCCACACCACGGTGCATTTCATGGCACTTCGCGGTGCCACGGGAGGTACAGGAAGTGTTAACCTCTGTCGGTGTTCATCCAACAGACCGACGTAGACAATGACCTGGTTGGAGATCAGTGTGACAACAACCAGGACATTGATGAAGACGGCCATCAGAACAACCAGGACAACTGTCCCTATGTGGCCAACGCTAACCAGGCGGACCATGACAAGGACGGCAAAGGAGACGCTTGTGACTATGACGACGATGATGATGGTATCCCTGACGACAAAGACAACTGCAGGCTGACGCCCAATGCAGACCAGATCGACTCCGATGGTGAGAATGAAGCATTCAAAAGGTTAAAAGGTGGAAATGTTGCAGGAGTTGGTGTGTGCCGTGCACTTTTAATCCATGTGTGAAACCGGCTGTGTACGCGTTGCATATTTGTCCCGTGTTTAATGCAGTAATGCTAAATTGGCAGGTCAAAGGGTACTGAAATGTCCCTACTCAACTATACATTTCTTTGTGTTTATATTATATGTATGAGTCAAAGGTAGCTAAACATCCTAATTACAGTATTATCATGGGGCTTTGTGGCATCAGAAATCTGGAAAACTAATTATGTGTTTAATGAAGCTATAACCTTCTTAGTTATTACCAATTTGTTTTATGTTACGTTTGCGGATAAACAGCCCATTTTGCAATATGTCATAAATGCGTACCATGTCATTAAGACAGTAACTGAAACTATTTATCATGTGTAGTTTATAGATTCGTATCTTATATTTAATTTCATTACATAAGTTTATAGTCATCCTTTGGTTTTCTGTTTGCCATGGATTCCATGCACTCGGACGTTGTTCTCATTACTCTATAATACTCACATGTTTCCACAGTCAGAAATCAGTTCCACTGCAGCAGGTGTGAAATATGTTGTCTGTGGAAAAAGTCAACGACCGGGTTGGCACGAGTGATGTCATTCAGCATGACCTAAGTTAGAAGCCCAGGACGGCACACGCCAGGCAGTGAAGTTTTTATTACCTTAAAGCTTTGCATGTGATTAATCCACAGCACTGAATTGTAGCAGGGTTACCTGGAGGTTGTACAGCTGTCTGTAACTGGAAACAGACCGCGAAGGAGATTGAGGCCTTGCAGACCCTTTCGCGGATCCTTAGATAGTGTATATTTGATCGGACCGATGTAGCCGATGCAATAACAAAGACGATGACAATGAAGCAGCTCACTACTTGCCCCGAGTGGCCCTCACAAGGCACTAGTGCTTTTCCCTGTTAGCTCCTGGCATCCAGCCCAGTCTGGATTTAATAGACTGGAGACTTTAGATGGTTACAAGTATCAGTGGAAGTTGTCATAGCATGAAAAGATGGCTGTTTTGCCTTAGTAGACTTGGCAGATCTATTTAAGTGAATTTCCTGGGAGGAACCGCTATTTTCCCCATTCATTTTAATATTATTTTGGAAGAGTTCCTCAGTAGTTACTTCAGCAGGGTTTTATTAGGGTTTCTTTTTAGCTGCCATAGAGATTTTTCCAATTTATGAAAAAAATATAAAACATGTAGCTAAAACTTTGTATGTCTGATTTAAATTGTTTTAAAATGCATTTAATATATGTCTTTCACAGCTGACGGAAGAGGGGATGCCTGTAAAGATGACTTTGACAATGACAACATCCCAGATATTCTTGATGTGTGTCCGGAGAATGATGCTATCAGTGTCACAGACTTTAGAAAGTTCCAGATGGTCCACTTGGATCCTAAGGGAACCACTCAAATCGATCCCAACTGGGTGGTCCGACACCAGGGAAAAGAGCTGGTTCAGACTGCCAATTCTGACCCAGGCATTGCAGTAGGTGAGTAACAAAAATGTGTTCACTTTCATTTCAAGGATTTGAAACTCCATTTGACAGCACAGAGCCCTGAGACGTGGAATCCCCTTTCTTCTCCACCACCACAGGTTTTGATGAGTTCAGTGCTGTGGACTTCAGTGGAACGATGTACGTGAACACGGACAGGGATGATGACTATGCAGGCTTTGTTTTCGGCTACCAGTCGAGTGGGCGCTTTTATGTGGTGATGTGGAAGCAGATCACACAGACTTACTGGGAGGACAAGCCCTCCAAGGCCTTCGGCATCTCTGGCGTTTCCCTCAAAGTCGTCAACTCGACCACCGGCTCCGGAGAAAACCTCAGGAATGCTTTGTGGCACACGGGCAACACTCCTGGACAGGTGGGCTGAGATCTAAATGCTATTGTTTGATTTTCCAAAGACTGACGCAATATTAATTGTTGCTAACTATTTGACATAGGTGCGGACTTTGTGGCATGACCCCAAAAACATAGGGTGGAAGGACTACACGGCATACAGGTGGCATCTCATCCACAGACCAAAGACTGGTTTTATAAGGTAAAACATTTGAGCCATTTTTAGTTTGTATATGTGGTGAAACTGTGGTGAAACAACAGATAAAAAAGGTCAAGGTCTGTCCTTTTATTTTCAGGGTTGTGGTCTATGAAGGTAAACTAATAATGGCCGACTCGGGACCAATTTATGACAAGACGTTTGCCGGAGGAAGGTTAGGCTTGTTTGTCTTCTCTCAAGAGCTGGTGTTCTTCTCTGACCTCAAGTATGAATGCAGAGGTTAGTATACACACTTTGATTCGCTACTGAGTTCTTACTACTAAGTTATAACAATAAATCTGATACACTTGTTTGCTAAACCTTAATGTGCTACGTTAATGCAGTACAGGAAACATGCAATTAGCTCATTAATCTAGCAAAGATCCCTTTTGAGCCCAACCTTTGCAGACTGATAATTGCAATACACTACGTTTGAAATATATAGTTGTCATATAATATAATAGACTTATGTTATTTGATTGATTGCAAATTTCATGCAAATTTAGGATATTGCAAACCAACACCAAGAACATTTTTGTGAATGCTTTTGTTTTCAGCACTCCGATCAAAACGGTTCATAATTGCATAACAGCATGCAAGTATTCACACTGTAATATCCACATTAGTCCTTAGCCTTCTATGAATGGCTCAATTAAGTCCCTAGAGTGTGAGCTGGAGTACGAGCACCTTTTAGATTAGGACATGATGGCAGAGGTTAGCTACGCAAATATTAGCAAATGTAGATATAGACATAGGATAGTATTGGGATTGGTGCGTATGTGTATTTAATGTGAGCATGTGCAGGTTCCAGATATGTTGATGCGTATACAGTACAAAGATCAGAGGGGTATAAAACCTTCTCCATCTTTGAATACTGTAGATGAAGTCTTTAAACCTTCAACATCTTTCTCAAACCTCAGATGAGCTGGAGTTTCCAACTGTTCATAAGGTAATGCTGAGAGGGATTATTTATTCTGTGTTGTTAAATGCAAAAAGAAAGACAAAAAACGATACGCCATGTTTGTGCTTGTCACCTTTCCCATGTACAATGCCTGCGATGTGTTGTCAAAGACCTTGTGTTGGTCCAAAGATTTCTGATCTTGATGGAATGAGCAATTGAGCCTGCAACTTTTTTACAATCACAGCCGCAGACACTAAAGACACACTTTCTTCTGACGCGCACACTGTGTTGTTGCTGCACTTTGGCACTTTGACTGCGTGAATCCCGTCGAGCGTCCTAGTTTTCATTATAGATGTGGCAGTAATGGTTGCTGTTTCATCAATCTTTTCACAGATAACTGAATCGCGTCTGACAGAAAAATAACACCAGTGGGAAAAAGACAAGAACCTCTGAAAGTAAACATCACGTCAGCACTGAACACATTTCAAAGTAAATGAGGATTGACATACTACCGCATGCTTGATCCATCCAATGGAGAGGAAACCGTTTCCTGTTACGTATACATTTTTTACACTGGTAGTAAAAAATGTTTCTTATTTTTTGAGCAGATTACATGATTATACCCAGTGTACTTGCATTTTATAGGATTCTTTGTACAACCACTTACATGCCGTATGCTTTCCTGCAGGTTGTTTCCTGCATCTTTAATAATGTAGGATTTTGGATTTGTGGCTTAAGACAGTTTCTTAAACCAAAGCATAAGCATTTTGCTTTCAATTCCATTACTATTTCTCTTCATTATTTTCAGAATGATTTAAATAAGCCATTTTAGTAAATGCCAAAGATGTTTATACTAAGTCTGTATTATAATTCTTTTTTGTAAATTATTTATGCTCTGCTTGTCGTGTTTTTTAGCATTTTTTGCTAGTTTGTAAATAATTATTTATTTATGTTTACACTGACAAAGTGCATAATTGTATATCACAAACATCAAGATAGCACATTATAGTATTGCAAGATTTTTTGATATGCTAATCCTTAACTTGTTAGTTTTTTTTAAATATTACACAAACTGTAACGTAAAGCTTTGGAGAGGATAAACATCAGCTGCTTTAAAGTAATTACATACATAAATACAGCAAGCATTTATGTATTTGATTATAGCTGCCAGAGGAAGTTAGTTATAGTAGTGTGTGTGCGTGTGTATGTTTAAAAAAGCCACTGTTTATTTTCTTTGCTGTCCAGACAGGGCCTCCGTGTCGATAAAGTGATATATCCTTTGGAACATTTCTCAGTACTTAATATTCTACCAGGAGTTATGAATGGTCAATCACTAATAGTGGCTGCAAGTTGGGCTAATGTCACTTTAGCAAACACCAATGCCTGCCTATACTTTCCTATAATACCTATCGGTGACACACCTACAAAAAAGAGGATTGATCGAGGTTTTGACACAAGTTAAGGTAGTTAAAGGTAGTTAAATACTTGTGATTGCAGTTTAAGTGGCCTGTTAGGTCTAAAGTGTCCGAAGCGCCAAGTAAATTTGACGTCAACAGCAGAGAAGTTGCGGTTCGGAAGTTAGTGATTGTTTGTGATGAGTCGTGAAGATCCAAAACTGTAAATATATGTTATTCAAATTACCTTTTCATTCATATGTTAGTCACAAGTATCACTTATGGATGTTGTGAAACTTAAAAATCTTGGTTTAAATGGAATCAGACTGTGTGACTGTGACTAGTTTGGATTGAGGATTTATTTCTGGTCACTTTGTTTTTGTTTCTATATAGCAGCCATGTTTTTCCGTTTTTGTTCATTTTTGGAGACTTTGCAATGCACAAAATGTACATTTTCATCCTTACGTTGTTAGATTTACATTTTCTACAAACATTAGTGTGAGGTTATTTTGTTTCTTGAATAAATTTCTTGTACTCCATGTTGTTGATTACACATTGGCGGACAGTTATTCCAAAATAATTACTGTCATATTGAAATTATTCTGTTTAACTAACAAACAGTATGAAATACAGGCTAAATCAATTTTTAAGTTTTATGCTAGTGTTGATATGCATTTTTTACTGTCAGAAAGTTTCATAAAAAGACCTAATCCAGAATGTATGATTCCCATGCTGATTCTAAATTCTTAGTTTCTTTTTTCTGTTTCTCAGATTTTAAAAGTTTAATCTTGTTAAACAGCTGTTCATCGCATTGTTAAGCTAATATTTTGTGGATTGAAAATGATTTACACTACAACATTTATACTAATGTTGCAAAAAGTCACCAATTACAACTATGGTTGATTGTTTTTAAAAGGCATTTTTGGCAAATTTGGCCAACGGTGACTTTGACACAGATGAATCACATCAGGCTTTGGGTACGCATACCATCCTTTTCAGTAGAATTAATGGATTATTTGTTTTGGTCTCCTGTTATTGACCTCGTTGACAAAAAGAAAAATAGAATATTACCAGATTGACCCTTCAAGTCTGATTCCAACTGCACTCAGCAACGATCTTTGTTCATCTTACACATCCCAGCATTAGATATAATATGTGTGAAAGCATAACCTGTTGGTGTGTTAGCACATCTGCAGTTACACAAACAGATAGTACTACATTTACTTTGAAAATGCTCCATTATTGTAAAATGTATTGTATTTTTTGTTTATATAATGTACTAATAATATTACTTTCAATCAAGAAAGAATTGTGCTCAACTCATAGTAATTATGAAAAGTAAAATTTACTTCATAATCTATTTATATATAATTCTTTACAGATTTATTTTCCGAAAAAAGATCTATCTTGCATACCAAGTTTGCCTGATCAATGTTGGGGATGGACTTCATCTAGGACATTAATGTGCATCAACAGGTGAAGAAATCTGTCTATTTAAAGCTTTTTTTTCTTTAAATTAAGTTTCCTCAAGTCGTCTTCTTTCGCATAATGAAAGAGCAAGTAGAACATTGCGTTGCCTCAGCTGAGGACTGCTCAGCATTGACTTTACAGTATCTTGTTGTTGTCTGTTGTTTTGGACCAGACCATGTGACTCACGGTGGGGAAAGCAGGGATTGAAGGGGTTAAGTTAAATATGGTGAGGCCAGGAAAGAGAATGTGCTTTTAGGAAAAATGGGTAAAGTTTCAATCTTAGCTCTCGTAGTGGAGGGGGTTCGGATTTGGGTTGCGTGTCCTGGAATAGGCCACGTGGCAGAAACCATAGATTGACTACATGGGTTTGGCACTGGTGGCTGGTTTGAAGTCCAGAGCACACTGCGGGTGATTCACGCTGCTTCGCCAGAGTATGTCAATGTGTGGCACAGTAAACCCGCATTTTCTGCTGAGTCTTGTATTTAGCAAACAGCGAGCATTTCAACCGGATTAAAAACAAAAAAAGCAAACTGGCTGCTGTTAAATGAAAGAGCACCATGTTCACTTTCAGTAGTGGTTTATAACTAAAAGGGCCACAAGGTGAGTGGTTTAGAATGACACAATGAATTAACCAAAGACCAGTTTGGGTTGATGTTCATTTTGGAGGGATGTGGAGCTTTTAACAGCTTACAGAGACACACAGAAAGCTAAAGTCAGATAGGGACGCCTCTTATTACAAGTGTAAGAGGAGAACTGCTCTGGGAATAATGTTATTCTTCAGCCACAGCTGTTGTGAAATACCAGCGTCGATGCTGGGCTTCTTTCACTATAAAATCCTTGCTGACTTTTGCAGAGCTGCTGATGTTAGCATATTTATTGACATATAACACATATTTTATATATATAATGTGCTTCACGTCAATGTAGATTATGTTACTTCATACACAACCTTTCTGACCCAGCCGGGTTCATCAAAGGTCATAATATGTGCTTCCTAGCTTCCAGATAAAATCAGCACTCAGTGGTCCAACTTGCTCCTTTGTTGATGCTGCCGATCAAAGTGACTACGGACAGTGTAGAAGCAACCAAGTAAGTCTGAGATTTGAAATAAAGTCATTTATTTCAGGGCATGAGACATTAGAAAAATATCCATGGTCCTTCTCTCTGCCAACCTTGGTGGGAGTCGGGGGGGGCGTACTGCTCCCAGAGAATAGAGGTGCCAGGAAGTGTTGGGCTGCAGGCTGAGGTCCTGCGGCGCGGAGGCTCCAAGCTGTCTGCACGGACCCACCTCGTTGATGTCATGCGTTCGAGAGGCTTCACTTCTGGTGCTTTAAATGACTGACATGACCGAGTGGCACAAGAGTCCAGAACAAAGTAGAGGCTATTGTCAAGTTGAAAAGAAGGAAAGGGGAAAGTTTCCCCACACAAATGTAATTTATGTGTACGGATGTTTAGTTAAACAAAGACTGAAGATTGACGCCGGTCCTTCGGAAAGCCAAATACAACCGCAGTTTGCACAGAAAGTGAACAAAGTCTGATGCCGAACAATGTCCGTGGTGTCAAAGCAAGGCTTGTTTCCACTTAGGTCTTGATGGCACTGGTGTAAAACTGGGAACAGATGCATTTGGTCTCATTAAATCATGTTGTGAAGTCTTGGCCTAGCAGTAACCTTGGACAAAACAAAGCCAGACACCGCAAATGGCTGCAGGCTCTCTTAAGTATGATTTATTGGATTTACAAAAATAGCTCCACACATCTTTGTGATGGCCGAGGCAATCAAAATCATTTTTAGTTGGCTCTCCTTTGAGATAAATCACCTGTCTTCTGTTTTTAATGATATTACCCAAGAATGCCAATGTCCTTGAAAATGATAACTTCCAACTGTTCAACTCCCTGAGAACAACTTCACTGTCCGATTCACATGAAGGTGAAACTGAACCATTCTGAAATGAGCAATGATCTCTTTCAAGTACAAAAAACACGGCGTTTACTGGATGCACATCAATATGCACGTTAAAATGTTAGATTTCCAGTTGTAAACCGCGGTGCTGTGCCAGGCTCAGTCATGGGTGCGGCCTTGCGAGTTGTACACAGGAGATATGTGGAGGAGTGTCAAAGCTCCTGGCACACACAAACACTTTTACACAGTCCAGACATCGCGTTACGCTCCACCTGGGCTTAAAATAACAACCAAGCCGGCTCTGCATGTTGCTGTATAATAACGAGGCTGGCAAAAAGTGTAAACACCCAAAAGGGATCAAATTAAAATTGGATTGGATTTAACTGCCTGCACTAAAGTTTGCTACGTGGTATTTATATGAATGGGTTATCACACACTTAAATATAGTTTTAAGTGTTCAAGTGAAGACATTTTAAATGTCTTTATTAAGCATTGTAATTGGTGCATTGACAGCCAGCTTGAGAGCACAACAAAGATTTAACACATTAAATGCCAAATAATTTCAAACATTTGAAATACCCTTATATCAGCTGACAAGGACGGGTAATAATCAGCGCATGGCTGCATATTATGTACTTTACGTTAGTGGAAAGGCAGCAACGGCAGTGCAGGAGAGCCTTGGTAGTGGATAAAAGCGAGCATAATGAGCATGACTACAATGCTATAAGCTTCCTTCCCTTTTTTCACCAGTGGAAACAAGTAATCACATCATATCCTTTTACATCTCTGATGGGTTTTTCAGCCATGTTGCGCTGTGCTGAAATGGAACCTCTGCTCGTGAAAATACAAATGGCAAGCTATTTGAGGATACCAGCCTTTTAATAAAGATATGTTGCTAATGGTTTGATTGCACTTTTTGCTGCACCAGCAAACAAGACTTCTCACCTAATGAAACAGCTGGATGGTTTAGGGTTAGAGTACGGCAAGTTTTGAAGTCCACTCAAGTCCTTTTTATTTGTTAACTCTCTTGAGAAGGTGAACAGCTGTTGGCATTGTCTAAACAGATGTGGTATATTTGTGAGGAAAATCATTGGAGGCAATCCCCTCCCCACCAAACAGGCTTGGTCTTCAAAGGCTATCTGAAAAACAGCTGCTGGAACAGTAAAAATGGCCCAGATTACTTCATTCTACAACTACGGAGGCTTACTCACCGATCTGGCATCCCGCAGACTTTGATAGTTACTACTTCCTCTCAACCAAAGTTTACATTTTGGGTAAATCTTGCTGACGGCTAGTAATTGTTTTACTTTTTACTTTTGACCTCTGTGGTTTAAATGTGGGTCTTTCTGTGTTGGGCTTTAAAAATTTATTAAATTCCTATTTTGTAATCTCTAACATAACTGCCATATTATGTGTTTGCAATCAGTGTCTTCATAATTTCAGGATTGCACAGTTTCTTATTTTACTCCGATCAATAATCAAACTCAGACATGAAGACAGTTCAATTAACATTATATTTCAGTGGTCACAGACCCGGAGAAAATATTGCAGTTTTAACTATCCACAAAGGTAAACAAAGGCAATCTAAAAAAAAAGGATTTTAAATCAAATTGTTATTCAATTAAAAATACAGATGCACTATTACCTAAATATATTTGCATGAACAAATTCCTTTGTGTGCCACCGGTGGCAGACACTTAAAGAATAACCCGACTGAAAAGCTGTGTTTTGATGCCCTCTCTGGTTGGATGTGTTAAGCTTATTTCCTTGGTGGAACAGAGCCAGCATCATCGTGCTTGGCTGCACCTGTAGATCCACCCAGCAATGATGTCACAGGATCCCTGAGTACATCTGTTCATCAACGCATGCAAGGTATTATAGGTAAATAGTTTCCACGTTTAGCAGATGAAAAGCATGAGGATTCATTTGAATTATCTTACTGGCCACCTGATGAAATGTTTTATACGATATTCATTCTATTTTAAGCTGTCTTCGATAGTCCTGGAGTGAAATAACCTGTTCTTCATCTTCTAATCGCTCCGCCGTGTTCACCAGCTTACCAATATTCACCAGCTGTAAATAAACAGGCTGACAATAAAAACCAAGACATGAGCCGATACAGCAGAGGGGAACGACAGAGTTAATTTTCTATTAGTTAAACAGGGTTGTTGACCACTTATATATTGTCATGTAATCTGTAGTTATTCCTAATTGTTATTGATTCCATTTCATTATTTGTAATAATTTAATCTTTAGAGCTAAACTTTACCTCAGTCAACTTTAACTACAATATTTTTTAAGTTGAGTATAAGCATGACAAAGATCCCTGAATGTCAATGGAGCACAATAGTTCAACGTTATGTGAATTTCTAGATTAGCTAAATCAGCCTTATAGTTTCTGTCTGGATTGGCTTGAGTGTATATTTTCTATACAATATTGTCTGTTATTTGCACAATAATGATATTTATATCAACCTCCTGCTCCTCAGTTGACTTCTGCATTGCTATCACATTCTGCACAGAGACAATTAATGTGAAACATTGAAAATGTCGTGCTTTTATTTGAATACATTACAGAATCCGCACAACGAAAGCTCTCACACATGTGCAGTCGACCAACGTCCACCGTTCTGCACGTGTGACCATATGTTGAGTCGCTTTCTCATCCCCGAGCATTAATATCCCAATTCTGACATCTGTCAAAAGGAGGCAGGAGTAAAAGTTGAAAGGGGAGACATGTGATTACAGAACCAGGCAGTATCTTTAATCTTCTCCACCTTGTTGATGGCATGACATCAAATAACTTCACTCAGGCCAGTTGCCATTTGGCACTGGAGTCAGGCCTCGTGTCGGTCCCCACAGCCCGGAGGAGCAGGTGTCTCCAGAAAACCTCCCAGGATTTCGTTGACAGTCGGATGTGTCGTTGGGGCCCACGGATCCTTTGCCCGATGGACGAGGCTGTGGGGCCGAATCCTCTGAGTAACAGACGCTGCGAACATCAGGATCTCGTTACTGGCCTACTGCAGATGTACACTGTGTCATACCAAGCCAACAAAAACTTGTCACTTTTTCTGATTTGCACTTTTTTTCCCTGTACGTCAAAGAGCCCAGTGAATGCATTCAGAAGATCTGAGCACATGATCTCCTTTATGACAGTTATTGCCTTATTTACTAAAGCCTGCGCAAAACCAGAATGAATGCGGTATTTTCCAGGATAGAGTTCTTCCTGATTTATTCAGACCTGCACAAATGTTGTCAGTCACAGTTTTCCAGTGAGAGTACCAACAAATACTGCTGACTAGGCTGTCCGGTCAAATAATGTTCCTCAGATTTAATTGTGCAGCTGGATTTTGTGTTTCAAACATGGTTACACTATCCTCTTATCACTCTTTCTAATTCAATATTGTGATCTCTGTATCTTTTACTCAGCAAACATTTGTACCGCAAGGAGTAACGTTTTTGTAAGGGCTGGAATGAGTGGTAATTTGTTTTGGGTAAAAGGAGAGAAAGCCAGTCAGGCGGTCACAGTCTATTGATGCTGAATGGCGCATTAATCAAACTTAAGCAGTGATTTCACTTAATCCATGGTGCATTCTTTAAACAGCACGCTCATCCAAATGGCTGCTGTGCTTCTGAGCCAAAAGTATACTTTGTCCTGAAAGCTGTTGCGTTTGGACCGCAACATCGACGTGATTCAGTCTTGACTGAAAAATATCAGCTGCAGCCACTGATCTCTGAAAGAGGAACTGATTCATTTCCAAACAAAAAGGAAATAGCATCAGCTATTAAGAATTTGTTTTGAGAATAAAACAAATGTTGTGGTACCGAGTTGACCTGATTCCCCACATGACAAAGAAGTACAAAGTCCAGGTTTATTACTTTTATAGCTTCTCTACTTGGTTTAACAGTGGACGATAAATGATAGTAGGTGGGTGTCATGCAAAAAATCTGTCAAAGAGCCGTCCTCAAACTTACAACATTACTCTCACAAGGTGTTGAATGGCCTTCGGTACAAAAGGAGGGCCCCAGAAGGCAACTACACATAACTCATTTTATGAAAGTTGACAATTCTTGGAAAAGAGTTGCTTCTGCGGTGAGGTCCCCCCCCCCCTCTCACACATATCTCTAGATCCAGTAACCTCACATCAACTCCACTTTTCCACTAAAGAGTCAGTGAAATATGAATGAGACCCTCTCCTTCCTGGCGCCTCCCATCAGGAAGCACATGGTTAGTCATTTCAGTTCAACAACCAATTTTAAGAAGTATGTTTTTTCTGTGATATGTATTTTCCCTTTACAGTCGCTCTCTTGGAAGGCCTCTTCTACATTTAGGCTTTGGAGTTGTCCTGCATTCCTTCAGCTTCATGTGTTTTTTATAAAAGTTTATTCACTTTGTCAATAACTCTTATAACGAAATGTATATTCATAGCAGATCATTTTTTATACATCTTTATCTATCAAAGTCTGGGGGGGTGGGTTGGTGCCATACATATTATTATTATTCAGTGATGGAATCACTGCTTGATGCAGCACAAATTGATTGAGGGTATTACTCCACTTATCAATGCATTATATGCACTACTTTAATGTTGTTATTTTTGAATGCGTCTATCATTTTCTGTATTATCTATCCTACCTTACATAATGATGCAGTGTTATTTACCTTTGTGGAAGGATAAACCATTCGGATTGTTCACGTATTCTATTGAATCAGGTAACAAATGCAACTAGGAATGGTTTACGCTATCAGCTTTGAACTAGACAAAATAATAATACAGCTTTCGGCTAATCAAACCCGTTTGACTAAAGCATTGGTCAAAGGCCTGCACGAAAGTGAGTTGGACATACACAAATGTTGACTTTGGCTGCTTTGTAAAGGTGCTGTGGGATTTAAAATTCAAACCATGTGTGATTCTTCCTCAGTTCACTTAAGAATGCTGCACCGCTTCTGGTTGAAGCATTATGGGACGTGTAAAACAAGATGACAATGAACACTAATAGCGCCCCATTAACCTTCTTTCACAGTTCTCTGGCTGCAAAGAGAAATAATCAAATACTGTTTGGTTTGATTAAGGTTCCACAACAGATTAAAAAAATGTTAAATGTTAAGATAAAACATGAAACAAATTGTGGAAAGTAAAAAGTCACACAGCTATTTATAGTATGTGCTGCAGGGAATTGTTTTCCCCATCTAATGGAGCAGTTAATGTTTCCCCTCTTTTAGCAAAAAGGAAATCCTTCATAAGGGATCAAATTGAAGTGGGGAATAAAAGTGAAGGTTTTGGATTGAAAGGCGGTGAGTGCAGTTGTTTCCGTTAATATTAGCTTCAGCAAGGAATGAGAACATCGAAAAGACTCATTTTTTCCATCTGGCAAACCTAATGACTCAGTTAATTGCTGCATTTGACGTGCCTCTTGGAGAACTGCATTATTTGCCATGCTCAAATTTGAAAACGAATGCTGACAAGCCACATGACTGAATCCAAATGGTGAAACACTTTTGCACGTACGTTGCATTACCAGCAGGATGTGCTGCTCACCAAGACGCAGTTCACCAGTTTTCTACTACACGTTAAGCTTAGAGTGGAGATATGAGATATTATTTTCATAAAACAAAGATACTTTGTTGCCTATTCAACTGCTCTTATTGGCTTCATAAAATCTATGTCACGTTTTTAAAGAATGTAAACTATATACTGTACACGTTCATACGTTTGGTCATTGAAGGAAGGTCCACCAGTGTCCGGGGCGGTCCGAAACGCTTTGCGGCCGGAGGTCTCTCGACCCTCTGTGCGAAACAGCCTGCCGGTTGATTCATTCTCCAATTACAGGTATGCCCCATGTCAGAGCCTTCCTGGCCCCGCCTTCTTTTCTGTCAGGTGGGCAAAGGGCAAGTCTGCAGACTTTGTTCTGCTGCAAAGTACACGTGTTGCAGCTTTTTTGTGTGCAGAAATACATGACTTTTTAAAAGGTTCTGGCGTAGGGGAGAGTAAAGAGTAAAGCTCACAGAAGGGTGGGGGAACTATTTCCCTATTGTAGTTTTATTTACCTCTCAGAACCGCAGCCTTGAGTGAGTTTCTCAGAGGGAGTGGAGGCTCCATCCTCGGGTGCTGCCGTGGTTTTCAGATAGGCGTGGCTCCCTGTGTGGGGAGGTTTTCTTTCTGCTCTCTGTCGACTGGAGAGAACACATGCTGAATGAATCCTGAAATTAAAGGAAAAGATGAACTCGGTGGCACCAATTAAAGGCTGGAGATTTCCTTTTTGCCATCTTTAAACGATCGAAGGTCTCTGGGGCCAGACAACTGTCTGATCAAGGTACAATCTTCAGAAGAATCTAAGGTGTGTTTTTGTTTGTCTTTCGACGAGTAATAACTTGGCTTTTCAAACGCAGAGACTTCATCTCAAAACCTTCACGTAGATGCTGCTTTAAGATTTAAATTGTATTGGATTATTGTTTGTTGCTACTAACTTTGCAGATTGGAATGCATCATCATCAGAAACCGTTTAATCGTGAATAATGCCTCTCCGTGCTGTGTGTGGGTGTGTTTCTTAGAATAGAAAACCTACTTACATGCTGCTAGATTTCAGCATGATTGGCCTGACCTTCCAGCGCACATTGATCCAATAACACCGAGCGTGCATAATGTTTCATATCGCCATGACATTTAGGATATGCTGTAACCAAACATCAGTTGTGGGTTTAGGCTCAGAATAATTGACTATACTGTGTTCCGTATCCCTGAAGGGGTCACTGGTACATTTTTGGCCCTCTGAGAAGCCGCTTGTGCACAGACCAGCTGGAAAGCTCCATTCGACCAGTCAAAGGAAGCCTTTGTGTTCCGGGTGCTGTGAGTCACAGCCCGGGGAAGCACTGGCTGATATCTTTGTCTGACGCAGCTGGATGAAGAAACTTGTCCGACGTGTCACTCGAGGGAGTGGTTACATTGTGACGCCTTCTCCATGTTCCAGAATTATGGGCCTCCTGAAGCTGCTGAAGTCCCAGTTCTTGTGCCACCTGCTCATCTGCTATGTGTTCCTGGTCAGCGGCATCATCATCAACCTGCTGCAGATCGGTACTTCGCCTCTGTGGCTGGTCAGTAAACAGCTGGCACGCAGGATCAACATCAGGCTGGGTTACTGCATCAGCAGCCGTGAGTACTGCTCTTACCCTCTAACGCACAGATAAAGCTGATGTCCGCTCTCGGTTGCTGATGTTTGATTAAGTTGGTGGACGGAATAAATCTTTTAAGTGGTAACTTTTTTTGCAATTATTTACATGCCATTTAAAGGCACTTCATGGATGTAATGTATCTGTATTCACATAACAAGTGACGTTCACATAATAAGAACTGTGCCACATCTCTGTGTGCTAATGCTCCTCAGAGATGGTGGCCGCCCTGGATTGGTGGTCTGGGACAGAATGTACACTTTACACAGACCCAAAGACTTCTCCGCTGTATGGAAAGGAGAATGCTATCGTGGTTCTCAATCACAGTTACGATATTGACTTCCTGTGCGGCTGGGCTTTCTGTGACAGATTCCGAGTTCTTGGGGTAAGAGAAAGTATCCCCTATTATGTCCACTTCTTCTTTCTTTTTTACCTTTTTATGGCTATCTTGTCTTTTTTGTAAGTGGGGTAGTATGATCTTTTCATCCATATTCATCATTTAATTACCCGTAGTGCTGTGGTGGTCAGACGGACCCACCTGTAGGTCATACAACGCTACTTCCAAAGAATCCAAACTGTCCCTTTGACTTTAAATATTTTTCTAGAGCTCCAAAGTGCTGGCCAAACACGAGTTGAGCTATGTTCCTGTTATTGGCTGGATGTGGTACTTCCTGGAGATCGTTTTCTGCAAGAGGAAGTGGGAAGAGGACCGAAGGACGGTGGCTCAGAGTCTTCAGAATTTGCGAGATTACCCCGAAAACTACTGGGTACGTATTCTGTTGACTCTACAAACATATTTTGAGTTGCGGGCATTCATAACGGTCTAATGTTCCTCTGCAGTTCTTGCTTTTCTGTGAAGGAACCCGCTTCACACCAAAGAAACACCAGATCAGCATGCAGGTGGCTGAGAGCAAAGGTTTACCCAAACTGAAGTATCACCTTCTGCCCAGGACCAAAGGATTCTGGGTAACCGTCCAAAACCTCAGAGGCACTGGTGGGTATACATCATTAATCAATCAAGTGTTTGAATATGGCCACCAGTAAATATCAGACATTTCTAAATCATATAGTACAGTTTCCTGCTGTTTTTTTCTCATGTAGCTGCAGCTGTTTATGATTCCACTCTGAACTTCAGAAACAACGAAGTGCCGACCTTGCTTGGAGTGCTTAATGGGAAGAAATATCACGCCGATTTATATGTGAGGTACCAAGAGATGGTTTGCTATTTAATTTCCTCTTGATGGCGGTGATTACGTAAATAATACATCATAAAATATAACAAGTATTTTGAAGTGATATTTCTTTTTGGGCACAGTATTTATTTTTAGAGGACAACAAACCAAAGTATTCAAGGAATACACATAAAAAACATAATATCAAGTACAGAGATACATATAATCTATGGTATACAACCACACAAAGACACAGTGACAAATAGTAATTGAAAGTAAAGTAATTGATCAGGTTGTCAAAGTCCAACTCCTGGACAGTATCCGATTATTAGACCACGAGTGATATATGGAGGATTTCTATGTCATTCTGTATAGATATTTTTCTATCCTAAGACATTATCACATTTGTTATGTAATCAGCTAATTTCTAAAGCATTCAAACATATTGACAGTCACACTACTCCACAACCACTACTCCACCTCTACTACATTAAAAAGTGTATGCTCATTGTTTACCTATGATCTGACTTGCCTCCTCTGCAGGAGAATCCCTCTGGAGTCGGTCCCCGAGGATGAGGCAGAGTGTTCCTCGTGGCTTCACAAACTCTACCAGGAAAAGGTGAGAGTGTGTTGAGGGTAGAGGTTCAGCCTCAGACAAAATGTCCTGTTCCTACCACTATCTAGAGACAAATTCCATTCATTTCTCCACACAGTGTCTTTTAATATAAATCAAACTGCACTCTATAGTTTGCACACCAGTTCCATGAGCTGTGCTTGCATTACCGTGTCTGCAGGATAGCTTCCAGCAGCACTACGCACAAACAGAGCGTTTTCCGGGCCCCGCAGTGAGCTCTCCGCGCCGACCGTGGCCCTTGATCAACTGGCTGTTCTGGGCCTGCTTACTCCTCTACCCACTAGGCCTGCTCCTCGCTCAGCTCACCACCTCTGGATCGATGCTGGCCATCTCAGTCGCTGTAGCTCTCTGCTCTGCAGGTTGGTTCCCTCCTTGAAGTCCTCCTTGGTCCTTGACTCCTTTAAACCAGTTCCCTTTTGTCCACAAGTTCCCCAAAGCAGCGGATTAGATAACTCCTCTTCTAATTCTCTATTTATGACCAAACTCTAAGTTCCCTTTTTTTCTCCGGAGCATGTCGCTCTCAGCATTCAGAAAGGTGTTCACTCAGCAGACGTAATGATTCATCCCTGTGATGAAGCAAGGCTGAGATGTTTTCCTGAGGCATTGGTTATTACTTTTTCTATGTGTAACTTTTCTAAATCTTTCCTTTGCAGTTTCACTGGGAGTTCGCTGGATGATTGGCCAGACGGAGATTGACAGAGGTTCAAACTATGGGAGTAAGGAGTTCCCTCTAAATAATAACTGAGTCCTGATATTCCGAGAGCTGCTACTTTGCACAGACTAATCTATAAACTGCAGGCAACAGGATGTGTTAGCACTGTCTGACTGGTCTGGTCCAACAGGTTTTAACCTGCTTGCCTTGCACAATGTAGGGATCGTAGTTTTATCTTAACACAATGGTTCTTTTGCATGTAAATACTTGAATACAGTCAATTAAAATCTACCTTCAGTTAATATTCAACCAAGTTTAAAATGGACCACCTCAGCTATTGTAATTTAAAGCATGAATGGCATTTTAATGTTGAAATAAATGACACATTTCACTTTAAAAACAAAGAAACCTTGTTTTATCAAAAGAAAATCATGATTCTGTATCGTCATAAGATCAGCATAAGAAACTTGACTTTTGTGTATCCAGCAATGTGTTGAACATAACATCTATTAAAAATTCTCTCAAAGAAATCATATAAATATGCATTATATGCACCGTGGCTACTCAAAGCAGTACTTGCATTTCAGTCATTGGTTAAGGGACTTCCATTGTTAAATAGGGACCTCTGCTGAAAGTCCGGAGCACCACACCTACACAGAGGGTGTTTCCCCATGGCTGCTGGTCTGTGTGTCCTTACAACGGTTGTGTGGTCATTAGGGTCCTTTGCTAATTTTTGTTCTTTAAAAGAAATGATATTAAATTTGACATTGAGATTTGGCATTTAATATTTAGGCCACATGTGACAATTTTTGGTTCGATTTCGATTTGGTTTCTCAACTTCTTAATGCTGAATGGAATTTGTTAACCTATAATTAGTTATTTTTTTAATTCAGGGCTTTCTCAATGCTTTGCCGCTGCTGCTGCAGCTCCGCAGAAGTTCAGTAATATTAAATCCTCTGGAGAAGCTGACATCGGCAAGAATAAATGCTTATATGAATACATTATATACATCATGCAAGCTTTTGTTTTGGGTTTTGTTTATTGAGATATTAATTGGCTAAACATTTTGCTAGCTTGTGATACAGACAGTTTTCTTATATTTTGCATTAAAGACATGCAGAAAAAAATTACTTGGTATTGGGAATTCTTGCACCCTCCATGAACTACAAGAAGTAGTTCACTGTATGTATATCAGAATGTGTTTGGTGGATGATCATTATCAAAAAACTGGGCAAACAATTACATTTCAGGATGAAGCTATTTTGACATTATAGATGTAATGTAATAAACACATTTTGATTTGACACATTTTTCCTGGATTGCTAATTTATTTTGCATTTCTACATTGTTTTGAATTTAAATTCTTTTTTAAAGTGAGCTTGGCGGGGGGCTAAGGGAAGTGTTGGAATGCATAATTGATCGGCCAAATGAACATACTCGGAAGATGAGATTGTTTTTGTTTTGATGCTCCACTAGGACCGTCCATTTGAACAGAGCACCGACTCCAAGGCTCGGTCTAATTCTATTTTCACATCCAAGTATTGAAACAATTAAAGTAGGAGAAATCCTGTGAAATCTATACTATGGAGTTAGTGACATTTGTAGTCGATATACTATGAATTGTCATGTTTTTGTGGCTACTATACCATATATTCTTGTGCGCATTTATGGCACTGTTTTTAATGACATTTTTATAAAAACGTAAAGGTAGTATTTAAATGAAATACATTTTTATGACATTCAACTTACTACACTAACAGTACACATGTATGTCAGTCCAGGTCTTTCTTGTGAAAGTCACACCTCATGATACCTGGAGTGAAGTTCTTGGCACCAAAGTGCACTTGGACTCACAAATGGTTATTAAGACCATTTCACAAAAACGTTTAACTGGATAAAACGCTGAAGTTATGACATGTTGGGCGGACGTGGATGTTTATTGGATCTTGACTGGCCGGCGGAGGCACACAAATTTAAAGCGATTCTTGTTTCAACAAACTTCCCTATGATATTTTTATGCAGTGTTATGGCATACTACACCAGTTGAAAACATAATCAAGGTATCACTGAGTTTGTCCAATATCCTTTTAGATTTCTTGTTGGAGGTTCATCAAAATGAGATTTTTCAGTTTTGTTTATTTTGAGTAAAAAACATACTTGCAGATTCAAACCATCTTTAGTTCGTGAAAGAAATGGACTTCTACAGCGAAGTCCTATGCCACTATCCCTATTCACTAAAATGGAGTTTGTAATTCCTAAATGAAATAGTAATTTAGTATTTTTAATAATCAAAACAATGAGTTTGGATGCGCAGAATCAGTAATATCCTTAAAACCCTATTTGTTACAAGTTGTATAAAGGACCTTTGTAATAACTCCCGCACATTACTACTTCAAAGTCTGAGCTGATACGATCATTGTTTTGCAGATTTTTTAAATAACTTTTGGTCATTATATTGGTATATATATATATATTATATTGGTCCTAAACATGTTTTCATGCACAGTTCAACACTGCACTTTGAATTATTATTTACCTACAGAAGTGCTTACTATTGTTTTGGTCCAGTGACTTTGCAGTCACCTTAACTTAATATAATGCAGTCGGTCTTTACTTTTATCTGTAAGTGAAACTACATGATGGTGCAACACTAATAATAACCTGCATTTTTCAACAGTGGAAGAACACAAACAAATTTCATTTAAAAAAAAACAAAAAACGATAGGTTTATTAATATTGTTTGTACATAGCAAACAAACACTGACAGAGCAGCAGAGGACCAGACGTTGTGGTGTGTGTGTGTGTGTGTCAGTGTTTGGTTATGTGGGTGTGTTTTTTGTGTTCAGCAGCAGGGAGGGAGAGCCGGCCCCGTTTCTCTTAGTCGGCTGCGCTCCGGTCGCGTGAACAGCTCTCTACCGGCGACCAGCAGACTTGAACATTGCGCCGACTCGACATTGACTTGACTCAGCAAGGCCAAAGCAAAAGACCCGCGCTTGCCAGATGACATGGGATACATTTTGTGGTGTTAAATTTGATAAAAAAGGGTAGACCAGCCTCTCTTTCCGTTCAGTGAGACTCACCACACCTTGTTCAGCCACAGAAGGCTTAGATTCCTCCCTCCACTACTCAACAGTCCCTCGGGTAAACAGTTTAAAAGTGCCATAGATATCGTCTCCCCACAAACCCACACATTTGTTTAAAAAAAAAAAAAAAAAAAAGGTATACCCCCCACAATGCTTTTTGAGAAGCATTTCTTCACCAGTGAGGACAACAAATGTGGTAATTGTTACTTTAACTTTACAATATGGTTTATACAAGAATTAAAGCCAATCCTATTCTTACAGTATGTACAGTCCCACCCGTCCCCGTCAGCCCAGTCCACGGGTTCATAAAGACGAGCCTAAACTCCACAGGTCCAGTTGTCCTCTGAAATGGTTTTTGTATTAGTTCCTCAGTTTAACTCCATGTGCCTTCAGCCGTAACCTTCTCTCGTCGGCATTCCACAGTTCTTTTTTTTTCTTTTGTCCAACAGCATGTACAGTAGTGCTTTCATTTGTAAACGTAAAAGTCGCAGAGAACGTCTGTTCACTCTTCGTCCGTACAAACCTGAAACAGACAGAAAGACGAAAGGCCTTAAGACGTAGGCATAATCAGTCAAGCCACAACAGTTGATTGGGGATTTTTTTTGTGATTACATGAGTTTTGAGCCTGGCAGTCGCAACGTAAAACCACAGGACTTCTTTTGAAATGTCCGCCGTAGTGGCGTCTCACCTTGACGAACGGGTGGTCTAGTAGCATGCTGGCTGTCCAGCGGCGCTTGGGTTCACTCTCCAGACAGTGGCTGAGGAAGTCCTTCCCTTCGGTGCTCAGCTTCTCCGGGATGGGGGGTTTATGGCCCATGCCCACTTTGTACATGATCTGGAAGTTGTGCTCATACTCGTGCCACGGCCTCTGCAAGTTGAGGAAAAGGGAAGAACATTTCATCTTGATTTGCTTGCTAATTTGTTTGCCTAACTTTCAGCAGACGTCCCTATTTGACCCCTTATTACTTTTAAACGCCGGACAGATGTGTGCAAAAAAAAAAAAATCAACAATTTGATTTCACGGGGCGTATTTATTTATAATTAATCAGATTTATTATTTTGTGGTATTCTACACTAAATGAAATATCTCCGACAGCCTCTTTACTCTGACCCACGCACCAATGAGCTGTTTTTGACTTTGAACATAAGAATAAATGTTGTCCGTTATTTATTATTTTATCAAAGGGAAATGCAGGGTTAATGTGTTCTAACATAATCGGCGCATGTGGAACCCACAGCGAGCCCACATTGCCTCTCGTTTGCATTCATAACTATAACCATGTCAATAATACAGGTATCTCTGTCCCTCTAACTTACGGCATTGAATATTTGCAGCTTAGGAGGACTACAAGCCTTTGGGATTTCATTTAATCTATGACAAGGTCAGAACACAACATGCACCATCACTCTTTACCTTTCCAGTCACCATCTCAATGAGAACGCAACCCAAACTCCAGATGTCCGCTGCTCGTCCATGACCTTCGCCCTTTGCTCTGGTGATGACTTCAGGTGCCATGTACGCTGATTAGGACATAAACCCGGTTACTGAAGGCCAGAATGTATTATCAGAGGTACACTATAAAGATTTGAGTGATTTATTTTTGATCAATTAGAAATATGATTATTTTTACTACATATAGCAAAACAAATAAATTCAAACATTTTTATCCACTAGACGAGTTAACAGTTAACAAAATGGTTGCACACACCACAACCATACATGAACACACTTTTAGTAATAAATCACAGCATGCAGGGTGATCGATTGGTGAAAGTGAACCAATTAAATATAAAGCATCAGTGACCCCTGTTGGTGGCACCCAGACCCAAAGTATCATTTCTTACCCGCAGTTCCGAGTGTGCTGTTCACCTCCCCTGGCATGGTGTGAGTGTTGTTCCTCAACTTGACTGAACAGCCAAAGTCGCCGAGCTTAATCAGGCCAGATGATGTCAAAAAGATGTTGGCTCCTGATGGGGAAGAAACAAAACAAAATCAGAATCACTAGCAGGGAAATCAATGCTCAATTTACTCACAATTTCCTGTAGAAAGTTATGAGAAAGAGCACGTGGTGCGGACCTTTGATGTCACGGTGGACAATGCCGTGTTCGTGGAGGACGTTGATGGCTGTAGTGATTTGCTTGCTATAGAGCCTGATGACATGTTCCTGCAGCCCCAGCCGGGACACCTCCTCCAGAGTGCCCTCGTCGCAGTACTCCATGAAGATGTACATCTCCTCCTGCAGGTGAGTGCATGGACATTTTGAGCAAAGCGCTTCAATATTCACCGCCCGCGTGTCTGGATCAATATATAACCGCGTGCTTCTTACCCGATGGAGCTCAACTCCAAAGTACCGCACCAAGTTTGGATGTTTAATGCCTTCGAAGATTTTCAGCTCATCCGCCGTTTCTTTGATTGTTTTGTGATCGTTTGGCTGAAATCGGATCTGGGTAAAAAAAAAAAAAAAGAAAAAGGGGGAGACTTAACGCTACATGCAGATATTATTATTTGTCTATTTTTAAACCCATTGAATTGGTCTTGCCGTACACACCTCCTTCATAGCCATTAGTTCACCGGTGTCAACGTTGATGCAGGTGTACACCTTTCCATATTGGCCCTCACCTGTAACACACGCAAACATTGCATCATTGACTGAACGAGCGTTACACAACACACTTCATAGCAAATGCAGTCGGAAGGCAGCCGTACCTATCTTGTTGCCCCTCTGCCACTTGAAGGTCACCTTTCTGAGCCCAACGTGCATGACGTTGTCGTAGGACTTGGGCGTGTGACACACCTGGCCTATGATGTTGCGCTGCTTCATCACAGCGTACCGCTTGTCCTCAAACTTGCGGATGGAGCGGCGGACGGCCTCCATGGGGCATTGCCGCGCCGCAGTGTCTGAGATGGGTCAGAGGGGGAAAAAGGATTTTATCATTTTTGGAACGCCCTTTTAGTACGTTTTTAGCAAATCCAACTGGGCTCATCACTCGGGAGCTCACCCTTGGACTGGCTGATGAGGGTGCGCAGCTCCCAGCTTCGACGAGCGGCGCTGTTCGGGTCTCCCTTGGGATAGGATGGCTCTGGAGAAGGAAACAATCAAATCGCAATACCATAGGTCAGCCAATTAGAACACGTGCATGCACACTGCGGATCAAATAATGCACAGCACTGAATGCACCCACCTTCTTTGTCCTCTGTGGGGCTGGAGTGGCGACTCAGA